GAGAATAAAAATGAATTCAATGGTTTGTGTTAGAACTGAATATTGATAACAGTTTTCGAGAGAATCTCGAAAAACTGACAAAAAGCTCAAAGCCATTTTACAGCGTCAAGCAAAGGTCATAGAATAAAAATTAAGTACAGGGCGTATTTTTTATCAACTTCGGCTATTACACTGAATATCTCCAGAACTAAAAAATATGAATGCCAGACTTGACCAGAGGACTGAACAGAATTGAAGCGCTCGATCCTACGATTTTCAAGGTCGTTGAGGTCATTTCCCGAAGGTAGCGTTCAAAGGTCATTTTAAGGTCTTCGTGTGAATGAGCGAATCAAATCAGCACAAAAATTTTATTTTGAAGTCCCTGTAATGAAATCATCTGATTCAGATGCTTATAAACCTTCAAATCCGTTCTCCTTTTCATTCATTCTTAATTGCAACTTTGAATCTATTGCCATCGTTTGCCATATAGTTATTCACCTTTATCTAGTGAACATGAGTGCACTCAACTTATCTCCAGTTAAAATTCAGCTCCCAGATAGCTTTCCCCCTCAATCTATTCTTTTTATGTTGAATTATTTCACATGACTACGTGTTAATTGGTCTTTCTTATTAAATGTAATTCGTGAGTTGGAAGGAGACCGTGGTCAAGGGTGGACTTACGTGAAGTAAACTGTAACTACATAATTTTTATTCTATGACCTCTGCTTGACGCTGTAGAATGGCTTTGAACTTTTTGTCAGTTTTTCGAGATTTTCTCGAAACTATTATCAATATTCAGTTCTAACACGAACCATTGAATTCAGTTCAATTAGCAATCTTAAAAAATGTTGTAAAAAAATCTTCATTTTCAAGCAGAATTGCAGGTTCTCCTTTCACCATCAATTGTTTTACATATCATTTGCATCATAATGTTGACAATTAAATCTAATTATTATTATCATTTTCCTCTATTCAAGTTGATTGTGTGAGTGATAAGTTTTTTTTACTTCATGAAAAACAATAATCACTCAGGGAGTTGAGTGAAAGTGTTGATTGTTTCCCTTGATCAAGTTAATCAACTATACTAATAGTTAATTATAATTGCAAATGATGATGTAAATTAACAGTTATCATCATAAACTTTTACAATTAGTTATCAAAGTTTTTACATTCAAATTGCTACAGAAAAAAAGGAGCAACAAAAACTAAATTAAAGCTTAATCATCAATAGTAAATTAAATAAATGGCTCATCATTAAGTATTACATGTTTTATATTATCCAATTGTTATCGACTAGTACAATCAATTGATTGTTAATCAACATGAATAAATATAATTTAGATGATAGGTTATCATAATTGACCATAAGAGTCCATCGGAAATGACCATCGTACTTGAGTCAATAAATACAATGAGTAACTTTTAATATCCAATCCATTATAACGGAAACGGAAGAAGAGGTTAAATCAAGGAGTCTTTCAATAGTTAACTTTTATCATCATAAACCAGGATAATGATAATGATGATGATGATGATTAGGAAGATAAGATGAAAGATGATGAAATTATCTTGCAATTGATATTAATTTATCATTTGCATTGACCAATTCAAGTAAATCAACATGACCATTTTGATTTCAATCTGACTGATCACTTATTCATGACGATAATGATAATTTTCATCTTAAATCATAAATAATGAAACCTTAATTGTCTCATAAATAACCACAATCAACAAGATAAATAAAGTTGATTATCCAAGTTTATCATGATTAGTGTTTTATTTATTTGATTAAAGTGATTGCCCGTTTTCATATTATAATCAAAGTTCACAATCAGTGATAACTTTTATGTCACAATTAAAAAGTTATCAATATGATAGATATTAGTTTACCTTTTTATTATTATTACCTTAATTGTGAGTGTATTTAATTAGTTTCAAGTTGATTATGATGAAACCACAAATCATCAGTGTGTCTCTTTAATTGAGTTAATGGGTTTTCATGATGAAGGTGAGGATGAAAATACTCATCAACATGAGAGACTATAAAAAAAGATGAAGATGAAAAGATAACGGTAATTTATTAAATATACACTTTGGTCTCATGTTAATTAATTAAGTTTCACAATCACGTTTACTTGATCATGATACAATTACCTTTTTTTCTGGTAATCATCATGAATTAAATAATTACCAGAGGAAATTTTCATCTTCCTGATGTGAGAAAAAAAAAATCTTTCTTCCGATTTTCAGTTCTTTCAGAACTTTTTTTTCCTCAGTGTTCTGATTATGGTGCAAAAATATTTTCCATTTTTTCATGATATAAACACGAGCTTATCAGTTATCAATTTTCATGATTGTTTACTGAATCTAATTGGATAACAATTTATTAAACTTAATTGCTGAGCTTGAACAGATTAGGTGATTGTTGATTTTCACAGTTTAATAACTGTTACTTGTAATTAACTATTCAAAATTATGATAATAATCAAGATTAATTAGCCAACAATTAGTAATGTGTTTATGAGTAAAAAAGATGGGTTAAATTGTTTGCAATTAGCTTTCAAGTTATATTTAAACACTTAAGCCTTTGGGCTAATTAACTAATTAGTTTGGTCTTTGATTTACAATTGAAAAATTAATCAAACTTTTCTTGAGAAACTAATTTATGGTCACAATTGATTTTAAAAGAGTAAAACTTTTTTAATTTACGACAATTAGTGTCAACAATTAGATGACAATTTATTGAATTACATTAATCAGCTGACAAAAGTTTTCTCTCAAAGTTTTCTCAATAGTTTCCAATTTTTGAGGCTGAGATTTTTTCCCTCCTTCTTTTCAGATCTCATGTAAATCAGATTCAAGTCTCAGGAAAAGTTTCATGTGATTTGAATTTAAAATTTTCACATATCATGATAACAATCTGATTCTTTTTATCGTATTATAAAACTGAACAATGTTTCATGATGTAAACCATGATAAGTAGTTACAACTGATACTCAGCATGATAATCAACAGAATCAAATGAACCAAAGGAAAGAAAAAAATTTACATGAGAAATCAGGGTTCTCCTTGAATCGTTTTGACATGGAAAACTGGAAATTAAATCAGAATTGAAATGATGTTATTATATTGAAAACCATTTGAATACGTGGTGTAGTCTGAATATCTCAATGAACTTTTCCTCCATCAATGAAATCCATTAACTCACTTACTGAACAATATGTTATCACTTTATATTTATCTCTCCCTTTTGAATTCTGTCTATAACTCATGATGATGAATTCAGAACTTTATTTTTGTTCAGTGAAAAAAGTTGATTCAGATTCAGATGAATTTCATGGTTGTGACATTAATGATCACTCATTGAATGTAATCATGTTACTCAGCCATCAGAATTCAATATTTTCCTTGACATATTTAGGAAATGTTCAATTCTAGTAATATAATCAAATCATCATGATGACAATCAAAATCTTTGCCTAAGGCTATGGATGAACTTTCATGATAAGTATCAATGTTTCATTATGAATCATCCATTAGTAGGAACTTTCATCTTTCTCATTCTATCTTCCCTTTATCATCTTTATCTTGACTCAGAATTAATTTCAATTATTTCTGAGTATTTTTATCATCAAGTTCAGATTTCAAGATCTATCATCTATCATTAACATGGTAACTGAACAGAAACTCTGAAAGCTTAAGGTTATTAGTTTTATCCCTCTGAGTGTCTTTCTGTGCCCGGAAAGATGTATGAGTTGACCATTGGTCAGATTACTTTTATCGAACAGAATTTTTTTCTCCTCTTATCAATTCTCATCATTATCACTCTCATGAAACTCATGTTTATCATGAACTTTTTCCGCCTTCTTGTTAACAGAATTGTCTTATAGTCTTTAACAATGGTTATAATATTTACGATAAAAACCTAATTCAAAGTTTAATCTTAATCGTTGACAATGGTCATCTCACTGGTCATCTATTGGTGATAATGATGATTAACTTGATCACCATGAACATGAAAAAAAAAGATTCAAGATAATCTCATTGAGATGGATAATTCTGATCAGATTTTTTGTTTCTATTGACAATTGAATACTGATCATTAATTGTTCATTCATTAATCAAATCGATTTGCTTTTAGTTATCAAAGATGTTTAATCAGATTGAATTGTTCACAATCAATAACTGTTTAATTCTTGATATTCAAAGTTGATTGGCACAAATTTAATTCACTGTTTGATCGTTTGATTTAATCTGATGAATTTTACATGGCTCAGATGATTTCATGTTCATGATAACTCAGTTCCGTAGATTTAATTACTCGGAAAATCAAAACTTTCACTTTCCTCAACAATTTAATTAATCTTTACACATCATAAGCTGATAAATATTAATTAAGTTGCTACATAAATCAAGTCAATCAGATTCGCTGATTAAATTTATCAGGTAACTTATTTTTTTTTCTTGATTAAATGACTGAATTAAATGTCAATGAAGTTTGATTATTATCATTGATTGTTACTTGGAGCTCACAATAGTTAAGTTAACCATTTATTATGAGTTTAAATAAATTGTAACAATCAAATTTTATCTCATGATTAGAATCATTTATTGTTGAATGAGTTTTTCAATAACAAAGTTGAAACCTTTCAATGGGAATACATTATGATAATAGTAATGATAATCATGATAATCCAATAGGAATTGAATGAAAGTGTTTCCAATTCAATTCAATCCGGTGAATATGAAATTATCATGGTAACTGTAATATCTGTGATAATAATTGGTGATTTAGTTTCAAGTATTATTGAAGATGCTGATGATCATCATCATTGAATGCTGATGATATTTGCAATCAGATTGTTAAACATTGAATAAGATTCATTGGTGCATGATGATGATGGCGATGATTATAATATACTTTTCAAAGAAAATTGAGAAATTTTTCTCTCAATTTCTATTTCCATGTGATATCCTGAATTGATATTCACTTTTATTTCTCCTTCTAATACTTTCAGATGAAGTCATGTAACAATAATGGAACTTGTGACCAGCATCATCCTGACCTCATGGAAATGCTCCGTTCCAATTCAGATCCATCTCTATCCTGTAACCAGAAAAGTAAAGGTGATAAACTTTGTTTTCGAGTTGACGTTTCAACCCAAACCATTGACAGTGATTACGGATTAACAGGATTAGACAATCAGCTGTTCATCCCAACTAAACTTGGATTCGCCTGTTTAAATTATGATCAACTACCACCACCACCTCCAGAATCCTTGCTATTACCACCCCAATCGTCCCAATTGATCAAGAATGAGCAACAATCAGAATCAACTATTTCAAGGGAAACACTGGAAGGAATTAATCAAATTTTATTGGCTCATGCACTGGGACAATTAACCGTAGCTGATGCTGATGATGAAGAAGAGATGATGAGGATGAAGATGATGATGATGACGATGAAGATGATGATTTACTTCAAGAATGTGATGCAATCGAGTACGAGGTAAGTTCAATCAAGTGAAATTCATTCATTAACTTAATCAATTCATCATCTTTATGCCAGAGTAAAATTTAAATGAATCATATTAAGGATAAATTGTTACAATTTAATAATGTTCAGAAATGTACATGTCTCTGTATAGTTAATACATCTTATCCTGTAAATGAACTGAATTAATATCATTATGATTAAGATAAATTGGTTAGGTAAATTCAATGAGATTAATAAATCATCTGAATAAATTATCACGAAACTGAGCAATGATATAATGAAAACAAAAAGAAGCTCAATTAAGATGATGATCATTATGATGATGATGATAATAGTTGAGATGATGAAAAAATAATCATCTTAGGATGCAGATTATCATTTATCTTGGATGTTATCAGGAAATCACCAGAATTAACTGAATCATCTGATAAAAAAAGTTCATCACCTTTGTTTCATTTGTTATCATCTGAATTTCCTTTCAATTCAGTAATTGAGTTTATCATGGATGTTAACGATTATCATCAATTGAACTTTTCAAGTTTCATCTTGAACATCAAAGTTGATTACAGAAAACAAAACGATTACAATTTATGATTACAAATTAATCCTTAATATTGTTGTAAATCTAGTTTCCTCCCTCCAAGTTCAGGGGAGAAATGAAATGTTCAGGTTACTAATGATGGAAACTGTAAAATGTTCAAGGAAGATAAAGAAAGAAAAAAATAAAGAGGAATACAATTCATCAGCTATTCTCTCTCTCTCTCCATCTCATTCCTCATCTTTATCTTCGCTATTCTCATGTAGCATCCTTAGTCTCATCTTCTAATCGATTTTATGGATCAGTGACCTTTTTTTAGCGAAATAAGAGAATGAGAGAGAAAAAATCATCAGAAAATTGAAGCATCAGAAAAAAAGATAAACCTGGTTTCTTTTTTTTCTTTGTTTTTATCTTCCTTTTCTCCCTCTCCTCATCTTCAACTGGTCTCACTACATTAGAGTGAGCTTACTATCCATCTAACCCACCATGGTCTTCATACTTTCCACCCGCATCATCAAGGTGTATGATGAGTTGATACACTCTAAGGGAGAGTATAAAAATGATATGAGAAAAATCAGAAAAAAATCAACAGAAACATGAAAACTGTTGTTTCATTTGATATAAAGTAATAAATTGTTACCTTTACAGGAGAGGGAAACAAACAGGGTGAGAAATCAAGATCACCCTCCATGGGGAATTCTGATTCTGACACTGAAGTTGTTGCCAATTACAGTAGTTACATTAGCTGATTAACTTTACCTTTCCATTGGTGATAATCAACCAAATTGGACAATTTTTGTTTTCCAAGTTCATTTGTAAGAATAGTATTAAGAATCTTAACTTGATTGTTTCCAAACTGATTCTGAATTATAACAATAAATATTGAAAAACACATAATCTCATGGTAGATGAGGAAACAGAGCAGGAGAAAATCAAGAAGAAAAGTAAAAAAGGAGAGGAAGTGAAAGAATGATAAAAAAAGCATAAGTTCTGTTTACCATGAAGAAAAATATGAATCCATCATGAAGAGTTTGAATTTTTTCCACATTAGTTTCAATCTTTTTATATTTTTTCATTTTCCTCCCTCATGTTCAGTTCCTTAACTTTGAGATAACTTATCATCTTTATCCTTTTTCTGCTTATTTTAAACTCCAACACTTTGTTATCATTATGATTGTTGTTGTTGTTGTGGGAGGAAGATGATGATGATCGTGGTGGAGGATGATGTTTTCGAGTGGATGAGTTGCCATTTTAAATCGTTTTCTATTATTTTCATCTTTTCCTCTTTATGAAGATAAGATGTAAATCTAAGATTCACTTTGAATGGAATATTTTTCATATCATCTTTTCAACTTTTCCATCTCAATCTTCATCTTTTTACTTTCACGCTCGCTGCCTTTAAGCATCTTCATCTTCCCTCATCTTCATCTCTCTGTAGTATAGATACCTATGTATTTTTCATAAGAAATAGAGGGAAGATGATGATTAGTTTAAATATCTCATATGTGTAATAATAATAATAGAATGAGAAAAAAGTGAGACGTAAATTGAAAAGATGAGGAATGAATTTTTCATTTTCTCTTGCAAATACTTTATCATCATTTTCTGATATTCAATCTCCATGTAAACTTGAATTTCGAAAATTTTTCTCGAAAAGTTTCCTTTTTTTCCTCATCTTCTTTTCTTCATCTTCATCATCCTCATCCTCTTATTCTAGCATAAATATAAGAGCTTTTCCTTCATCTTTTTCTTCAGCGATATTGATGTAATGATGATTTTCTCTCTCTCTCTCTGATCATTATAATCTTTTCCTCTTCAATTCAATGTAACACATTTGATTTCAATAATGAGAAAAGATGATTATCCGACTATTATATTAGAATGATGATGATTAAGTCATATTTCTAATGGAGCCAGTGGGTTTTTCTCATATTCACCAGGAGTATCATGTAATATGTTACCTCGGTGGCAGTTGATTGCTGATCCATTAAGATGAAAGTTGGAGTGTAAATCATATATCATTAATGATATCAGTGTGTTCAACTTTTATGAGTTATTATTACAATCTTAATGATTCTGTTGACGTTTATTAAGTTTGCCTCAGTTTCCACCATGTACCTTGATCCGCTCTCATCTTAGACCTTCATCCATGGAGATTCAGAAATGAACTTTACTTTCCCTTTTTCCTTTACTTACATAATCGGTCTCTCTCTCTCTCTCTCTCTCTCTCTCTCTCTCTCTCTCTATGTCTCCACCTTATGAAAAAAAGTTCATCACTTTTGATCTGAAAGCGACATGTTCAAGTGAGTTGTTACTTTTGTTGTTCACTGATTATCATGTTCAAAATCATGATTAAAATGTAGATGAACAGGAATCTCATTGAATTGAATTTAAAATCTTTTTTTCCTGTTGAATAATAAAATGATCATTTTAATCTGATTTGATTTCGAAACCATTTAAATTCTGACAGAATTCATTCCTGAAATTGGTTCTTCTTTCAATGTTCATTGGTAAACATTCAACTCGAACAAAAACAAAAATCCCCTGAATTTAAGTTCGAGTTGCAATTTAATTTCTTCCTTATCATCTCTTTTGTGATTTATCTTCCTATCTCTTTCTCTTCGATCTCTCATTTTCATTTTCATTCTCATTCTCATCAACTCATCAACTCATCGAATTGGTAACATAACAAAAGAAAAAAGAACTTGCAATTTATCCTTAGGACAATTCTTGTTTCTGTTAGAACTTTTCTTTTCTTCTTTTATTCCTCATTTATCTTGTTCGTACTTTTTCTCTTCTCGTCTTCATTGTTCGAGTTCTATTCTTACTGAATAAGGCTTTAAGCTATTATTGTGATTCTAATTTAGTTCGTTGAGTCTTCCCTGAATTCCAACGTATTTGCATTTACTTCTGGCTGATGAGTTGTTACCACCCTCATGAATGATTGTTATTCATTGAGATTAATTCCGCTTTCTAATCAATATCTTTTCATTGTTTTTCTCTTAAGGATGTTTTATTAACTCGCCAATCACCAAATCAGAGTCTTGGCCTTTGCCTTTCATCAGAACAACCAAATAATCAGGGAGATAATCAACAACCACCAAGGAATCATGAAAATGAAAATGGTGCTTACACTCGTAGTGAGGTTTATATCAGCTTCCTGGAGACTGGTGGGTTAGCTGAACGATCCGGAGCAATTAAGATTGGTGATCAAATATTGAAATCAATGGATATACATTTGATTTCAATAATGAGAAAAGATGATTATCCGACTATTATATTAGAATGATGATGATTAAGTCATATTTCTAATGGAGCCAGTGGGTTTTTCTCATATTCACCAGGAGTATCATGTAATATGTTACCTCGGTGGCAGTTGATTGCTGATCCATTAAGATGAAAGTTGGAGTGTAAATCATATATCATTATTAATGATAATCAGTGTGTTCAACTTTTTATGAGTTATTATTACAATCTTAATGATTCTGTTGACGTTTATTAAGTTTGCCTCAGTTTCCACCATGTACCTTGATCCGCTCTCATCTTAGACCTTCATCCATGGAGATTCAGAAATGAACTTTACTTTCCCTTTTTCCTTTACTTACATAATCTCTCTCTCTCTCTCTCTCTCTCTCTCTCTCTCTCTCTCTCTCTCTCTCTCTCTTTCATGTCTCCACCTTATGAAAAAAAGTTCATCACTTTTGATCTGAAAGCGACATGTTCAAGTGAGTTGTTACTTTTGTTGTTCACTGATTATCATGTTCAAAATCATGATTAAAATGTAGATGAACAGGAATCTCATTGAATTGAATTTAAAATCTTTTTTTCCTGTTGAATAATAAAATGATCATTTTAATCTGATTTGATTTCGAAACCATTTAAATTCTGACAGAATTCATTCCTGAAATTGGTTCTTCTTTCAATGTTCATTGGTAAACATTCAACTCGAACAAAAACAAAAATCCCCTGAATTTAAGTTCGAGTTGCAATTTAATTTCTCTTCCTTATCATCTCTTTTGTGATTTATCTTCCTCCTATCTCTCTTTCTCTTCCATGATCTCTTCATTTTCATTTTCATTCTCATTCTCATCAACTCATCAACTCATCGAATTGGTAACATAACAAAAAAGAAAAAAAGAACTTGCAATTTATCCTTAGGACAATTCTTGTTTCTGTTAGAACTTTTTTTCTTCTTCTTCTTTTATTCCTCATTTATCTTGTTCGTACTTTTTTTCTCTTCTCGTCTTCACATTGTTCGAGTTCTATTCTTACTGAATAAGGCTTTAAGCTATTATTGTGATTCTAATTTAGTTCGTTGAGTCTTTACCCTGAATTCCAACGTATTTGCATTTACTTCTGGCTGATGAGTTGTTACCACCCTCATGAATGATTGTTATTCATTGAGATTAATTCCGCTTTCTAATCAATATCTTTTCATTGTTTTTCTCTTAAGGATGTTTTATTAACTCGCCAATCACCAAATCAGAGTCTTGGCCTTTGCCTTTCATCAGAACAACCAAATAATCAGGGAGATAATCAACAACCACCAAGGAATCATGAAAATGAAAATGGTGCTTACACTCGTAGTGAGGTTTATATCAGCTTCCTGGAGACTGGTGGGTTAGCTGAACGATCCGGAGCAATTAAGATTGGTGATCAAATATTGGAAATCAATGGATATGAGATCAGCTCAATAGACGAAGCCAAGACAATCCTTTGCAGTCCTGAAACTATTTCATTTGAATTACTTATCGGTCGACCAAATGTCCATCATGATCATTCCAAGTGCAGGGAAAGGTCAGTTTCCAAACGATTGGCACTTTTTGAATCAAGTGAACATGGAGATGCCAATCATGTGGCTATCGTTGATTGTAGTCAAGAGTTTTATATCCTCTCAATGGATCCATCGGCTGATAAAAATAATAATAAATTTCCATCTTCAAAAGGAACTCATTTAATGACCAATGGTCAACAGCATCAATCAGCTGGTGGCCCAGTTAACTCTTGTATATCAAGTGGAGTTTATGAAAGTTATGGTAAACTTCAAGGTCCATCTGATGAAAAGGACAGTGGACTTGGTAAAACTGATGGTGAGTCAAGTTGTTCACAAACCAATGAAACTTGTTCAACTGACCACGAATTGACCGGTTCATTGGATAAAATTCGTGCTAGTGAACCATCTCCACCCTTAATTCAAGGTACAGTTAATCCATCTTCTTCTGGACATGGGTCAGTCTCTTATTCATCTGGTAATTCATCTGCAGAGGGAAAGAGGCAAATTTTACATGGTCAAATGGTCAACAGTTCAAATCAATTTAATCAACATCAAAAAGGTCAACCTGACACAAATAACATGATGATAATCACCTCACCTTATAATGAAATAGATCCAACTAGTGGTCAACTGGGAGGGTTTATCAATCATTATGAGGAATGTCATTATGCTTCAACTGAAATAGTACCCACACCTCAGCCTAGTCAACATCCACCAATGTCCAGTCTGGTGAAACAAAGTTCACCTCCGGAGGCTCGAAGTAAACCTTTGAAAAAAGTTTCCACCGTCAATGGTCACTCAATGAGCCAAGAAAACAAATCAAACGGCGATTTGTTGCCCACTGAAATGCAGCCCGCTGAGAAAAAGGAATCAATCAAAAGGTGGATCAAAAGTGGCCTTCCAAACACTTTACCAACTCCATTGTTAACAGCAACATCGAACTTGACTCCAAGTACCAATTCTAATATCATGTCCAATCGTCCATCTTCATTTAAACCGAATCTTGTCCAATCGCCTTTGGAGGGCAATAAAATGTTGACCAAAAATGACCATGAAAATAGAAAAGAGGACAAAGGGGTTTCGACAGAGGAAAAGGCCACTCAAATCGAATCTGATGCCGCAAGTTTAATGAGTTGTGAGTCTTGTCGAATGTGTATCATTAAATCACAAGGTGGAAACTTGGCTGATAAAGATCGAGGTGGACAACGGGCAGAAACTTTCCACCATCATCAGACTGTTTTACCCACTGTGCCCAAAAGAACGGGAAATTTGCCCATTCCAGTTAAAGTTCCCGTTGTACCCGATTTAACGATGTTCAATAGTAATTCTAATATGATAAAATCGACCAGTAAAGGTCACCTTCGAGAGGAGAAAGAAAATGTTTACTCGGCTGTTGGTCCAACCACGACAATGTACACAACAAAGGCCAATCTTGAACATACGATAATGTTACAACAGGAAATGTTCCGTCAAGCGTTAATTCAACAGCAGAAAATAAAACCCTGGCAGAAACGAAGTCGATCAAATGAATCAACTGGTCAACCAGCGGTCAATCATCGTCCTTCTAGTCAAATAGTTTATCCACCGAACTCGAACAATCATCCAAATGGTACACCAACAAGTCCGTCCAAACATTTTCGAAATCAGATCGGTTTGGTCCATTCAACGTCTCTGTCCAAATTCAAGGAAACCAAGAACGACAAACAAGCAAGTGGATCTGGTAAACAAACAAATGACCAGAGCGGTAACAATGTAAATATGGAATGGAAAATAAAAAAGCGACCTGATGGTACTCGATACATTACTCGAAAACCAATCAGATCGAAAATATTGAAAGAAAGAGCGGAAATAATTAACCAGGAAAGGTCAGGATTAACCACCGATGATGATACAATGTCCGAGTTGAAGGTTGGCCGATATTGGACCAAAGATGAACGGAAAAAACACTCGGAGCGGGCAAAGGATAGGAAACGGAGGGAAATGCTGTTGAGGGCGATTAAGATGAGCTCGGTTAGGGAAAATTCAGAAGAATGGGAATTAACTAATGGTAAAGATCAACAATTAACTGGTGGTCAGTCATCAAGTGGTTCAAGTGGATCAAATATTAAACCTCGATTGACCATTGGATCGGTCAAGGGAAATAATAATATTCAAAAGTATCATGGTAACAATTTGATTACACTTCCAGTTGATAAAAATATTCAAGGATTAATCAAACAATCAAACTCATTATTATCTTCATCATCACCTTCACCGGTAATTGTTAAATTAAATGGACCAATTAACAGAGCCACAAGTAAAAATCAAATTAATGAACTACTCACAGTAACGACAGTTTAATTAACTGTACATTTTAACAATTTTTTTAATCTTATTAAATAAATAAATTGTCATAAATCAAACCCGTAATCTTATTGATTGTCACAATTTTTTTTCAGTTAAAATTTAATTGGTCAAAAATGTTAAGTATTAAATCCGATAAGAGATGGCACTAGTCTCTTGAGAAAGTTGATCAACTAAGATAATTGTTTAGTTGGTAATCAACTAAACAATTAACTATTTAGATTTATTTCTAATCATTGGTACGATAGTTGATTCATCTTGAAGCTCAGTTAAATTGGTGAAGAGATGAAATTTCATGATTTCGATATTGGTAATGATCGTTTCGAGAAGATTATTATCCAAACAATTAACTTGAAAAATTTATCAACAGTATTTTAATCAATCTGATAATTGTCAACGGAAAACATCAACATTTCAAATCCAATCAAATAAGCAAACAATCATAAACGAAAAACTGATTAAAGGCCATTGGAAAACATTAATATTTACTAATAGCAAAGTTTTCGATTGCAAATGATAATTCAATCAGTTTCTCAACCGATTTTGAAATCAGTTCGATTTATCAAGAAAATTATATCAATAGTTACGATTAATTATCTAATCGATGGCTCAGAATTTGTGAAGCTTATCGATTAAAAGACTCGAACTCATCACACTTACAAAGAAACAACCAATGGTCAATATTTATCGATATGGACAAAGAACTCAAACTGTCCAGTAAAGGATAATGGATTCTATTAATTGACCAATTCTGTATAAATTGAATTCGATTTCAATGGAAAAGATTATTTCATTTGCATTGAACAAGAATAACTGACAATCAAATTGTTAATTGCACTCAAAGTTAATCAATTTAAACCTACGAAATTTCACTGAATTGGAATTAGTATCAGCCCCTAATTTATTAACAATGAAGTTCACTGAAAACAATTGTATTAGTTTCAATGTCAACAAATTGATCTAATTGTTGGAAACAATTTAGAAAACTGGTATTTATGTTCAATCAAAATGCTAACTGAGCTTGGAAATTCAATGGTGAATATTTATCCTGTTAATTTTTCACCAGACAGAATAAATTAACTTGAGACAATCAATGAACTTAATTCAATTGTAATCAATTTATTTTACTGATGAAAAGTGTTTACATGTTAAGAGTTATATCCAATAAGAGATGGCGCTAAATGCTTGAGGTCAAAGTTAATCAACCTTAAGATAATTTTAGTTAATTATCAATTAACTATGTTGATTAAACTTATTTTTCCTCCGGAAGTTTGTAAGCAAAATTTGGTTACATTGTTGTAAAACTTGATTATCTATGAATTGATATAAAGTTAATTGTTCATTGATTGTGTTTCCGTTTGGCAGTTAAATTGTTGTACTATTAGTTGATTGTAATGTCCAGCTGTTGATTTAATTGTCTACTCTATCCTAATTATGATTTGATTGTAAGGTGTTTTATGTTTGATTGTGTGTTAAGGTTAATTACTGGTTAGATGAGCAAATGTATTATTAAATAATAATAACAATTAAGAAGAGGAAATTGATTTTTTTACCAATCAAAATCAATGAAAGAAATTAAATTGTCATAACTTTTAAAGTAATTAACTAATCAACAGATGCTAAATATTGAAAAAAATTGGTTAATTATCCTGTAGAGAGAAATGTATGGAAAAACTTAATTGTTACAATTAGATTTGCTTTATAATGGTAAAAGCGATTTACCTGAAAGTAAATTAATCTGGTTTTAAATTAATGTTGTAAAACCAGTTACAATCAGATCTTAATCATCATCATCATCATGTTTAACTGTCCTTCAATTATCAACCTAATTAAACCAGAAGCCCAGGTAAGTGGTCAGTCAACCCTAATCAACGTAATCATATTGAATTGATTACAAACAATTAAGGTTGAATTGAGATTGTTTTTTTGACCAATCAACATAATCCAAAGCGTGTAAGTAATTAAAAGAAAAGGGTGTTGGAAATTGTAACAATTAACAATCAAATAATGAATATGAAAAAAAAAGATCAACAATTAAACTAAATTGATATTGAACAACAAAACAACAATTACATGTCAAAGTTAAATTGTGACAATTAAGGACTGGGCAGGTTAAGTAAATGATCGTGATACATATTGTGTAATTAAGGTGAACCTTTTTTTTCATCTCGTTGATTAACAATTTAAATTGTAATTGATGAAAGTTCAATAGTAAATTAATCGTGTTCAATTGTTGTAATTTCTTTCAAAAAATATAATCATTTAGTTATTGTTGCCCTTCAATTGTCAATTTAAGTTATTAATACAATCAAGTTAATGATGAATTTTTTTTTCCATCAATTTTAGTTAATGTATTTACCATGTATATCATATGCAATTTGATTGTGATGATTACAATTCTCATCTCAATGATTCAGGTTCTGAGGTTCTTCCTGTAATTATCATGATTACCTTTTATATCACTTAGTTGCTTTTTCTGTTGTATTATCATCATAATCATCATCATCTCCCTCCTCCTATTTTTACCTGTGGTGTGTAATTGTTAACTAACTTTACCTGTAAAAAAAAAGTCAGAGATATAAATAATTACAGGGTTCAGTCAACAATTACCTAATTTCTGTGACAATCAGCATCAACAATTTACTCTCATATGGTGTCTCCATATAATAATACTATTAGATGAGAGAGTAACCATTGGACCTCAAGTTGATTCTGTGGACAATTTAATTTCATCATTATCCTTTTCCTAGTGTTACTATTTCATTTATCATCATCATCATCTTCCTAATCTTGCTTATCTTTATCTTACCTCTGCAACCTGACGACAACAACCATTGGACACTACAGGTCAGTTTCCCGTTGCTGTTTCTTTCTCGGTTTGGGAAATAGTTTTTTTTGACAACTTTTGATTTTTTTTTTCTTTGCTTTTCTTTACCAAAGAAAAGGTAAAATGACCTCCACCCCTACAGGTAGTTACCTGGGCTATCATCATCCTCATCATCCTCATCATCATTATCGTCATCTTTAATTTACCTTTTTCCTCTTCTGCAGACACAGTTGACTTACAACGTTGTGTCTAAGCTTAACAGGTAAAAGTGGCCTTGCCTCGGGCTAAATTGATTTAAAACGCATGAGAAACCAAAAAAAAACTTCAAGGGACTTTTAGGAAAAGATGAACATTAAATAATCAAGTCGAAATGGTGAAAACAAATGAGCAACAATTTGGAAAAACAAAAAGTATAAATGATCAACAATTAACAATCAATCAATTGTAACATTGTTGTTATTTATAATACAGTTGATGTAATTGTTCATTGATCCATTGAGATTAATTCTTGCATACAGATTGAAATTAAAACCCACCGGTGGGTAAACGGGTGAAAGTTGAAAGTGTGAGAAAATATATTTACAAAAAGAGAGTATAAAAGTTAATTAATTGATCACAATCAAAGTATTAATATAATTAACGTGATTTCCAACTGTTGTTGTTTGACTAATTGGATTTACATTAAAGAAAACAAAATAATTAATTACAATTAAGACAATTTCATAGAGTAACAAGTTACTGACCAGGAATAATTATCGTGATTTACTGGACAATCATCATTATCATCATCTCTCAACTGGAAAAGTTAATTCTTACAATCAGTTAATTGTAAACGATTAGAATCTTATTATAATCCTGTTTAATTCAAGATGATTAAGTTACCATGAAATTTTTTATTCTTATTGTTTTTCTTATGTAACAATCAACTTGCAATAGATAAAATCAGTCAATCAATATCAATCTAAACTCTCAAGGATCTTAATTACTTTTAATTGTTTTGAATTAAAAGTTAATCAACAAAGAGAGAGAAAAATGTTTGCGATCTTTGGGTCAACAATTAAGTTTCGTCATCGAATCGATCGATTTGTTTAGATGAATTCTAATTTTCGATCGACAGGTGAAAAGAGAAAAAAAAATGTCTTAATGTAGACAGAAAATTGCGACAGATTAAAAGAGAAAGAGAAAGAAGATGATAGACAGTAAATGCGACAGAGAGTTAATGTGTTACTTTTGCGAAAGAGAAGAAGAAAAAAGAAAGGGAGTCAAAAGGGAAACTCTCTTTTCTCTCTCTCTCTTTTTCTTCTTGTTGGCGGTTGTTGATTTTTCTTTCACTCTTTGGGTTGATTTCTATTCTCTATGTGTAATTTTAATTTCTTTTTATTTTAATTAATTTGTTGTGATTATGTTGGATTAAGATTTATCCAGGATGAATCGACTTGTTGATTACTTCATCATTCTTGGATTTGATGATCAAAAACAAGGTAAGAGAAAAAAGAAAGAGACATTTTTGGGTTTTCTGTTTTGTTTTGCTTTTCTATCTTGTGTTTATTATTAGGCCTTCATCTAACTTTTGGCCTTTTCTCTTGTTTATTGTTTCTTCTTGATTATAATCACTAATTATCTGTTGTTGTTAATAGCTGGTACTCTTGGATCAGGCAAAGTGTTACAACGATTTCCAGAAAATGATTGGCCTGATGTGCCTCTAATTGATGGCTTGGAATTGGTTAGTCTTATTTTATATTGTCCAAAATTTGGTTACATTTCTTGAGACCAATCAATTGATTGATGGAATTTTTTTTTACTTATCTATCTGTTTTTTCTCTCTCTCTCTCTCTCAGTTTTGTCAACCTTTAGGATGGAGATTGTCATCAAGTCTACAAGAACCATCTTTCTTTGTCTCCGTGATGACTTATATGGATGCAAATAAACACTATTGTGCCTTCTTATCCTTTTATGAGCCCATCTCTCTCAACTCAATTAAACAACCCGATGAAGAGGATAGTGAGATTGACGTTATTTTAGATCAAAATACCAGTGGTTCAATTAATGATTGTTCATCAACCAACTCATCATCTATGTTTGCACCAAAATGTATTGTTTTACAATCGAGACATAATTTTGTTGAAGTGTTTAAGGTAATCTAACTGGAGAGAGAAAAAAAAAATCTTCCACCCTCATCGTATTTTCCTATCAACCATTGGCTCAATTTGAATGAACATTTAGCTCATTCTTTTTTCTTTAACCTGAATTTATCCTCCATCCCGTTTATTATACTAATTTTCCAGTGTCTTTCTTGTCTTTTTCCTTTACTATCTATTTCACTTATCTTGACGTTTTCTCTCTTTCTCTTTTACTTACTTACTTAGTAGATAATTCATGGCCTTGGCTAATATTTAATTTCTTTTCTTTTTCTTGTAATATCATAGAACTGCCTGGAAACAATTTATACTGTTCACTTGGAATGTATGGATATTTCACTGGAAAAATTAGTCGGAAATTTATTATGTATCGAGGTTCCCTCAGCAGGTACGAAGAGTCAACAAACAACCACTGACACTAAAATGATTGTTGACATGTATCAATGTTTATTCTGATTTTGGGTTTTTCTTTTTCTTATTTTCTATCTTCAATATTCTAGGATCTCAATTGAAATTCTCAATCGGTGCCAATGATAAACAATTACTCACTATGCCACTGAGTACAACTGTTCCCGTTACTGGGACAACGGTTGTCCAACTTTTCGAGAGGCTTAATGTTCACAATGTTATCAGTCTTTTCACCGCAGTTATGACTGATAATAAGATTCTCTTTCAATCGGACAGTTACTCTCTCCTTTACGAATCTTGCCATGCATTAACCTCACTCATGTACCCATTTGTTTACAGTCATGTGTACATTCCGCTTTTACCCTCATCTTTATTGGAAATGTTAAGTTCACCAACACCCTTTATAATGGGTGTACATTCGAGCCTTCAAGACGAAGTTGAAGATCTTCTTGACGTGATAGTGGTTGATCTTGATGTTGGTTGTATCTCGATTCCCGATTGTATACATTTACCTAAACTTGATGGTCCGGCCTACAATGAAATGGTCTATCAACTTCGATCCGTCATAACACCACAATTAATGAGGAAAGATGTTGCTTTACGATCTAGTCATTTAAAGTCATCGCCACCTCATCTTCTGGTAAGTTCTTTCTATCTCTCTCTCTCTGTTTATCATCTCAATCAACTGCAAGCTAATTAACTTTTTTCTCCCTTCCTGTTTATCTTCTAGGATAAAGAAATCAGAGCCATTTTTGTTCGCCTTTTCAGTCAAATGTTACAAGGCTATCGAACATGTTTACAAATTGTTCGAATCAACCCAAAGCCCTTTATCACTTTCCACAAGGTACATGATCGAATCATCAAAATATCCTCTGTTTAACCAGGAAATAAAATATTTAATTTTTCTCTCTCTCTCTCTCTTGCTCTCTGTCTGTTTATCTCTCTTTCTATCTTTAGGCCTCATTCCTTGGTAAAAGAAACCTTGTTGAAAATGAATTTGTCGTTCGTTTACTGGAGAGTATGTTTTTCAATTCATTTGTCCAGGAACGTGGAACACCTTATAGAACAAGTGATCTTTTCGATGAGGTACAATTGTCTAAATTGATTCTATTTTGAAAAAAGGAGAAAAATTCATCTAATTTTCTGTCTATTTCATAGCTTTATGCAACCATGCACGATACCCTGAAAAGAGAGATGACTAACTCTGAACTGGTTATCAAAGATATTAAAGAATTGGCTCATCAACTATATCTAAATGTAAGTTTTGACTGGACAGTGGTCAACACGCAAGTGGCAGGAAAACATTATTCATGATTAGATTCATGATTTTACCAACACGAAAGAAAAACAAAATTGCATCATTTATTTTTATTTCATTCTAATTCTAATTGAAACTTTTTCTTTGTCCATTAATACCAAAAGGAGCATCCACATCCAAAGGATCCAAATCAAATCAAAATACCATTACCACCTGAGGGAGTTTTTACCCGAGTCCATCAACCCAAATTTCCCATCTTTAAATCTGAAATAATTCAAGAAATTTTAGATGATGATAGAATTAGAAGAGAAATGTTAACCGTAGATAAACCTAAACCTAAAGCAGAATCACGAATTATCGCCTTTGGACCAGCGTTTTGTGTTCCATTCAATTCGGATTCAGTTTTGTTTACCAATTCTGCTCGTCGTTTGGAGGTGATGCGTAATTGTATTAATTGTATCTTCGAGGAAAAGATACAAGATGCACGTAAATCATTTCCAGCAGTTTTACGTGCGTTGAAAAATAAATCTGAAAGACTTGCCTTGGCTAAAGAATTAGCAGCTCACGTCACTGGTAACAAGTGTGTCTTAACTCATGAGCAATTTGATTTAATTGTAAGATTAATGAATTGTGCTCTACAACAAGATTGTGATTATTTGGACGGCAGTGCCTCTGGTCTACGTTTAAGGGGATTGGGTGATGTTAACGGTCTTGCTGCTGCCATTTTACCTTTGAGCATGAAATTTTGCCGTCGCCTTGGAATCGGTGGTAATGCTGGTGTCTTACAATTTACTTACACTTGTTTACAGGATCACCTGATTTGGGAAAATATGGGCTTTTGGGAATCAACTTTCTATCAGAATGTTGAACAAGAAGTTACATCTTTATATGGATCAACCAAAGATACCCACCTAACACCACTTGATATCGCCGCTGAGCAAATACGTTTAAAGCCAAAATTGAGTGAACAGCAAATTCAACAATATGCATCTAGTGAAGAATCAACTGTTTACAGTCAAGCAGTTGATTATACTCATCAAATTGTTTCCCTTAAAATACCTCTTGATATTGGTTTTCATGAGAAGAATACTCGAAGTGCAAAATTAAATAATTCATCGGTTGAAGGAGGTCATCATAGTGATACCAATTCAAATTTTACCGGTGGTGGTGCTCGTCGGGAAAGTTATCGAGATGATAAAGATCATGAAAAGGAGACTCGAGATTTTGACAATGAAAGTGGTTTTGAGGAAGGATCTAATGGTAAAGGTCACGCTGCCGTTTCTGAGATTAGTGTTAATGTTATTAAATTTTTGGGAAGATTTATTGATAAAGTTTGCACTGATGGTGGTGTTTCTGAAGATCATATCAAATCACTTCATTCAATGATACCTGATATAGTTGCCATTCATTGTAACACCCTTGATGCAATTTACAAAGAGAGTAAAAATATACCTCCCGTCACAAAGCCTAAGATAATTACACCAAGTTTACTACCGGGTGAGGATTTGGTCATGAAAAGTTTAAGAGCCTACCTGATACCTGATGGTCGAGATGAAGTTCTTGGATCAGCGGTCAGTGGTTCAAGTGTCACACAAATTCCCCAGTCAATAGGTGGACCTGTTCTTCTGCCCGCTGAAGGAGCCATTTTCCTAACCAATTATCGAGTAATTTTCAGAGGTCGTCCATGTGACCAATATGCGGCGGAAAATGTAATCGTTCGAAGTTTTCCAATTTCCACTCTGGTCAAGGAAAAGAAAGTGAACATTTCCTCCAAGTATCTGATAGAAACCATTGACCAGTGTATTCAAGAGGGTTTACAGTTGAGGTCAAACATTTTCGAGTTGATGAAGATCGCTTTTGATGAAGAGGTTTCCTCGGAAGACATTGAAACTTTAAGAAAAATGATCAACAAGGCTCGAACTCCACCCAATGTATTCCATATGTTTGCCTTTACCTCTCAAATTGCAATGTCACACCAGTTGAGTTTGTTGAATTTACAAAAACAGAAGGAAAAAAGTAGCACCTTTAAAGGGATGGCTAAGAAAACGCTCATGCGAACCGCTCAAATGGCCGGAATCAAAAATCTTAAATCAAAATATCGTAAAAGTAAATATCTTATGCCAGCTTCCGGGATTTATGGTTCAAAAACATTAACTCCAGGTTATAATCGTCAATCAATGATTGATTCAGGGGACGAGAAATCAGTCTCTGATGATATATCAATCAACAGTGATTCATCTCATGTTCACTCAACATCAACTTTACCACCTTTATCCAGTTCCTCGGTTGTTGGTAGTAACGTTGATGTACATCTCTCACCTGTTAACCCGAAAGACTCACGAATACTCAAGAAATTGACTGAATTAAGCTACGTCAAGGATTACCAAAGATTAGGATTAGGATCTGTGAAAGATATTCTCTCACCAAATGGTGTAAACAGTTATTCTGGTTTAACCTCGCCCACTTCCTCTAAAAGTTTCAAAGCCTCAAATTTAAACAATAGTACCTCTTCCTCCTCATCCTGTGAAGGTTTCAGAATAAGTTCAGTCAATTCATCATACTCGGTGGCTGGTACATATCCTGCATTCCTTGCGGTACCCGCCTCAGTTTCTGATGACAGTTTACAAAGATTAAGTCGATGTTACAAATTTTGTCGTTTTCCAGTCATCGTTTGGAAACATCCAACATCCAAAGGTTTATTACTCAGAGCCTCGTCTTTCCATGGTAAAGGAGGAATCAACAATACAACCACCTTGTCTAGTGATCTTTCAACTTTCAGCACTCGAAAATGTATTTACATTTTCGGTGAAAATGGTTTAATTAAATCAGCCCAATCTGATAATCAGTCAAATATGATTGAATTTGTTCCCATCGAGTATCATGAGGTACGACAAGTTAAGCAAAGCTTTAAGAAATTGATGAAAGCCTGTTGTCCATCAAGTTGTTTAACTGACCCAGAGCAAAGTTTCATCCGTCAAGTGGAAAACAGTGAATGGTTAAATCAATTACAAACAATTATGAGAATTTCTAGTACAATTATTGATTTGATTGATTTACAAGGATCAACTGTAACATTTTGTCTGGAAGATGATTTAGATTTGGTTCCACAAATTGTTTCAATTGCTGAGCTTTGCTTGGATCCATATTATCGGACTTTTGAAGGTTTTAGGGTTCTCATAGAGAAAGAGTGGCTCGCTTTTGGTCATCGTTTCAGTCATCGATCAAATCATACTGCCCAAACGATTACTTCCGGTTTCGCTCCAATATTTCTACAATTTTTGGACATTGTCCATCAGATTATGAGACAATTTCCTCTCTCTTTCCAATTCAATGAATATTATCTTCGCTTTGTTGCCTATCATTATGTTTCCGGTCGATTTAGAACTTTCCTTTTAGATAGTGAGGCTGAAAGAGCGAAATATGGTTGGCCTTTGGAAGATGCAACCAGAAAATATTCTGATTTTACCGATGATGATTACGAATATGGCCTGGATGATGACGTTTTATCTGGATCTACGAACGGAACTCTAACATCTCACACCGTTAATGGATTAGATATAAAGAGTACATCTTTCTGGGACTATGCTGAAAGAATCTGGAACAAAAGTCCAATATTTTTCAATTTTTACTACATTCCAACAAGTTATCTTTGCCCCGAATCCAGTTTGTGTGTCCTTCGACCTTATTGTAGTATAAGTAACCTCAAAGTTTGGGACTACTACCTGACGGAGCAATTAAACCATGGACCTAGTTATGATTTTGAAGTAGTTCAATATGAGAAACAGCGAAGAGAGGAGATTGAGGCCACCGAGCAGAATAAAGACAAATCAAAGAGAACCATAATCAACGCTTCGTATGACTGTACAACCCATTTCCAGGCCAATTGTTTCGAGGAAATGTTGGAAAAGGTTAAAAACATGGAAATGGAATTGGGTAAACTAAACGGACACCAACAAAAATGGCAGAGTATCTGGGATCGGATGGAGATACCTGTTATTAATTCATCAAACAAGATGATTAACTCAAATGAATTGATCAATCGACAGGGATCCATAAAAAGTCAAATATTAGGTCGTTATGCACGAACAGTACATCATAAGAAAAATACACTCGACCTGAAGAAACTATTCTCAAAGCGTCTAAAACAAAAGTCTAATCATCCTAAATTAAATGACATTTACCTTCAGTGAAAACAATGATGATTATCATCATTAAATCACATAAGCATCACATCAAAACCCCGAACATCATAATCACCGCAATCGTTTTCCCGTTTCCCGTTCCTCGTTCATTGTTTTTGTTTTGATTGTTTTTTTTTGTTTGCTCACAGTTCAAATGGACCTTATCATCCTCTCTCTCATCATCATCATCTTTCTCTCATTCTCTTATCTTCCTGGCTCTATCATTCTTGACAATCTCATCAATATTATTATCTTAATTCCCAATTCCTCTTCCATCATCAATTTTCACTCAATTGCCATCACTCGAATCACTTTCTCTTCCTCTCTCTCTCTCTCTCTTTCTCCCTTATTCCTTCAACTCTATAAATATGTATGTGTACAAAAATTATTACTATTATTATTATTGATCGAAGAAAAATGATATTAAAAAGAAACAATTAACTTAATTGTTGCCACTAATTATTATAAAAAAAAGAGACTGAATTGAAACTGAACCTGGTAAGAGGAGAGTAACTTTCGACTGTCACCAAATGAGCTAATTTCTTGCTCTCTCACTGATTATTACTAAATGACAGTGATTTATATTGTAGTTTTGTTGAATAAGATTGTTGGAATACCAATGTAATAACAACAATCAACAATAATCAACAACAATCAAAAGGTAAGGCTTCATTTATTAAGGTCACTTTATAAGGTATCTCAATGGAATCTGCAGTTTCTATTATCATCAATTGATTGCAAAGGTTTCTTCATCTTCTTAATCATGATGATGATTATTATCATCTTTGATTTACCTTGTAATTAAACTAGGCCATAATCATTCAAACTTGATTTCAATTGTTTTGACACTAAATAAGATTAAGGCTTTGAATTAAGTGATTAAGGGTGAGGAGATGGACACAATCAAATTGTTTAACTAAATTAACTGTTCATCTCTTTCATATTGATCAGATTATTAATAGTTTTTTTTGTTGTTTAATGTTGATGAATTAACGTTTCCTGTTTAAAATGGTTGAATTTAATTGTTGACAATTAACTTATTACGATGTCAATCAAGTTTAAAGTTGTGGTTAAAAAATAAACTCATTCTGTTGACAGATGATGAGGATGATAAACCAAAAGAGACTTGATTTGACACTTAATCCATTCACTTGATCCTCTTTCATCCTCATCTTCATCTTCATCTGCATGTCAAGTCTCGTGCTTAAGAAACAGATTTAACTGTTAATCCATTTAATCACTTTTCTTGGCTTAACTGTTGTTTTTGTCTCCATCACAATGAACAAATTGCCTCTTCTCTTAATCAATCATTGATTCATGAATAACAATTACAATTGTCTCTTAATTATCCAACTAAAACCTAAGTTGTTTTCACTAAGAACTAAATCTTAACCATATTGATATTAATTTTACTATTGTGATTAACTGATTCTTCTTGGTTTTAATCTTTCACTTCATTGAAAAAAATTTACTTCATTGGCAACAATAAGGATAAGATGTATTCTAACAATGGTTGTAAAAAGTTTACCCTCTTTTTCATTCATTAATTTAATCCACTGATTTATCAATGAAACCACAGAAATTCAAACCACTTTGTTCATGATCAGAATTACTCAGTATCGAATGAACTAATTCATGATGTCACATGATTCGAACCATATGAACATTTGATAACAATTCCATTTCCATATTAGGATTAAGATCATTTATTCGTGGAAATACATATAATAACTTCGGTTATTATTCAGAGAAAACAGAAAACAGAATAACAGAATAACAGAAAACAGAAAAACTGATAAACAAGAATTTTTAATGTTGACACTTGGTTAATCAAAATCCAATTAATTTAATCAAATTGATTACGTGTAGTTATAAGAATCTTAATTATTGTTTAACAACAATTAGAATTTAAATCAACAGTTAAACATATCCAATGTAAATTTATCATAGAGAAAGAAAGAGAAAAAGAAAGAGGAGAGAAAGGGAAAGATTGTGTTGATTGTTTCTCTTTCCTCATAAAATGATAATATCTCTTCATCATTACATCCCCACCCTTAAGATTGAACCGGACAGGGAATCTGACCAAATGATTCTGATGAGAAAACAATAACCAATAATAATATTTACCAATAAGAATAACCAATGATTTAAAATAATAATAATAATAAATAATTGTAAAAGTTTAGGTAAAAATAAGCCCTTCGAGTTGAATTAAGAATCTGAATATTGAGCAGGAAGTAAATGTCGTGAATGAACTTGTTGAACAAATTCAGGCGATTCTGATGTTACAACTTCGTAAATATTAGTTCCAGTTTTACTCAGAATACGAAACGGACCAAAATAGTTCTGATCTAATTTTCGTTTGTTAATACCAGCCAAGTTTTTCAGATACACCTTTTCACCTGGAGAAAATTCATAATTATTATGCTTTTCATTATAAATTTCAGCATTTTTGTTATGATTAGCAATAGAATTTTGAAAAGCTATTGATCGAGCTTCAGTTAATTCAGTAAATTCAATATCTAAACAATTTTCAGGTTTAGTTCCGTTTAACAAATAATAAGGTGTAAATCCAGTAACAGAATGAGGTGAGTGATTATATTCATCAACTGATCGTTGTAAATATTTGATCCAACCATAGTGATAATTATTCGAAATCATTTTGATTCGAATTTTGTCAACAATAGTATTACCCACACGTTCACATAGACCATTACATTGAGGTGAAGCTTTCGGAATAAAAATAATATTAATATTTAAATGATTAAGATAATCAGCAAATTCATTTGAAGTCAGAGCAGTATATTTATCAGCCAATACAGTTTCAGGTTTTCCAAAGATAATAATTTTGTTCATCAATGAGATGAATTCAGATGCAGTTTGATGTTGAGAAGCAATAGCCCAGACGAAACGAGTAAAATGGTCAACAGCAATATGAATATATCGTTTCTTAGATTTGTAATTATTAAGTCCACAAATTGTATCAACAGCGACAATTTGAAATGGTACATCAGCTGGTCCAAATTGACCTAATTCAGCGATCAGCTTAACTCGCCTTGTTTTCCCAAGTTGACAAGGTTTACAATTATTCACAAATTGGATCACATCCTCTGTTAATTTTGACCAGGTAAATCTCCAGCTGATAATAGTTATCATTTTCCTGATTCCAATGTGACCAAATTGATTATGTACAGTTTCCAACAGTTTCAGCTTCAGCGATTCAGGTAATATTAATTTTCCTTTTCGATTTTTATCCATCTTATAATAAAGTCCATCAGAGTTAATCAGCAGTTTATCAGCATCAGCAAGTGTCAATTGTTCAGCTTTCAATTCAGCAACAGCGATAAAGTTAACCAGCTTAATTGGATAATCAGTTTCAACAGCAAGTACAGGATCACGTGACAGATAATCAGCTTCAGCGTTTTCTTTTCCTGGTCGATATTTGATATCAAAATCATATTGTCCCAAGAAAAATGCCCAAGAAAATAATCGAGAGTTCGGTTTATCAATTTTACGAATCGATTTCAGCGCAATATGATCAGTGATAACAGTAAATTTTCTATTATAAAGATAATGATGCCAGAATTTGATTGATTCGACCACGGCCAGACATTCAAGGTGAGTTACAGGGTAATTGATTTGGTAATTTGTTAACTTTTTTGAAAAGTAACCAATCGGGTGTAACTTGTTATTGTCATCAGGCTGCTTAAGAACAGCTCCTAGCCCAATTTTGCTTGCATCAGTTTCTAATATCAGATCAGCGTTTGGATTATAAATTTGAAGAATAGGGTCAGAGGTTAATAATAATTTGATTTGATCGAAAGCTTGTTGACAATCACATGTCCAATCAAATTTTGAATCTTTTCTCAGTAAATTATGAATCGGTTCTAATATTTGAGTAATATTATTAATGAACTTTCGATTGTAATTAACTTTACCAAGAAAACGTCGAACATCTTTTAAACATTTAGGTGGTTTAAGTTCGAGAATCGAATTGATATTATTGTTCAGAGGATAAATATGGTTAGGAGATAAACGATAACCCAGGTAATTTACAGTTGTTTGAAATAGTTGCGATTTATCAAAATTCAATTTGATATTTTCCTTTTTTACAGCAGATAATAATTGTGATAAATGATTAATATGAATATTAGAATCGGGTGAAAAGACGATAATATCATCCATATAATTGTGACAGAAATTAGTTAATGAATATTTTTCAAGTACGTTTCGAATTGTTCGTTGAAATATCGCAGGAGCATTTTTCAGGCCGAAAGGCATAACTAGCCATTCGAAATGACCATTCTGAGTTACAAAAGCGGTCTTGGGAATGTCACTTTCTCTAACTTTGATATGCCAAAAACCTGACCTGATATCAAAAATACTAAAGCATTTACTATTATGTAAACGATCAATAATATCTTCTATCCTTGGCATCGGATATTTATCAGGTAAAATTTTATCATTCAATTTACGATAATCTATACAAAATCTTGTTTTCGCATTGTCTTCTTTTTTGAAAGCTAAGGTAACAGGAGAAGCGTAAGGTGAGTATGATGGGCGGATGAGATTATTGAGTAAAAGAGATTGAACTTCAGAGTTAATTGTTTCATGATTAGTTGATCGATAAGGTTTTGAATTAATGGGAATATTAGTTATTAGTTCGATGATACACTCAGCATTGGGAATACAACCAATATCAAATTTTGATTCAGCGAAACAAGTTTGGTAACTTGTTAAAAGTTTAACAATTTCAGCATTCGTATCATTCAATTTACTAATAATATTAATATGTAAATTATCAGGAAGATCATTCGGTGGGGGAATTAAGCTAATTGTTGTTGGTAGCTCAGGATTGGTTGATTGTTGGGTAATATGATAACCAGAGTCACATTGTAGATTAAACATCCAAATAGAATCTAATCCAAGAAGAATATCAATAGGAAGAGAATCAGAAATATAAACATAAATAGAATTTGTAATTAACCCAATTGTTAATTTGATTTTGCTCAGACTTGAAATTTGACCAACTCCTATTATCGTAGAAAAGTTTAATGATTTTAAATTAATTGATTCAGTTCCTAATTTTTTTATTATTGATTCACTTATAAGAGAAATATTCGAACCAGGATCATATAAGATCGAAACTTCATTCGAGTTGATAATTCCCTTAATAATAATATGAGATGGTTTAGTTTCAAGTCGACCATTCAGTTTAAATGAATGGATTGAGAATCATTTGGATGATTATCATCTACAGAATTAGATGATTGTTGAACATAATTAACTTTTCGTTGAGGTTGATGATGATTGTGATGATGATTATTATTATGATTGTTGTTATGATGATGAGGTTGATGTTGATTTTGTCTCTCTTGTCTGATTGGACAATCTTCTTTCCAATGCATTTGATTTGGCTTACCTGCATTTTCACATATCCAACAAGCTGATTTTGGTGGTCGCTTGACAAATTGTCTATTTTCATTATTATTATTATTTCTATTATTAATAATAGATGGAAATCGATTACCTTGATTTCTGTTAAATTTACCTTGATTATGATGATAACTTGGTAGCTGATTTTCAGCTGATTTTGCAATCGCAAAGAATTGATCATAAGTATTAATTCGATGACCTAGAAAACAATTTCGAAGTTGATCATTCAGACCTTCGATAAGAAGAACAACAGCTTGAGATTCAGACAATAAAGCTAAATTAGCTAATCTTCGTTTCTCTTCAAAATATTCAGTAACATTTTTCTTGTGATGAAACTTCAATCTTACGCATTCCTCAAGTGGTTCAATAGCTTTTATCCCAAACCTATTAATAAGTTTCGACTTAATTGTGAACCAATCACAATTATCTCTTTCATAGAGATAAAAGTTCAGAGCGTCACCATCTAAATACTCATTTAGTAAGTCAGTTCGGTGAGAGTGAAATTGATGGTGAAGATTCAGCTGAATAATAGTTAGATGTTGATGGTTGTTCGTCTCCACTTTCCATGCTGATTATTGAAATTGAGAAAATTTAATTTTATTGATAATTTTAATAATAATAATAATAATCAGAAAAGGAGAAAGAAAAAGAAAAAGAAAAAGATATAAAAGAAGCAAACAGAATCTAATTATCGCAATGAGCGAATTCAGCAACAGCACAAATAGAGAAAAAATAATCAACAGAATTGATCAGAACCAACAAGATAATTAACAAAACACAGAATTGGACTTTATCCTGTCGACTTATAATAACTTCGGTTATTATTCAGAGAAAACAGAAAACAGAATAACAGAATAACAGAAAACAGAAAAACTGATAAACAAGAATTTTAATGTTGACACTTGGTTAATCAAAATCCAATTAATTTAATCAAATTGATTACGTGTAGTTATAAGAATCTTAATTATTGTTTAACAACAATTAGAATTTAAATCAACAGTTAAACATATCCAATGTAAATTTATCATAGAGAAAGAAAGAGAAAAAGAAAGAGGAGAGAAAGGGAAAGATTGTGTTGATTGTTTCTCTTTCCTCATAAAATGATAATATCTCTTCATCATTACATACAATTAGAGCTAAATTGCCACAAATTGAACCACAATTAACAAGAGTGAAAATTGTAAACAGAAAAAAAGTGAAAGTCAATTAATTAACCTAATGATAAATGATAATAATGAGCCAGATGAAAAGTTAAATCAGTAATCAAAACTAATTAGACAAGTAAACATACTCACAATTAATCACAATCAGGCAACAATTTATATAGAATATATAAGTTATCGGGAAATGGAAGAGAAAAAAAAACTAAATGGAAAATTTTGAGAGAAAAACAAAATTCTTACTCCATCCTCATCCTCATCCTCATCTTCGTCCTCATCTTCCCATTATTATTATTGAGATGAAGTTTAATCTTCCTGAGGAAAACAAAATTTACTCTCTTGTAACAGAAAATTTTGTTAATCTTATTTTTAGGAATCTCGGAAATGATTCTCTTCATGATGATGATCATTATCATGAAGATGAGGATGATCATGTTGATAGAGAAATTCAGTTAAGGTAAGGTAAAGTTACGCTTGTTGATCAACGACAAAAGGTTTGTTTGTTTCCATTCAATGGAAACCATTTTGGTTTAATGTTTGTGCTGTTTCAATGGATTTTAATTTAAATTTCGTTCCCTTGTTTGTATATATTATGTAATTAGTTAAATTGATTTAGTTTACATTGAATTCATGATTCAGAATCAGAAGAATCTCTTTGCATCAGTTGATCAACAATCTTGGGAACTTTTTCTTGATAGTTTCGAAATCAACTTGAAACGACCTTCACAAATGACCTCTCAGATGTTGACCTTTCGAAAGGTAAAGGTGAAGTTAACAATTAAAAGTGAAAATCATTTGATATTAACGATTGAGTTGATGATTATTAGATTTTGATGATGAGGAAAAAGTTATACTGGTGACAATTTCCATTAGCATTCAATGTTATAATCATCACTTTATTGATCTTTAATCTAATTGTTGATCACAATCAGTTGTGTCATGTTGATTACAAAGTTAATCAAACTGTTCAATCACAAATCCCTAAATTATAAAAATCTAACAATCAATTTTATTGCCTATTTTATCATAATGGTGATCATTGTTACACTTTAATCATGATCAACTTAACAACCACATCAATTGTAATCTTAATTATCATTACAAAGTTTAATTACTTTTTGCTTCCATTTTTTTTTGTCCTAATCATTATTGAGATTTTGAGAATCTGATAAAATTCAATTGAAAATATTATCTCAATGGGTAATTTAATAGTGATAATTATCTAGGTTTTTAAGTTTAAATTGATAAATTAAAACAAGTAAATCTCATTCATAAGAAATTTGGATTAACTAATTAACTAATATTGAGAAACAACCAATGGTTAAACTAATCAAAAGTTGAGATTGAATTCAGGTGATTTAGTTAATTGTTATAACGGTAATTTCTCAACAATTTGAATCATAATAGTAATTGATGTTGATCATCAATAATTTATTTACATTGATAAAAAATGATTTTGATGGGAGAGAGAGAGAGAAGATGAAGAAAAGAAAGAGAAGATAAGATTAACTTATAGGAAATGGATGAGGATGAAGACGAAGATGATGAGGATGAGGATGAGGATGGAAGTGAGATGCGTGAGCAATGAAGATGAAGATGAGGATGAGGAGAAGATCTGGAGTAGAATGTTGGAAAAAGGAAGAATTTTGGAAAAGAGAGAGAAATGATACGGATGAGAAGTAGGATGATAATGATGATGAGGATGAAGACGAAGATGAAATAAGCTCAAATTCAGATGATAATGTTTTCTACCTCAAAAGATTTACATCAATTATGATGATGATCATCATCTATTAATCAACTAATCATTTTCCTCTCTCACAATTAGTTAACAACAATAATATGATAACAATGTTACTTTTTTTCATTAGAAAAAGAAAACTTTTATCTTGTTCATCATTCATTATCCATTTCCGCCCTCAGGCAATATCTACATACTTGATTAGTGTGACATTTACACAATTAACTAAACTAATTTAATTTTGTCTAATTAGTGTTGTTGTCAAAAGTTGGTGTTGAAAAACAAAATGTTTTCACAATATTTATCATCTCTGTGTCTTCCTCCAGTGTCTTTAATCATCAATCAATTTGTCATCATAACTGTAAACCTAAATTAAGATTAATTGTGTGTAATTGTTTAACAAAATTGTCAACAAAAACAAAAGTTGATTGATAAAATAAACTCACCTTAAAGTGTATTCGTTTTACATTATTATCAATCAAATTGAATCATAATAATAATTCAATCTGATTGTTCATCTTGTTGATCATCATTTTATCATTTTAACCTTTTACCTGCAATAATTTGATCCCTTGGAATCTTGTTATCGTCATGAATCAGCTCGTTTATGAGTCCTGAAAATCCAGGAACAAGACAAAAGATGAAAATATTAATCGGAAGATAATGAAAGTTAATTGAATTGTAATCAATCCAAAGTAATTTACCTTTTCTCACCTGTAAAGGATAATCCCATCAAGGATTAGGAACACTTTCCCAACATCATCATCATCATCTCTATATTATTACTCCCAACTACTTATCATCATCTTCCCTGATCATCATCATCATCATACTATTGAACAAGATAGAAGATGAAATGATGAGGAAGATTTTTTTCTCCAGGTAAATTAATACTCTCTCTCTCTCTCTCTCTGTTTATAATACTTATCATCATCTTCATCATCTCTTTGTAACTTTTACTACTGTTAAACAATCAAAACAACAATTTAAACTTTGTTTCAATTGATTTGAAAGGTATTACAATATAATCTTGATATTGTTTTCATAAAGCAATTCGATATCATCTATTTTTGGTTTGATTCAGATGATGTGAAATAATAATGATAAACATCAAGATGATGATTAAAGATGATAAAATTTTCGATGAGAAAGATGATCAAGATGAAGATGAGGATGAAATGATGAGACGAGTGAGAAAAAATTTCACAATATTATTGACATTCGATTTTACTTCTTTTTCCTTGTTCTGATTATCGTAAACTCAATTTCGTTTTCATCATCATCATCTTTTATCATCATTGCAAGGACATTATCTAATCTTTGATGATATTTCCTATGGCTTCATCTTCATCTTCATCTTCATCATCATCAACCTGCTCCTTTACTTCAACCCTTACAATTTAGATCATCATTTTTACTGTTACTTTGAATCTTTTGTAAATCTTTATCTTCCTCAATTATCATCATACTTATCATCCAAAGTTTCATTGTTTCTCTGTCTATTTCTCTTTCTTTTCTTCCCCTAATCATGATGATCTAAGTTAACTTGCAATTTAATTTAATTCAATCAACAATCAACATCCGAATATCAACAGTCAGTGGATCTTAATCATTTCGTTGATCAGATTGATTTTCTGATTGGTTTTCACAGTTGATTATGTTCATCTTAACCACAATTAGTAAATTAAAGGCCCATTAAACTTACCGACTAGTCTATTATTAGTTAATTTTAATTGCTCCTTAACTTACAACAATCTTAATCTTAATCTTAATCATCATCATCAATCAATCAACATCATCTTATTGTGAATAAATTATAACGTTAATTGAGTGTTTAATTCAAATGTGGATAATTTTTGTTTAGATTAATTGATCAATGATTAAACTGGAAAACATTTGATTGTGATTAATTGTGATTGTAAATTGTTAATATTGTAACTGATGAACTACCCAATCAACTCAACCATGAAGCAATTAATTGTGATTCTAGTGATTTTATTAGCTTCTTATGTTCATCTATTTCAAATTTACTGTATCTCAATGGTTTCCAATTCGGATCCACCCTGTTTCTTTAATGAACTTTGCTCCTGTTCAAAGCCAATCAATGACCTGGGTCATGTTCAATGTGTCAATGTGCCACTTTCCGTTATACCGGAAGCCATTAATCAATCATATGTTTACACTTTATCCTTCCGTTCAAATGGATTACGTTTTATTGAGCCAAGATCTTTTTATGGAACTGGATTAAAGGGAATTGAAATCTCTCATAATCTGATAACGCGACTTGATGTGGACACTTTTGTCGGCCTTGAGACTTCAATCCGTGAACTTAACCTAAGGTCAAATAGGTTAACCTCCGTTCCTGGTTCAGCTTTAACTCGATTGGTACGTTTACAGATTTTAAATCTCTCAGGTAATCAAATCCATGAGATTAACTTGGACTCAGATTTTCCGGTTAATCTTAACGGCTCTTTGAAAGTCCTTCTTTTAGCTTCCAATGGTCTCACCTCAATAGGTCAATATGCATTCCGACATGTTCGTTCCCTTGAAACTTTAGACCTTTCTGGGAATAATATTCACTTTATTAATCAGGCCGCTTTCGCGATTCAACCAGCCTCTTATCCTCATCCATCCAATTTGGCCATAAGTCAATCTTCCCGTTCCAGGTCAAGATCACAGCAGCAACGAGAACCACTGGTAGCGTTAAAGTATCTCAATTTAGCCCATAATCGATTGAATAAGATTCCATTTGACCTTTTAACCAATCTAACCTTTCTGACCACATTGAATCTCGCATCTAATTTGATTACGATGACATTTGATATGGCTACACCTAGAAGGATAATATCACTTGACCTTCTTGACCTTTCCGATAATCACATTGAATCACTACCCGAATCAGCTTTTCGTAATTTTGATAAGATCAACATCACTCGATTATCTCGTAATCCCCTTCATCGTATTGAAAAAAGTGCATTCACCCAATCAACTTTGATCCACCTTTACCTTGACCATTGTGAACTGGTCAACATTTCCCGTGAAGCCTGGTCAGGGTTAGAAACTGACCTGAAGACTCTCGATCTAACAGGTAATTCACTTCGAGGTGATTCTCGAACAGGTTCATTGTTTGTCAACGATTCGTTTAATCGACTCGAAGCATTGAAAATATTCAACCTCAACGATAACGCTGAATCATATCGATTGTCACCTCTGAGCTTAATCCAGTCCCAAGAATCGTTGCAAACATTTGGCCTTGGAGGTTTTCCTTCCCTTCAGCGCTTACCTTTCAGTCCGATTAAATATCAGATGCAATTTTTGAACATTCGATCACTGACCCTTGGAAGAACCCATATTGACCGACGTTTAATTGGTCAAGATTTACTTGGTTATGGTGGATACAATCTCGAAGAATTGGACTTTTCCTCTTCCGGAATCGAGGACATCTCTTGGGACGCGTTTATCACTTCGCCTTCATTGAAGCTTTTGAACCTTTCCTCCAACTACATCCGACGATTGGACAGTCAAACCTTTCGACCACTTGGTCGAACCTTGCAAATTCTTGACCTAACCTCAGGTCTTTCAACTTCAACTCTTTCTTGTGATATTTTCATCCACACTCTCGAGTCACTGCGATCTCTTTACCTTGGTGACAATGGCCTCTCTTCTCTCTCATCCCCACACTGTTTCTCTGGACTTCGGTCACTCAATTTACTCTCCCTTGAGTACAACAACCTTGGGCGACTTTCATCTTCCCTTTTCCACCCTTTAACCTCTCTGGTTCACCTTCTACTCTCCTACAATCGTATCACCACAATCGAACCTGAAACATTTAAAATGATGGACAAACTTGTCTACCTTGACCTTTCCTACAATTCAATCACCACCATAAGATCAGCATCTTTCACTGAATTAACCTTAATCACCGAAATCAATCTCGAAGGAAATAATATTGAAAACATCGAAAAAGATTCATTTGTTATCCTTCCTCGACTCTCTCGTCTTAATCTCTCTTTTAATCGTCTCAAGAGATTATCATTTGATTGTTTCGATCAAATTGGCGCAATGACCACCTTAACCCTCGACCTACAGGGTAACTCAATTGACTTGTCCTCTCTAATTTCATCACACTCACCTTCACCTTCACCAAAATCATCAACAGTTTCAGGTGAATCGAAAATGTTACCAAATGATTTTCACCATTCACCTTACGATTATCAACCTCAACTTAATCCAAATCAGGTTTACAATCAACACCGAGTTACCGCTAATTCAGTTGAGATTGTTAATCTAATCCGTAATAATATAACTTCCCTTAACTCATCAACCTTTGACTCTATTCGTAACACTTTAACTCACCTTTTACTTGACGGAAATGGATTAACTCGATTAGGTTGGGAAACTGTTTCCGGTTATCGAAGATTACAAAAACTCTCCATCCGATCAAATCTTTTATCAACAATTGCTTCTGATGCTTTTAAAGGTGAAACCAATTTACAAATTGTCGATCTCTCCTGGAATAGATTAATTGAACTTCCATCTGAACTTTTCCATGACAATGTAAACCTTAGGATCTTACGATTAGCCGGTAATGAATTAACCCTTTTACCTGAGACTTTACTTAATCCAACAGGTCATCTTGAAGATTTAGACCTTTCCTACAATAGGTTAACCCTTTTTCCAGCTAAATCATTGAAATCGGTTTCATCTTCACTTCGAAATTTAATCTTGACCGGTAATCAACTTTGGTCACTTCGAAGGGAAGATTTTGAAGGTATTCTACCTCGACTATTGACTCTTGACCTGTCCCATAATCACATCAAACAGATTCAATCGTCATGTTTGACCCCATTGTCTTCATTAATCTCACTGAATCTTGCCGATAATCCATTGAAAGTAATTCGAGATAATCTATTGAAAGGCCTTTCATCAACCCTGGAAGAAGTTAATCTGGCCTCAACTCGACTCACCGAACTACCTGATTTAAGTTACATGGATTCACTCATTTATCTTAATCTTTCTCATAATAAACTGACCGGTCTCACCTTTACTAATTACTCTTCGTTAATTAAGCTTGACCTTTCCTCTAATCAGTTCTCATCAATTCCAAATAATGTTTGGCATTTTCTTCCTTCTCTTCAATCTCTTTCTCTCTCATCTAATCCAATCTCATTCCTACACAATGATTCATTCATTGGATTAAAATCATTAGAGACACTGGACATTGCTAATCTTTCACTTAACTACATTCAATATGGCGTTTTAAGGCCACTTCCGTCTCTCTCATCGATCAGATTATCCAACTATCCGTCCATTAAATCATTTACATTGGGACGTTTAATTGGACCAATTGATTCACTTCAACAATTAACTATTCTAACCGTTAATTCATCACATTTATCATCTAGTCTTATACATTTACCTGGATCATCATCAAATGTCCATAATTTACCTGTTGATTTATCATCATTAACTTCATCAATATCTTCATCTTCATCATCAGCCTCATCTTTAGCCTCATTAGCATCCTCATCTCAATCATTACTATCATCTTACCATTTCGGAACCGGAACCAGGTTACCCAAAAAATTGACCAAAGTATCAATTGAAGGGTCATCATTAATTGCTCTCGATGATTCACTTTTATCAACTCTCTCATCAACACAATTAACTTTAACCATCTCGAATACAAATCTATCTACTATACCATTGACCATGTTCAACTCGCTCGGACGGACTCGAACAATTAACCTTGATGTACGTAAAAATGGCCTCCAACGGATTGGTGACCTACTCTTTGCACCAACAGCTTTTTCAAAGGTAAGTTACAATTAACTTAATTAGTAAATTAATTCAACCAAATAATAAGTCTCATTACAAAGTTGAAATTGTCAATCAATGAATTGGTAGTGTAATTGATCAACTAACAATGAAACAAGAATCGTAATCAATTAACAACAAACAGAATGAAAAAGTAACTGTAAAAATGATTGAAGATGATCATCCTTTCATCATCATCATCATAATAACAAGAGGATGATGATGGGAGGATGAAGATGATCAACTAACAGTTACATTGATTGTCAATCCAAGTAATAAAGGTAAACCTATTGTGGTTTTCAAGTTACCTTTTTTTTCAGAGGAAATATAAGTTTCATTGTTGATCATTTTTCAAGCAAATAACAACAACAACTTGTTAACATTTACAATCAACACTGAACTTACTCATTGAAATAAAATATAATGATAAAGATGAAACTGAGTCAACAAAAAAAAAATCCTCAATTGTTATAGGATGAACAGAGGAGTGGGATGAGGTAGATAGTGATAATAATGATGAAGATGAAGAAACTAACAATGAACTTTGGTGTATTATGATGATGATGATGATGATGATAAGCAAGAAGAAGATGCTACTTTAGCTTCATCTTTTTTTACCTTCGATGCTGAAGGAATAAGTTGAAAAAAAGATTCTTTGAAAATCCTTTTTCCTCCTCCACACCATCTCTTTCCCACTCTACCCTCTTTCCACCACCCACCAGACTTTTCCTCATCTTCTTCATCTTCCTCCTCCTTTTGTATTCTAATAGTAAATTCAGTCCATGGATTACCGAAGAGGATAAAGACTTAATAAAAAAGGATTTCAAGTTATTCGTTATTTTTTTCACCAACTGTATTTTATTTGAGCTTTTCAATTTATCATTTACAATCAATTCTCAGTTATTATTATTATTATATTGGAATTGATTTGGTTGCAAATTGTTTAGGCTTCAGTATACAGCCATCGACTTTGAGTTTGCAACCACTTTTAATTTACTCGCGCAATTAATGATAATCAGTCAAAGATAAATCTAATCAGATGACCATTTGAAAAGATAACACCAATTAAATGAGAAGACATTGATTATTATCATATCTTTGGGTTAACTTAATCTCTCATTGATTATCATTATCGTCGCGAGTAAATTAAAAGTGGTTGCAAACTCAAAGTCGATGGCTGTATATTCAATATTTTGACCTGAATGACCTTGATATAAAAATCGCTCAGCTTAGTAAAAAGTTCCAACAGTTAAATTACCAAGAAAATGGCAACAAACTCGCTTCAAGAATTACTATTACAATCGTGATTACAATTAAATTATTCAATATTCTGACCAGCTTTCTTTTTGTATATTATCAAACAATCAAATCTAATTGCGATTAAACAATTACCCTGAAGATTGTAAATGATATTATTAATAGTTGAATGATTAAAATCAAGATATCACATTTGATTGATGATATTTTCAAGATATGATCATTAATAAATCATCGGCAATTATAACAGTTACTTTAACTATTAGGATAAAATGATTAAATGTTGACATTAATAAATTTATATTTCTCCAATGATAATCAAATCACAATCAAACTATTAACGGTAACCCAATCAAATCAAAGTAACAGTTTATTTGATTTCTGATCACAATCAATTTGGGAAATTGAATTATTACCTCTCGATTGGATATTAAAATTTAACCTGAGATCAAATCGATTGGTATAATACAAGAACAACAATTTACAGAACTGAATGAACAATAAATTAAGACACAACAATCAAGAACTTTTTCACAATCAATTGTGATTAGTTAATGTGGTTGTAAATTACCATCAACTAAATTTACAAGTAAATAGACTAACAAACAAACAAGAATTTTATTTTTTTCCCTATTCCATTCATTTGTTATCCCTATACAAAGATTTTCATCATGAACATGAACTTTTATCGTGAGAGAGAGAGAGAGACTCAGAATTTCATCTCATCCCTGATTCAAATCTCTCAATGAATACAAATAACCTGAGCTTTTAACATGTATAAATATATATGAGGAAATGGAGATATTTCCGATGAATTTTTCGTTTCGAAAAAGAAAAAATTCTATTCATCTTTTCCTGCATCATTTTCCTCTCCCCCTTCGTGAATGTCAGCATCCTCATCTTCATGTTGTTGATCAAATGTAAGCTAATTCAAGTGTCAATATGAACAACAATTTCCTGATTGTCAATTCAATCCAACGATTGACTGAATTGTAATACAAACAAATTATAATCATTGGCTTGTTAATCAGTTATTACCAGAATATAAAATAATCAACTAATTGTATCCCAATTGTATTCATTTTTTTTTCAATTTTCCGGATACAAGATTGTTGAACTTAACTGTTCATTGAAATATTAATATTAATAGAAACACAAAAATTTGAAAAAGCAAATTAAGTTGGATATTCATTTGTTTACAACTTACATCATTTCCGTTTCCTTTTCTTGTAAAAGGCTATTCAGTTATTTTTACAGATTTTTTTTTCGATGCTCTCAGTAACTATGTGTGTTAGTGAATTGAACAATACAAGTTTAGGTGATACTCAATTGCTATATGGAAAGGTCAAGGTCATTTGAAGGTAGTTTCATCAAAAAATGCAAATTTTTTGAATCAAAGTGAAGATAACAATTTAAATGGAAACAATCAATCATCAAATCGCCAAGTAATTGTTAACCATCTAATCAACAGTTAACTAATCTAGAATAACAGTTTCATCTTCATCTAATACTCAATTCTTGCCACTTCATCAATTTATCATCTTCATCATCTCAACATTATCCTCCTACTTTCACTCACTTCATCCTGACAAAAGCATCTTCATCTTCATTTGGTAACATCAATTGTTAACCAAACATATCAAACGATTGAAATAAAAGCTGATTTAGTTACAATTTAACCTGATTGATTTGGACAATTGAACAATCATCTTCATTTAACCTTTTACTTTTCCGTTGATTTTTTCACTTGGATGATTTATCCCATTCCCATCCCTGAATCCCTTACATCATCATCATCATCATCATCATCATCATCATCTTCATCTTCATCTCCATCTCCTCCTCCTTTCATTGACTTTTAACTTTGATTGCTGATTAAACAATAAATCATCAATTGTAATGAATTTCATTCATCACGGTTACACTATCACATCTAATTATCTCAAACGATTTACTAATTTAAATCCTTTCCAAAGACAATTAACTGTTTCGATTTTATTTAAATTATGATTTTGATCAAACTCAATCAATCCAATCCAAATATTGACCTGATTTCCTCGATAAATTGAATATATTGAACATAAGAGCAAGTTGATAGGTAGAGAAAAAAAATCGAAAATTTCTCGAACTTTTTCTCATCTTCCACCAAATCGACTGAATAAATCAACTCGAAACTTTTTACCAAACTGATCACAATACAAATACACTCAAAATCTATTATTATGTATACGATTCAACATTTTCCCAATTCCAACTGAAAGTATAAGTGATTTTTCAAGTTTATCCTCAACCCAAACACTTACATTCACCATGAATTTACAATACCCTTCAAGTAAAATTAATTGTGTCTTGATGGATAGAAACCAATTAATATAAATTTAGCAGTTACAATCAATTGATTAGGAAACATTTTCAGAAGATTAAGTAAAGTTATTGAGCAATTGATTGAAACATCATGGAAACATTGACAATCAGTTAATCAATCAAAACTTATTGAGACTCACAAATCATTAGGTTGACACTGAATTCAATATTCAATCAAATTGTAACCCAATCAACACTCGTTAAGATTTAAACTCAATCATTTTATAACAACAATCAATGATAACAATTAAACATGAAAATCAAAGTTGATCAAATGAAGAAAAACAAATTGGTCAAGGAAACTGTTACTCTCAGATGACCTGTCAATAACAATTGCCCACCATTTGAATGGGAACTTATCAAGTGAGGGTTAATAATAATATTGGGAGAGAGAGAGAAAGAGATAATGATGATGATGATGATGATAATGAAGAAGAGTGAAGATTAAGGAAAGATCAGGAGATCGATTACATTGGAAGAGAAAGGAAGGAATTAAGAAAATCTCTCATTCTCTCATTTGATAATATTCCTATGAGAGAGTGGAATGAAATCCAATAAGGAAGATGGAAAGAAATAGATGACAAGGTAAAGATAATCATCTTCATCTTCATCATCATCATGATATGATTAGTTTAAATTGTTATCGAAACTGATGAAACAGCTCGAACATGAAACTCGACTTGATAGAGATTCTCAAGAGGCCTTTTTATTCAAATGACCAGATTTTGTTAACAGTGTTTAACAATAGACTTGATATATTATATACACACTGAACATCATCTTCATCACCATCATCATCATGATTATCATCAAATGATCACAATCAGAATGCTCAGAATGCTTCAGAAATTGTAGTGATAATATTTTCTGTTGATGGTTAAATGGTTTTCAATTTGAATAATATATAACGGTAAATATGCCAAGAATGTGTATTCACAGATACAAAGAGAAAGGAAAAGAAAGAGACATTATCTCTTTCTCTCTTCTCCTTTCTCTTTATCATCATCCTTTCCTTCATCATCATCATCATCATCGTCATCTATGCTTGTAATAATCAAACACCATTTAAACATCCATCATGGTGAAAATCTCATGTTGAAGATGAGTTTTTTCCTTCTCTTCAATTTTATCATATGTATTTTTATATATCATCATCTTTTTTGTCCCAATGATTATCAGCTCTATTTTGGTCTTCCCTCATCCTCATCATTTACATCAATCTCAAATATCATGAGTATGACCCACCCTGAGACTCACTCACCAAGAGTGTGTGTGTGTATCTTATTTAAATTGCATGTAAATTGATTTTCCACCCTTGTAACATAATATCACCCTGACATCAACTCCTCACACTGAAACAACAGCAAACGATAATAAGTTGTTTTTGTCAACTTTGCAAAAAGAAAACCACAAATTTGAAACAATTTAATCAATTATCACCATAATTACCAAACTCTAGACACTAATTAATATTCAACAATAAAATTAATTGTTTCAAGACAATAAAAACTATCCGGCCAATTTGAGGCAATGTTACATTTCAAATGGATAAACAAGTGAACATATTAATATAATAAAATAATTACTGTTATCAAAATGAATATCAGATAACATGAATTCAACATTACATTTAATTTAATTACCGTCAAGTTGATTTAATATTATACAAATGTACTAATCATGTTTTAAATCAACAACAACAACAACAACAAAAAACATCAACAATTTGCTTGTAGATCAATCAGCAAATACAGCCATCGACTTTGAGTTTGCAACCACTTTTAATTTACTCGCGACGATAATGATAATCAATGAGAGATTAAGTTAACCCAAAGATATGATAATAATCAATGTCTTCTCATTTAATTGGTGTTATCTTTTCAAATGGTCATCTGATTAGATTTATCTTTGACTGATTATCATTAATTGCGCGAGTAAATTAAAAGTGGTTGCAAACTCAAAGTCGATGGCTGTATATTATCAATTAGAGTACAGTAAGTTAAGAATCAATAGTTCATTGATTATCATGAAAATGATTCAATTTATGATGAGAGTTTACAGATGGTTTCAATTTCTTGAATGAATTTTTGTCTCAGTTAATTGCAATGTTGATATGATTTAAATTGTTTAATCAATATTTTTGTAAGTCTATTAACTTAAACACCTTCAAACTGAATCAAATGTATTCACTTATTGTTGATAGCAATTAATATACGAAAACTTTTCCTTTTGTTATTATGCACTCATAATTATTTCTCATTGATTGTTGTTACATTTGATTGTTTGTCATTTGTTGGTTGATTGTTAGTTTACTTTTGTTTGATTCTCATTGTTTGTATATTATGTTACTATGAATGAATTTCAATTGTTCATGAATAAAAGCAAAAGAGAAAAAAGCTAATCACAATCAAATAGATTGTTGGACAACATCCAACAATCAGTGAATCAATTGTTATCTATGAATATTAATCTAAAGTGAACAAAAATTGGGATAAGACAATCATGTTAACTGAATCGACTCCCATTTGAAATTTACATCGTATCGTTAGTTTAATATTTGATTGAAACTCAAATTGATTATTTTTTTCGTTTAATTGTTAACAGATGAGATCATTGGATTTGAAGGGTTTCTATGGGTCAGCTAATCCATGGATCTGCGATTGTAAACTGGCCTGGTTAAGGGATTGGTCTAAATCACTGATGAGAGAATCGTTTGAATTAATGGTCGAATCACATTCCCTGATACCTGATCATAATCATAATGATTCATTAGTGGCTATTGAAGATCGTTACCATCAAGTAATGTCCATGTTGGCTGACCTTAGGTCAACCCAATGCTCCAATTTGGGTAAATCAATGTTGAAAGCTTTCACTGAGGAGCTACGAGGCTGCCGACGAGGACGAAGCTCATCAATCAGCCTAAGATCATCTTCTGCTCAAATTTATCTAATCATTGTAATTTGTCTTCTATCCTCTATATTGTCACTTCCATCAAAATGGAAAACTTAACTATCATAATTAGGTGATATAATTAAGAAAAATAATTAAGAAAACGAAGGAAGAAAAAATTTAATCAACTAGAGCAAAGGAAACGGGAAACAAATCTCAATACGATTAATTAACACTCGAATCTCAAGTCGGAAGAAAACTCAATCACAAGAGAAATAGAGGTTAATTGTTAAACATGGAAAAACAATCTAACAATTAACTAACACACTCACATTCACATTAAAGTTTTAATATAAATCATCATTAATGAATTGCTTAATTGCTCCAATAGAAATCACTTTAATCAAAATTAACAATGACACCTTTCAACAGCAATGGCTTTTTCTTTATGTCCAAATCAAGGTAAATTATTATTATGGTTATTTAATTGTCAATGATTTAATCCAACATCAAAGGCCATTGTATCATTGTCATTAAATTGTCACACTGCCTCTCAATATATAAATTATATGTTATATCATTGGTAACAATTAACTTACCTGAAAACGTTGATAACTCTGGTTTCCTTTTAACATAATCCAACCTTAATTGTTTCATAGTCTTAAATCAACTTGGATTGATTTAGATCCACTTTAATTGTGATTCCTAGTTTTTTCATTTTCTTTCTTTTTACCACCCTGATTAACTTCTTGATCTCCGTCCATAAAAAGTTTAATCACAATCGATTAATCTGGAAGCTGAATAAACCCAATTGGAATCTAAATTGTAAAAAAAATCGAAATCGAAACAATAAAATACAAATAAATTGTTGACCAACGTGTATCTTTATTTCAGTTATGACATTTAATCTCAACTTTGAGGGATAATCTCATCCAGGGATGCGGAACATTTCTCAATGAAGATCATAGATTAGTAAAGCTCAAAAAGGAAGATGCTTATTCCCATTTGTGGTCAGTTTTAATGGCTTAAGACTTTAATCTTATGGTCAATATGCTTATATCCAAAACTAGGAATTGGTTAATAAAAGAGAGGAAAAGGAAACGTTCAGATCTTGCTTTTAATTGTTTCAGAAAAAAGTAAAGTTGGTCAGTACTTGAGAATAAGAATTGGTCAGTTCATTATGACCATTCAATCAAGTCGCTGTTTTACTGTGACAATTTTCAGCCTTATGATTTCATCGATTCCCATAAAAAATGGACTAATGAATAAAACATTCTCATGAACAGTTAATTGAAAGTAAAATATTGAAATCGTTTGAGGCCATTTTTATGGTTGATTAACTTTCCTTAACTAGATCCATTGATTCTCAATCACAATTAAGTCAGTTGGTAAAACTGTAAGGTAAAAATAACCATGAACTTAATCGTGATGACTTTAAATTGTTGACAATTTGCCAAGAAAATGTTTTCGACTCATCAACCATTTTCAACCAAAGACAAATATAAACCATTTGAACTAAATTGTTGTTGTTGCTCAGGGTGATATTCAAGTATTTCTATTAACTGACTGATAAATTAAAGAATTGTGATAATCTGTTAACTGACCAAATAATAGTAGAGCAACTTAATCAACAGTTGATCAACTAACTTCAGTTAAATTTTTTGTTCCATTTAAATTCAAAGTTATGGCTTACAAAGCATTTCCAACAGGACCAGGATTAAATTCGGGTAAAGTTAATGTTTACAATGACATTCTAGTCGAGGTCAAGGATTATGTCTCTGGAAAATTGACCACTGAGATCGATGGACCATCTAGAGTGACAATTTCATACATAGATAATCATGATGGAACTCTGAAAATCTCATATAAACCAACGATCCCTGGTGATTATACAATTGTCCTCAAATTGGATACGTTTCATTTACCTGGAAGTCCATTCAGAGTAAAGGTAAAAGGTTTGGGTCCAATTGGGTTACTATCATCAACCGGTGGTTCTGGTAAATCGGGTTACATTAGGTCATCCAGCTCACTGAGACCGGCTACATTTAATACATCAGCTGATTACATGTGGATTAACAAACCAACCACTGGAGTTAAATTAACCATTAACGGAGCCAATCCCAATTTACCTGATTATCTTGGTAAGACTCCCATTGAAACTGCTCGTTTTACAATCTAATGATATTAACAATCAATCAATCATCATCCATATTATCAACTAATACCATTGTGATTATCTGGAGCATTTAGTTAAGTATTCATCATCTTTGACCTTTTCTTTTCTTCCTGATTAATTCATGAAACTTTATCAGGCTTCAGGTAATCATCTTCATCTCCATCAACATCAACATTATCATGAAACATCATAAATATCATCATATTGGTATTAAAATGATTGAAAATATTTACCAACATTGATTATCTTGTTGATCTTCTTGATTTAATTTCTTGTTTTGTTTTCTCATTTAAATTAATACCAATAAAAAGAAATGTTGAAAAGGATTTACAATTTAAACCGGATTAAGATTAAGACAAAGGTTAAATCTTGAGTTTCCAATTTCAATATTATTATTATCAAAGGTTTCGTGGTTATTATTAAGATTAATAAGTTTCTAGATTGATTTTTACCGAGATACAACAATCAAGTGACTTTTTAAAAATCCTTTTCCAATTTCATTAATTGATTGATTGTAATTTACAATTTACCATAAGTTAATCAACTAATTATTACAATCAATTGTCAATGATTAATTTAAGTGTTTTAAAATCAAGGCTGTTAAATGTACCGTATGGTTTGTAAACAAATATTATTAGAAACAAAGTTTACAATAACAATTAATTTACTATCAAGATCACAATGATTTAGCATGAGGATGATTATTTATCATCTAATTATTGATTCTCACACTAATCAATCAATCAATCAACAATTGAATATAATTGTCTTTACTTTTTCAATCAATTTTGTCCAAATGAAAATTGTTTTTGTTTTTCAAATTGTATTGATAATAATTTCATTTACTCTCATTGAGTATTTAATGTTAATTTATTGTTAATTGTATTATTAATGATGATAATGATGATTCAGCTCCATGTTCATTAAATCAGTGTAATCAAAATGATTGAATTAATTGTTTCAATACTCGATGAGCCACCATGAGAGTGACAACTCACCTGAAAACTTGTTTCTCTCTGTTAATTGTTGTCATTTGTGTTGCCGATCAATCAAATGGCCTTTACCCGACTTATAATCTTGATCTTGAACCCAACGGGTCAATCGAAGTGTCTTCAAGTGAATTAACTCAATTACCAAGTAATAATGTTGGTTATAAGTCAATGTACATTGAGGTAAGAATTACAAAGTTAATTGTTGATTCGTAATTGATTAATTGTCGATTCAATTTAATCTCTTTCAGTCCGAGAAATCAAATGCTAATGGTTACATTGATTTACTTATGGAAAACATTCAATCAAACTTGACCACTTGCCCCTTCGGGATTTTCATCATTGATCAAAACGATACAATTGTCGAGTAAGTTAATCATCATCACAATTTGAAGATCAATTGCTAATTTATATGATTTAAATATTAATTTTCTAAATTGTTAGATATGACGAGCAACAAGAACGAGTTTGGATTTTTGTTGATTCTTTTGATTTTAACTTGACTATTTGTTCAAACGCAATTAAGAACAATTCAAATTTGATTGTTAAACGATTTGAGACCAGTTGTTATAAGCGATTCACTAGACAGGATTTTGATTCGTTTTCCGTTTGGATTCCGGCCTGGAATGGAACTGAACCATTTCGATGTGTTTGGTTTATTGAGAATCCAGACAAGGCCACTGTAGATGTGACCTTTTCTTTTCGATATCGGAAAAAAGATCAACCGATCGGCCATCAGTTGGATTTTCTTGTTTCCATTGAAACAAATGATGGTGAAATTATTCCAACCATAGTTAATCAAACTTCAATGAGACAAATTACTTCTGATAGTCAGTTAATTGCGATGGAGTATATTGCCTTACAACCTGTTGGTAAACAACTTAAATTACAATATAAAATGTTACCAAAAGATTCATCAACAGCCTTAACAATTAACAATCAACCATTAAGTTATCCAGTCAACACTCAATGTTGTAAGTAATTTGATTTGATTTGAGCTGATTAAAAGTGTCTAATTGTTTCAATTCTTAACGTTTATTTTATCAAACAGTTTGTGGTAGTGAAAATATGGAACAACGGATTGTCGGTGGTCAAGAGGTCAATCCAAAGCATCGCTATCCATGGATGGTGGCCTTTCTCAAGTCCAACGGTGAACCATTTTGTGGAGGGACAATAATCAATAATCAATATGTTTTAACGGCAGCTCATTGTTTTGATAATACATCAAATACGGCCTACAATAGTCCAAGAGCCGTCAAAATGGCCATAGGAGCTCACGATCTATCAGTGGATCGAACCTATTATCGAATTCGTTCCGTTCGAATCCATGAAAGTTACAAGCGAACCGGATCAGCTCTTTATAATGACATTGCTTTGGTTCGTATCGAAGGTAATTTAACCTTTGATCAGTTCACTGTGAGTCCGATTTGTTTACCATCACCGGAAATGGTGCTTTTTAATAATCTAACTGTCGCCGGGTGGGGATTCACCAACGAAGATGGTGTTGCAAGTAAAGTGCTTCGAGATGTAACCTTGCCTTATGTAACTAATCGCGAGTGTCAAGAGTTTCATGGTGAAGTGATCACTTCGAGTATGATGTGTGCCGGAGGCAATCAAGATGAAGATTCGTGTCAAGGTGACTCAGGATCCCCGCTGATGGCACGAAAAGATGGTTCTATCTATGCTGTCGGCTTGGTATCTTTTGGCCTTGGATGTGGTCGACCCTATTACTATGGTGTTTACACTCGCATCTCAAAATATCTCAAATGGATCTCGGATAACACGGTGGGCGCTAAATCGTGTCCAGACAAACCGATTGTACCAGTGACAACTTTATCACCAATCGGTCAGCAATCAACGGGACTACCTGTTCATTCAACAAGTCCTGGTACAACAATTAAAAATGGAATAAATTCTAAACCAATTTATCCAAATTTAGATGATTGTGGTATAATGAATATCGCTTCATCGAGAGTGATTGGTGGTAAAGAAACAAATTCCAATGAATATCCATGGATGGTAAGTAATTGATTAGAATCAGTTAATCATTCAAGTTCACTGTCTCACAATTTCACTCTTTCTCTTTCCCTAACAATTAAATCAATCACCTTCACAATCAAGGCTGCTTTAGGCTACAGGAAGGATTTTATCGGTGGTGGAGTTGTAATTGCTCCGTATTACATTTTGACCTCTGCAAATAAGATCAAGAAATTGTAAGTTCAATCAACTAGTTGTTGTAATTGTTAACAATTGGTTAACTTTTCTTTGAAAATCGCCTCATTACCTCTAACACCATAAAGGTTGAAATATGCAAGACTTGATTGAGCGCATCCTTCAAATCATGATCCGGTTCACGACGGAAAACGTTTTTAAATACGACAGTCCGTTCTCTACCGACTTTTTTACCGATTTTATTCTGAGAAAAAAAAGACGAGAAAAAATAATAAGATTGAGAAAAGTTCAAGACAAAAAAAACCAAGAGAAAATACAACCTTGTACAAAGGATTGAACTTCTTGCGTTTGATTGTTTTCATTGAGATTTTTCTTAGAGATATGGAAGAGATTGACATTTTGTCGATTTTTTTGGTTAAAAGGCTGATATTTTGAGGAGACGCATCGGTTAGGTTGGATTCAGATTTAATCTTAATGGGCAGAGAAAAAGATTGTTACTACTTAGCTCTAGAAGATTTAACTATGAGTTGCCGAGACTCGAAACTTGACTGGTATGAGTTTGAGCGATACTAAATTGAACATGAATGACCTCTAAATGACCTTCGGGGACCTTGAGGGTTAATAAAAGCCTTAATAATCCTTGATAAGTATTTATCATTGAATAACCTTGACCTTGCAATATGACAATCAAGCATCGCCTAAAGTTTTATGCATATTGTAACTCGAGTCTGGAGTCTAAATACCCAAAGCGAAAAAATTATTCAAGAAAAACTTATTGGAAACTTAGTTAGGTAAAATTCAGTTTATTGGGCAAAGAAAATTGGTTGGTCTATAATTTAGTTACAGTTTTTTCTCCCATATTTTGATCTTTTTGACTGCTGCCATCTAAAGATTAAAAAATTAGAATTTAAGATTAAGTGTGAAATCTAAGGTTAAACTTCACACTAATTAATCAATTGACCAATGAATGGTTTGTTTAATTTATTTTAAAGACTGTTGCCGACAAAAAATTACAGTCAGATGAACAAAATTTTGTTCGATGACTTAAGATTGTCTTTCTTTTCTTAAATTCTAATTTTTTAATCTTTAGATGGCAGCAGTCAAAAAGATCAAAATATGGGAGAAAAAACTGTAATTGCTCTTAGTTGAATCGATTGATATCTTGAGATGAAAACAAATGAAAACTTAAATTAAACAAAACCTATTAATAAGAACAACTTTTTGATTGTTGTTAATCAGAGGGAAACAATTGTTCGGCATGTAAACAACAATTAAACGATAAATTATATCGAAATAAATTGTAAATCATCAACATTTCAAAAACTAAAACGAACCGTTAGCTATTTTAGAAAACTGGACTGGTCAAGATTCTGTGAAAAATAATTAAGAAAACGAAGGAAGAAAAAATTTAATCAACTAGAGCAAAGGAAACGGGAAACAAATCTCAATACGATTAATTAACACTCGAATCTCAAGTCGGAAGAAAACTCAATCACAAGAGAAATAGAGGTTAATTGTTAAACATGGAAAAACAATCTAACAATTAACTAACACACTCACATTCACATTAAAGTTTTAATATAAATCATCATTAATGAATTGCTTAATTGCTCCAATAGAAATCACTTTAATCACAATTAACAATGACACCTTTCAACAGAAATGGCTTTTTCTTTGTGCCGATGTCCGTCAAGCTTTGCCCTGGATCACTTTTGTAACGGGAGCTGAAACACTTTGATCTATTATTTATAATATCAAATAAAAGACTAAAAAAATTAGATCAATTCATTTATTTTTTCAAGCTCGAAACTCTTTAATTGTATCAAGTTTAATTCATATGAAATAGTCGTTTAAAAAAAACATCAATCCGAAGGCATAAAACATTGAATGTGAATGAAAAGATCACAATCTGAATTGCAATGAATCAAAATCTTAACTTAGAAAAGTGGTCATTAAATCGTGATTTTGATCTAAAATGTTCTTAGGGATTTTTAAAGGGTTTAGACATTCACGAATTTTTCTAATTCGAGGTAAATCTTCATAGCATTCCGGTCGATTTTGGTTTAAATTTTGGCTTATTTGAGGTTCGTTGATTGTTCCTTCAACCTGAGGATTGGATGTCAATCCGTTGGCTTGTCCGGGCAACCACCAGGCTTCAGAGGTTAAAAAATCTTTCTCATCTTTATCATCAACTGACTCAACCATTTCAATCAAATTTTCGATTATGGCCAAAACAATTGATGCTTCACGGTCATCAAGTTTAACTGGAAATCTTCCGTCGAGTATTGATTGAAAATAAGAGTGAACAGCTTGATAATTAACCTTCTCTTCGTCATGAATACAGCTCGTACTTTCACCACCATTTTCGTCGATATTTATATTCTCCATGGATCCTGATCTGGTGGAGAAAAGTTTTCCCATTTCTACAAAAACATCTTTCAATGTTTGCGAGAAATCGTCACACTTGGCATCAAATGGAACACAATAGGAAATAATCGATGACCACTGAGCGATATTTTTCATCTCTGGATACGAATCAATAAAATTCTCTCTCTGGCTTAATTCCCTTCCTTTTTTCTCGTACGATTCAATCAAAAATCTGTAAAAATGAAACAACAAAACAAAACAAAACAAAACATGATTAGTATCGTTTTCAAGGATAATCAACAACCTGAAGACTCGTATTTATATAGGTAATTAGGATTAAACAAAGAATTAGTAGATTTTAAACTTACTTAATCTCAGGCAGAGTATTTGATGGTAAATATGTTTTCAGTAAATCCAAATCGGAGATAACACTTGGTCCATTCTCTTTCAAGGCTTTAAGTAGTTGCTCTTTTTCATTATATTTATATTCACATTCATCTTCAACAATTTTACACTTTCCTTTGCCCCTACGAGCCATGATTAATTTCGTTCTGATGATAAACAAGATGAAAACTCAGTGGTTCATGAAGATTCAGTTTATCAAAACAAGAATCTGAAAGTTGTTTTGAAAAGCACTTGTTGTCACTTCGTTCAGATGGCGACACATTCGTCGAATTTCAAGCAGCGCCATCTAAGGGAAGAAAATGATTATCCGGTTTTAGGAAAATCTTGTTGATGATTAAACACGTGTTATAATTGTTAATTGTTTTCTATTTAATCTAATTAATTAATTTACGATTTAATTTATCATTATGGCTGAATGGGAACTTACGAATAAATTAGGAACCTACTTAGATCGACATTTGGTCTTTCCTTTGTTAGAGTTCTTGTCTACTCATGAGGTAAGTTTGGTGGTTTTTTTCATTTTTTTCTATATTAATGTTGATTGATATTTATTGTCATCTTTTTTTTGCCTTCATCATCAATTTATTAATTTATTATTTGGTGTTTTTTTTTCTTCCTGACCGGTTGTTTTGTTTAATTTGTTTGGTTTGTTTAGATTTACGAGGAAAATGAATTACTTCAAGTCAAATTGGATCTTCTTAATAATACCAATATGGTTGACTTTTCAGTTGATGTTTGGAAACAGCTCAATCCTGATCTTGCTGATTCACCGCCTGATCACTTTTTTGAGAAAAGAAATGGAGTTGTATCACAATTGAAAGAACTTGAAAATGTTACCAGGCCAATTTTAGCTTTACTAACCGACGAAACTATTAGCCAAGAGATAGCTAAAGCTCGAGATGTCCGCCAATTGTTGGATTACTTACAAAAAAATCACGGAGTAAGAGAATTGAAAATTTTACCAATCAAGTGGTTGACACTTAATTTTACTAAACTTTCTTTCTTTTTTGCTTTTTTCTTGACAGTTTAATCCTGATATGGTTGACAGTTTATTGGAATTTGCTAAATTTCAATATGAATGTGGTAATTACTCTGGTGCCGCTCAGTATTTATCTTCTCATCGAATGTTGATTTCACCAAATGATAAAAATTACCTTAGCAATTTATGGGGTAAATTAGCCTGTGAAATACTAATGCAAAGATGGGAAGTTGCTTTGGAAGATTTCAATCGTCTCAAGGAATTTATCGATAGCTATCCGTTCTTTGCTAATCAATTACACTTGTTACAGCAAAGAACTTGGTTAATCCATTGGAGTTTATTTATATTTTTCAATCACTCACAAGGACGAGATATGTTGATCGATATGTTTTTGGAGAAGAAAGCAAATTATCCTAAACAACAAACCAACAATCCTTATTTGAATGCTGTCCAAACGATGTGCCCTCACATTTTGAGATATCTAACAACTTCCGTTATTACTCATCGTAAGCGACGTGAACACATGAAAGAATTGGTTAAAGTTATCCAACAAGAATCATACACTTACCGTGACCCAATCACCCAATTTGTCGAGTGTCTCTGTGTAAACTTTGATTTCGATGGAGCTCAAAAGAAGCTTCGTGAATGTGTCGAAGTTTTCGAACACGATTTCTTCTTAGTGGCTTTAAAAGACGATTTCATTGAAAATGCTCGTCTTTTTGTCTTCGAGATTTTCTGTCAAATCCATGAATGTATATCCATCGGAATGTTGGCCGAAAAACTGAACATGACTCCAGAAGATGCGGAGAAATGGATCGCCAACCTTATTCGACAAGCAAGACTTGATGCCAAGATCGATTCTAAATTAGGTCATGTGGTCATGGGAACTCAAGCGGTTTCACCATATCAACAATTGATTGAGAAAACCAAAGCCATGGGAATCCGATGTCAAGTTCTTACCATGAATCTGGAAAAGAAATTACATTCTGTACAAGAAAGAGGTTGGGATCTTTCTTAAATATAACAATTTAATCATTTGATATTTGATTAAATATCTCCAATCAAATAAATGTAATTTGAAAGCTTAATTGTCAATCTTTTTTTTTGCAATTAAAAACTGGTAAATAATTTTACTTTAATTATTATGATTGTCATCAAATATCCACTAATGATGAAGAGCGCATTTCATTTAAATCAATCATTTTTCACATTTGATCCTAATTTTATACCAACACAATTGCTATTCAATTAATTTAAATGTCGATTAACTAAAGAAAAGCGAAAAGTAAAAGTGACCAACAATTAAAATTTTAATTCTCTTTTTTTTTCCAATTTATTTTTGGTCACAATTCAGTTTTCTCAAAGACAACCTACTGTGGCCTCTTACTAAACAATCAACTGATTGTTGTATTCAAATTGAATTCACTTGATTGTATTTATAGTTATTTTTGTTGATCTGATGTTTATCTAATTGTGGTTGTCGATGAAGATTAACAATCATAAATCAGTTGGGATTCGGTAGCAATTTAATATTAGATTGTATATTGTTACCTTTCATCGAGTGTTGAACAATTTGTTTATTTATATGTGTGTTGATTGGTCTATAATTTAGTTAATTGTTCAATTAACCTTGAACATTTTCCCTCAATTAGGTAACTAAGGAAAAAGATAATCAACTTTTTGATCGTAAGTTTGATTGTTAACTAATCTAAATCATCTTCAGACAATTAATAGTAAGCAAAAAAAAGATGTAATTTAATAAGAAATTAAAGTTAATTGCTCTTATTTGAATCGATTGATATCTTGACATGAAAACAAATGAAAACTTAAATTAAACAAAACCTATTAATAAGAACAACTTTTTGATTGTTGTTAATCAGAGGGAAACAATTGGTCGGCATGTAAACAACAATTAAACGATAAATTATATCGAAATAAATTGTAAATCATCAACATTTAAAATATCGAATTACGATAATAAAGATAATACAATCAAAGGGAGAAAATTGCGAAAAAGAAAAACAAATTTCGGTTAATAGTTGATTTTGTTTCGAAATTAAAAACAAGCTTAAATCGTTGATTACATGTTGATGTTGATCATGATGAAGATGAAGCTACTTCCTAACTCAAGTTTAGATGATGATGGAAATGATGATGATGATGATGAACATTTTTCCGGGCCAATTGAGAGTGAAAGTCAAAGTAAAACCAAGAAGGAGGAAGAAAATTTGATGAGGATGAAGAAAGAGTAAAAAGAAAGAGAAAAAGGAAGATAATATTTTACCGGGTCAATCATCATCTTCTTTCATCATCATCATCAAGCCGAATGAGATATTTTTAATTGTCGATAAACTAAAACGAACCGTTAGTTACTTTAGAAAACTGGACTGGTCAAGATTCTGTGTTGATTTTAATATCGGAAAGAGAGGAAACGAAATTTACTAATCAACATGTGATTTTGTTTTTTAAATCAACAATCGAAAATCATTCAAAAGTGTCAACAGTTAAATTGCCAAAGAGTTAAATTCGACAACAATTAAGTTTCTTTTGATTAGTTTTTGTTCATTCGATTTCTCCTCGATCATAAACTGACCACAATATGAGGATTAGTGTTTTCCTGTGTCCAGTTTTATTAATCATCTGTGTCCATCTCAATGGTGCAACTTTATTCAGTTTATTGGGCAAAAAAAATTACATCTTAGCCAAACCAAGGATCATAATTAAGCCCAAAATTTACATTGGTACCCACCCGCTCTTGTTGGGCAAGAAAAAGGCCCTTGCCGCTAAAGCCGTCGCTGGACTGGGGGTGGTCGGTATCCTAAAGAAGCTTAAACCTAAGATTTCACTGCCCAAGATTGAACTTCCTCGATTTGGTTTACCTAAGATCCCGTTATCTTTTTCCGTTTCCTTGGACAAACCAAATGAATCAACTAACGAGGATGAAGTTGAAGATGCTGCTGAAGCTGCAGCTGATGCGGTCAGAAATGCAGCTCACGATGATGTTGACCACATTGACCATCATTCCTTGACCTCAAAGAAACTTTCCTCTTCCAAATATTCAGATTTATCCTGGATAAGTGACCCACCTGTTGGATTTTCACCTTACGATGATGAATTTTCAGTCGGTGAATCGAAAGCACATCGAAGTGACAAATTAAAACAGCAACAAAAACAATCAACTAAATCAAATCAACAATCATCGCCGTCAACCTCATCATCATCGTCACAATCAAGTGGCTCATCTAATTCATATCGTTCACGAGATGGTAAATATTATCCAGGTTCAAGTTACAATTCAAAATCAAATAATTATCCAATTAACCCTTTATCCTCATCTAATTATCAAGCTAATGATGATGAGGAAGATTTCAAGGCGAAATTCAAGCCAAAAGAAATTAGTAAATCATCAACTCGAATCTCGAATAACAATAATAATAAACAATTAAGACGACGACCTGTTAAAAGTGATGATGATGACGAAGATGATGCCGATGATGAAAGATAGTTAAGTTTAATTGTCAACCATTAATTCAGTTAATCAAATCATTTCCGTCTGAATGATAATCCTCCCAATATCATTTGTAGTTATAATATAAATTGTAAAATAATTTTCCCAACCAATTGAATGAATTGTTCACTTTTTAATTTTATTTTTTATTACCAATCTAGTTAACAATTAACTAAATAAATACATTATTTGATTATCAATTAATTTGTTTTAATTGTATTGATTTGTTTTTCAGATCCATAGACTTTAAAATAATAATTGCCAGAGGTAATTAAATTTAATCATTTACATGTTATTAAAATTTTTGGCAATTTATCAATTCCAGGAAGTTAATCAGTCAAACTACACTAATCAAGTTAATTGCCCTGAAGGCAAAGCTACTTCTTAACTTTAGACTAAGTTTAGTTAAATTGATGATTAAGAAAAATTTTCTTCATTTTTTTTTATATAATGGTAACAAACATGTTTGCATGATGATTAAAACAACAGCAATTAACTAACTATTACGAATGTAAATGTCCGTTTTCACGGAATCACTGATTGTCACAATTCATGGGAATACAAGGTAAACAATTAAATCAACGATTTAATCACTTCCACATCAATCGGATTACAAATGATAATAAAAAAAAACACGAAAAGGTAAACATAAAACTTTGGAGAACAAGTTTTCCTTCAATTAACTGTATGTAAAATTAATCGATTAAGATTATGGTGCCAATTGAGATCGAAAATTGTTCTAATAATTAGAACATTACGATTTGCAAATTCGAAAATGGAATCAACCTTTCGGTCGATTCCAAATGGGGATTTTTTTATTCGGCATCTGAGACGGAGAATTTTATTTCACTTTTTTCTGTTTTATTTATAGCTCAGTACAAATACCCACCCGCTCAAGGTTCGAACCAGAAACCCAGAGATCCCCGAACTCTGGACTATAAGATTCTCGCCAAGATTGGATGGGCGAAAGAATCAGAACAAAAGAAATACTAATGACCAATGTCCAGCTCACGATTTTCATTTCAACATAAATTTGGAGAACAAGTTTTCCTTCAACATGAAAGTAAAATAAATAAGTCGATTAAGATCATATGATCAATGATATCGAAAATCAATTGTACTAATGATCAGAACATTTCAATTTGTGAGTTCGAAAAAAAATCAACCTTGCGGCCAATTCCAAATGGGGATTTTTTCATGTGATCTGTTTTGTTGTTGTTTTCGAAAGTTTTTAAGGCTCTCTGAAATTGATCGAAATCAATTGGATCGAAACCAATTTGATCGAAATCAATTACCCACCCGCTCAAGGCTCGAACCAGTCGTCTCGAGGATCCCCGAACTCTCAACTTTCCGATTCTCACCAAGATTGGATGGGCAAAAGTGTTGGCACAAAAAAGGTTCAAATGACCAATGTCCGGCTCATCAAGTTCATCCAAATATGAGCATTGAGTTTGTTACAAGATCAATGGTTAATTTAAATGAAGCATTTTTTATAAGTGTTATTGGGAAGCAATTAAAATGGTACAAGGTTTTTAATTTATTGATTTGGTTCGATAAAAAAATGATTATCATTGATTATTATAATCATGGCTATGGCAATGTTAGTTTAATTGTTTGGAAATGGCGTTTTTTTTGTTGTTATGAAGTCTTTAAATATATTAATTGTAGGTGATAGTGATGATTGAGACAATGGTTTGTTGATAATTGTGATGATGATGAAATTTGATTCAACACGTATGATGTTATTATATTAATTAGCTTTTTTTAATCATTGAGGTGGTGATTTCCAAGATGCATAGTTGAAAGTGATGGTAAATTGTTTCAGTTGTTGTTGTTGTTGTTGAAGGTTGTGATTGCGATTTACTTGTTTTACTGGTTGATTTAGTTTAGATTTTTTAAAAAAATCGAAGGCAAGTTAAATTAGTGTAATCCTTTTTCACAATTAGTTCAATCAGATTAACCATTTTCTCATTTATTTTGATTCCTTTCTCTCTTAATTGGACAAATTTACGGTCAAAGGCATCAACAGGTTTTCCTGAGCGTTCAATTAATTGTCGGGTTAGTCGTAAAAATGGCACAGTTAATTCATGACGATCATAGTAATCGTTTTCCAAGACCATTGGAATCGCCTTTTGGGCATAATTTAAGGCCTCCTGTGGGCTACCGGAGGCGATCATCGAGGTAACCAGTAGAATTAGAATCTGATAGACTTGAGCGTTTGACTGATCGTTTTCTCCTTGGAGTGTGATCTTTTCTTGGATAAAGAAACAATTCTCCAAAATGTTTGCCGCGTCTTCAAAATTACGCGATTTCAAATATCGACGAGTTTCAATCATCTCTTTAGAATGAAGGAAATCGACAAAAGGTCGACTGGTTCGTAGTTCATCCACCGACAGACAATAAGTTAGAAGACTTTGAAAGGCGATCGATCGCTCTCTGATCACTTGACTGGTAAAATTGCCGACCAGCGTTTTCTTTGGGAAATTAAAATCTTTCAGCAGAAGCGGAAATCGTTTCATTAGGCCCATGTAAAGGGACGAGAATTCGGTGTATCTTCGTTCAATTACTCCAGGCTGACTTTCCAATCCAGGGCATCTCTTGATTATAATTGTGTACGAAACATGTTTACTCTTTACACCACTCGAAGCTCCTGTGGTTACCGTTCGAGCGGAAATAATCTCAAAAGTAACACGATAACCTGCTTTCCTTGGAGTGGAACAGTTAATGGTGTCATCTCTCCATTTCGCTAATTGCTGGTTAGCCGAAGTAACAACTTGAGACTCTCGATCCAAATCTTTAAGGTTACCATAGCTTTTGGACCTTCGCTCATCTCCAGTGTAGGAATATAAAGAAGTAGATGAAGAGGAAACAGATGATCCACAATTAGCACTATTGTTATTCTGAGTTAACCTTGAAACACCATTGAACGATCTTGCAACATGAAAATCAAAATCAAGACAAACATCAGGACCTAATTCTTGTTCACCATTATTGGTCCCAATTGATCCGAAAACATTTGAATTTATCACAGGTTCACCAGTGAGATCCGTTGTTACACTTTGGCTACAATCACTGTAATTAAGATCACTATTGTGATCATCTTGAGGACCATTAATTGAGGAGATATCAGAGAAACATATAGATAAACTCTTGTCCAAACTGGAGTTGGATGTTGTTGTTGCTGTTGTGGTTGTGGAGGTGGTGGTGATGGTCGATATTCTTGAAATAGAATCAACAAGTGGTCGTTTGTGGTGGTCAGTTAATCCGATTGGACGAGTGTCACTTTCATCCCAAATTAGTTCATTTTCTTCGTAACTATCCAACATCTCGTTTCATTGTTTGAGAAAGAAAAATTCGAAATCAAAATGAACGATGTAGTAAATCAAACAAACTGACGAAATTCAGGTCAACGGGAGGGTAGAGAAAGAGAGAATCTGAAAGAAATGATATTGCACCGAAAATAATGTTGGTCAATAAGAAAAAACACCAAAACAAAAACGAGAAGAAAATAAAACAACAATTGTAACCAGAATAAAAGAGCAATTGAAATGCGCACTCACTTGTTGCCAATGGAAACAGAGAAAAAGAAACAAAATTTGTAATAATTTTAATCTTCTTTTTGTAATCACAATTTGTTTTTTTCCATTTTGATTCATCTCTTTAATTAGTCATCGATAGTTAATCTTTTTTTGTTCTCGTTTATTTATTCATTTCAGTGACTCACCAATCGCCAAATTTATCTCCATTTGATTGTCTCTTCGTTTGTGTCACCAAATCCAAACAAAGAAAACATGTTCAGGCTCATCCACGTCATTCTCTGTACTCTCTTCCTATGGGCCACCCTGTTGTTTACCTTTTCTGGTGTTGCCGATTCGACCCGATTCCACATCTACCTGATGCCCGTTTACATGGTCATCCTGTTCGGATTCGCTTCGCTCTTCATTGTCCTTAATCGTGTTGTCAACTTTAACAACTGTGAAAAGGCTTGTCAAGAATTGAGAGAAGAGATAAAAACAGCAAAAGCTGAACTGACCACAAAAGGTTTCACTTGGTGATAATAAATTGTTTTTTTCTCAGTACATTATATTTGATTTGAAATAATTTAATTGTCTCAAAATGTATTCAGGTTTTTTTTTGATGATTTATTTGAATTTTTTCATGATTTGATATTACATTTTTTTTTGTTTTACGGATTTTTATTAACGTGGAAGTCTTCTTTTCGCTTTTTTGAAATTCCTTGGAACAATAACGGCACCAGTTGAATTTGAAGCTTCAGCACTAAAAATGAAAAAGAAACAAAAATGTTATTTAATTATTGGAGTTATTATTGATTAGCAAATTTGTTTATGTTATTTGAGATGAATACTTACGCGAATCTAAAAGGCTGTCCTTGAGTGGGAGCCGAATTAAGGAAATTGAAATTAGGCTGAGTCTCAAAATTGATAGCATTTGCCGCTGGACTCGCTCCCAAAGATTGAGTATGATTGGTAGAAGCTGAACTACCGAAAGTGAAAACATTACTAGAGCCAGAAGCGGGAGCTGGTGCTGGTGCTTGAGATTGTGATTGTGTTGCAGCAGGTGAGGCGCCGAATGTAAATGTTGAACCGAAAGCATTTGATTGTATACTCGGTGTGACCAGAGGTGTGGGCGCAGTGTTAGGTGCAGAGCCGAAAACAAAACCTGATGATGTTTTAGCAGAAGTGGTAGAAGGTGTTTGACCAAAAGTAAATCCGCCAGTAGAGGTAGAACCTGAAGATGCTGTGCTACCAAACGCGAAAGTTGATGGTGTTGAGGCGGTTGAAACACTAGTTACAGAAGGAGCTGTACTCATGCTAGGTTTAGGTGCTTCAAACGAGAACCCTGATGACATTGTAGTGGTTGTTGTTGATGGTTTCGATGCGAAACTGAATGTGTTAGGAGTGGACGTTGAACCAAATGAGAATCCACCAGTGGTTGGTGATGTAAGGGTGTTGGATGTCGAGCTTGAAGTTGTCGTAACAGAAGGAAAACTAGACGATCCTGATGAGCCAAACGTGAAAGCCGAAGGTGCCACTGTTTTGGATGTACCTGAGCTGGACGAAGCATCTACAATAGCATTACTCTGTCCAAATTTATCGGTATTGTTGGTAGATGCTGAGCTACCAAAGGAAAAAACATTACTAGAGCTTGCAGCGGGTGCTGGTGCTGGTGCTTGAGATTGTGATTGTGTTGCAGCAGGTGAGGCGCCGAATGTAAATGTTGAACCGAAAGCATTTGATTGTATACTCGGTGTGACCAGAGGTGAGGGCGCAGTGTTGGATGCAGAGCCGAAAACAAAACCTGATGATGTTTTAGCAGGGGTGGTAGAAGGTGTTTGACCAAAAGTAAATCCACCAGTAGAGGAAGTACCTGATGATGATGTGCTACCAAAAGCAAAAGTCGATGATGTAGAGGCGGTCGAAACATTGGTTACCGATGGAGCAGTACTTGGTTTGGGTTTAGCTAAATCAAATGAGAATCCTGATGACATCGTAGAAGAAGTTGTTGATGGTGTTGAGGAAATTGTAACATTAGAAACAGACGGAGCTGTACTTGTATTTGGTTTAGCTAAATCAAACGAGAATCCTGATGATATTGTGGTAGTGGTAGTCGTTGTTGACGCTGTAGATACTGTTGAAGCGTTTGATACAGCTGGAGCTTTGCTTATGGGTTTAACTGAGTCAAATGAGAACCCTGTTGACATCGCTGTGGTTGTTTGCGGAAGTGATGAGGTCGAAACACTAGTTACAGATGGAGCTGTACTGGTGTTAGGTTTAGGTGCTTCGAATGAGAATCCCGACGACATTGTGGTGGTGGCTGTTGACGGTTTCGATGCGAAACTGAATGAATTGGGTGTTGATGATGAACCAAATGAGAATCCACCAGAGGTTGGTGATTTGGCTAAACCCAGAAGATCCTGATCCTGATGAGCCGAAAGAGAAAGTAGTTGTTGCCGGTGTTTTAGATGTACCTGAACTTGATGGGACATCAACAATGGCATTACTCTGACCAAATTTATCATTATTATTGTTCGAGGCTGAAGTACCGAAGTTGAAAACATTACTTGAGCCTGAAGCTGTTGATGCTAATGGTAGGGGTGTTGAAGAAGCAGGCGGAACCATAGCACCTTTTTTAACCGTTTCACATGCAATACACTTAAGATCAGCGGGCTTGTTCTGTACAAAGCATTCATCGCACATCCACGATCCTGGTGGAGGCTTGAATTTACTAAATAATGATTCGCTGATTTTATTACCCAAATTTGTTTTATCTACAGTTTTATCTGAAATCGTCTGAGAACTGGAACCATCTTTAACTGGTGATTTGCTTGATTGGTCAGAGGTTTTTGATAAACTCTCGGTAGACTTAACAATCTTGATCTCTTTATCATCGCTTACTTTATCTTCAACTGCTGCCAATGCAGCATCAGCTGAAATTCTACTTCGGGTTGATCACCTGGGAGACATTGGTACTTTACTCACGTCAGGCTTTGGCAACCATTTCATCTTGAACTACCTTGGTTGGTGATTCGTTAACAACTTCGATTACTGTAGTGTTAGCTGTTTTAGTTGTTGATTCTATTGTGATAGGTTGCTCCTTTTGAGGCACAGGAATAGAGAAATCAGATGATTTAAGAAGCTTGTTTTCTTTCTCACTTTCATTTTCAAGAACTTCAATAGTTGTGGTTAATTCGGTAGCTTCACCAACATTTTTATCCTTGTTAAGACTCGACGAATCATCAGGTTGTGAAACATTACTAGATGAGGCGACAGGTGCTGACACAGCAGAAGCTTCAGCAAAGCTGAATGAAGGTAGATTTGTAATATTAAATGGGACATTATTTTTGAGTTCAAGTGGAACAACGTTCTCGTATAGTTGTGAAGAAGAACTGGATCCCTTTGGTCTAACGTTAAATCGTTTACTTGGTCTGATTTTACCACCACCACTTCCTCCAATGTTCTTATCTCCGGCAGAGAAGTCACCATAAGATGGGGATAAACCTAAATCTCGTTGAGGTGATACACTAGAATCAACTCTGTCAACAGAATCTGTATCAGATGGTGATACTGCCCATTTAAGTTGAGGTTTATCAATTGGAACAAGTGATGGTTTAAGTGATGGATAAGGAACAGATTTAACAGGTCTCGCGTAAGGTGTTCTAATAGTTGGTGCTCTCCTGGGCTCACTGAGGTATCTACTTGTATCAATAGACCCAAAGACAGGAATTTTCTTAGCATCTTCTAAAGGAGAAGATATCTTTTCAATATTAGCTAATATTCTCTTCGCAGCATCACTGAGAAGATCTTCTGAGTTCAACTTTTTACCGCTATCACTGTTACGGTTATTGTTGAGTTGAATTTTAACATTAGAGGTGTTATTAATTGGACTGATTAATTTGTTGAAAGGAGCTGCAAGACGAGCTCTTTTGGCTGATGTCCCGCCGAAGGTAGTTTTCCCTTCATAATAAGGCGAATTAGCTCCACGAGGTGAAACACTTGTTGGTGAGGTAAATTTGGAAACATTAAATCTGGAACTAGGTGAATGAGACCATAAAAGGGATCGTCGGCTATCATCTCGACTACTTAATGATGGTTTGTTGTCGGTTTCAACGGCGACGTCCCTATTTTTCAATAGCTCTTTTCAAGCGTTCAGTTTTATCTTTATCAAAAACATTACTTGAGCCTGAAGCTGTTGATGCTAATGGTAGGGTGTTGAAGAAGCAGGCGGAACCATAGCACCTTTTTAACGTTTCACATGCAATACACTTAAGATCAGCGGGCTTGTTCTGTAACATTCATCGCACATCCACGATCCTGGTGGAGGCTTGAATTTACTAAATAATGATTCGCTGATTTTATTACCCAAATTTGTTTTATCTACAGTTTTATCTGAAATCGTCTGAGAACTGGAACCATCTTTAACTGGTGATTTGCTTGATTGGTCAGAGGTTTTTGATAAACTCTCGGTAGACTTAACAATCTTGATCTCTTTATCATCGCTTACTTTATCTTCAACTGCTGCCAATGCAGCATCAGCTGAAATTCTACTTTTCGGGTTGATCACCTGGGAGACATTGGTACTTTCTTTACTCACGTCAGGCTTTGGCACAACCATTTCATCTTGAACTACCTTGGTTGGTGATTCGTTAACAACTTCGATTACTGTAGTGTTAGCTGTTTTAGTTGTTGATTCTATTGTGATAGGTTGCTCCTTTTGAGGCACAGGAATAGAGAAATCAGATGATTTAAGAAGCTTGTTTTCTTTCTCACTTTCATTTTCAAGAACTTCAATAGTTGTGGTTAATTCGGTAGCTTCACCAACATTTTTATCCTTGTTAAGACTCGACGAATCATCAGGTTGTGAAACATTACTAGATGAGGCGACAGGTGCTGACACAGCAGAAGCTTCAGCAAAGCTGAATGAAGGTAGATTTGTAATATTAAATGGGACATTATTTTTGAGTTCAAGTGGAACAACGTTCTCGTATAGTTGTGAAGAAGAACTGGATCCCTTTGGTCTAACGTTAAATCGTTTACTTGGTCTGATTTTACCACCACCACTTCCTCCAATGTTCTTATCTCCGGCAGAGAAGTCACCATAAGATGGGGATAAACCTAAATCTCGTTGAGGTGATACACTAGAATCAACTCTGTCAACAGAATCTGTATCAGATGGTGATACTGCCCATTTAAGTTGAGGGTATCTACTTGTATCAATAGACCCAAAGACAGGAATTTTCTTAGCATCTTCTAAAGGAAGATATCTTTTCAATATTAGCTAATATTCTCTTCGCAGCATCACTGAGAAGATCTTCTGAGTTCAACTTTTTACCGCTATCACTGTTACGGTTATTGTTGAGTTGAATTTTAACATTAGAGGTGTTATTAATTGGACTGATTAATTTGTTGAAAGGAGCTGCAAGACGAGCTCTTTTGGCTGATGTCCCGCCGAAGGTAGTTTTCCCTTCATAATAAGGCGAATTAGCTCCACGAGGTGAAACACTTGTTGGTGAGGTAAATTTGGAAACATTAAATCTGGAACTAGGTGAATGAGACCATAAAAGGGATCGTCGGCTATCATCTCGACTACTTAATGATGGTTTGTTGTCGGTTTCAACGGCGACGTCCCTGGTATTTTTCAATAGCTCTTTTCTTAAGCGTTCAGTTTTATCTTTATCAATAGGAAGGGATAACTTTTGAATATAATTACTTGATGCAACTAAAGATGAACAGCCACTTGTTGATGAAGCTGTATTCTCACTGGATGAAGAACCTTCTTCATCCCTGACCTCGTTAACAATACCACGTGACGTTGAAGGTGTTGGAGTGGCACTAGGGCCAAGTTCATGTTTTCTTTTTACAGAAAATCTTTGAGCGGTAGTTGCTGAGATCTTATTACTACCAGGTAATTCGGATATGCCTAAGCTATTAGATTTATCCATTTTATCGAGAGAAACTTTGAAGTCATATTTACTTGTTTCTTTAACTGGAGGCTTTATTGGTTCTTCAACGACGATCTCTTCTTCTTCCTCGGTATCTGGCACGTCTAATTTATCTTCTAATTCTTCCTCTTCTTCGACGTCCTCTGCGTCCTCTTCTTCTTCCTCTTCTTCTTCTTCCTCTTCTTCTTCATCTTCTTCGGCATCGTCGTCTTCATCGTCTTCTACCTCTTGATTTCCATCATTTTCACCCTCATCATTATCATCAAGGATTACCCTTGCCGGTCTTGGGCCTAAAAGTGATCCATCAAAACCACCATTCTCCTCGTTGATATTATTCTCGTCAGTTTCACTTGCAACATTAGTTAGAAAATAATTTTTTACATTAACAACCCAATTAGGCAGGTAGCTCTCCAACTTGTATTTCAAATACCATGGTTGCTATTAATAAAAAGGAAAGAAAGAGGAATATTGAAAGAAGAAAGAGATCAGAGAAAGAGAGAAAGAGAGAAAAAAGACAAGAATTAACAAATATCAACAATATGGATGCAAATATTAGGATAAGATGCAGGCCTAACCATCAACATTAATAAAATAGATTAAAATGGTTAATCTAAATTAAAAGAAATATTGATTTAAGAATAAACATAAAACAAACACGCACTATGAGAGGTTAAAAGCATTGGGAACAAGAAACCACACCAACAACTGGTTGATTGAATATCTTACCTGATTGTAAGGCCTATCATAAGGTTTGCGGCTACGTTTCCGGTCTTTCTTTTTCCATTTATAACTCACTGACGATGACATGATTAAAAATTTGTCCTCTAAATTTGACCTAAACAATTTATTAAAAGTAATCACAAAATTTAATTAAATATTATAACACTAATTTTACCCGAGTTTTGAAACCCAAATTAAAATGGCGGAAATCGTTTAGTCTGCGCAATGCGCATCAGGCGATTCAAGGGATTGTTACCTTATAACGAATTGTGGTTAACCTTTTTTTCTTAAACAAAAATAGAATTTCATTGATTAGCAATTTAATTTAAGTGAACAATTAACAACAACAATTGATTAGGTGAAAACTTGATGAGAAAATTACAATTAAATTGAAAGAAAAAATTGATTGAAGATAAATTGGTCTTCTTTTAAAATGTCAACATGAGAAAAATATTCTCACTTTGAAGGTTAGAATTTTTTTTCAAATTCTGCGCTTTCATGTGGCTCCATCTCTTGTTTGGGTTTAGAATTTTCGACTCTTCTCTTTGGTTGAATTTGGAAATTTTTTCTTTTTTTTTATTGATAAATTAAGTTGAAGAATTTTATTTGCTTGTTGAGTTGACAATTCCCATTTTTTTTTACTCTTTTTTGAGATTTTTTTTCTTGTGACTTATTAGTGTTTAAATGTCGCAAATACCACAGGAAACACCATGGCCTTGTTTCTATGTTTGGCAACAAATTCCAGCTGATGGAGGTAATATTGTCGCAACTCAAGCAACCGCAGCTTCAGCGGCAGCAGCAGCAGCAGGAGGAGGAATAGTACAAACAGCGGTGCCCACAGCGGTTAATCCTAATGTGATCATGGCTGCTGATGCTGGTGGGGCCATGCAACAAACTGAAAGAATTCCCATTCAAGCAACACCTGAGATGTGTGATGAAGAACCATTATACGTAAATGCCAAACAATATCATAGAATATTAATTAGACGTCAAGCTCGCGCCAAACTGGAAGCTGAAGGTAAAATACCTGCGACCCGAAGAAAATATCTTCATGAATCAAGACACAAACATGCCATGAATCGAGTTAGAGGCGAAGGTGGAAGATTTAAACAAGGTGGTAACAACAAAGTTTAACTAATTATTTATAAATAGTATATAAATTCACATATTATATTTTTGCTTCTCTCTCTCTCTCTACCTCTATCTCTATGTCTTTTTCCACATCTAAGATCTGTGTTTAACCTAATCTTTTTTCGCCTCTTCTCTCTCTCTATCTCTTACTCATACCTTATTTTTTACTCCATTTGGAAATCTACAATTAGAGAAGAAAACAACTTCTCTACCTTTGTTTCCCTTTTTTCTCAATAAAAACATCACTAATTTAATGAATGAATTTGATTCGATGGTTTGAAATGATTCCATTTATGTTTCCAATTCTGATTGGTTAGTTTTCCATTACATTGCCTCATTCATACGAACACGTTTAGTTTGATTCTCCTCCTCACCAGCTGATTATTTAAATTGTTTCTTTTCTTCGATTGTCTTAAATTAATTGTTTTCTATTCTCTTCCATCAAAATTGTTCCTCTTACAATCAAAGTAAATTCACTCTAAAGGTAAGACTTTTCTCTCCCTGGTTAACATTTGTTGTTTTCTCTCTCAATGTTTCCAATTGCTGCAAATGCGAAACCTTATTAGTTGATCAGCTTAAAAAAGCTAATTTATTAATAGCCCAATTAGAAGCAATTATCTTTTTCTCATTGATTGGATTGTTGTAGTAGATTAACCAACTAAAGGTCTATGTTGGGTTTTCTTTTGTTTTGATTCGTAATCTTGTCCTATCATCTTTGTTTTGATTTCTCTTTAGATTGGTTGTTCTTAATTCGGATTTAAATGTTTCCCCAAAGGCCTAAGTCTTTGAAAGAAGAGGATGAAGATGATCTTATTCGAGCTCAGCAAGAGTTCATGGCTCTTAAAGAAGCGGGTAAAATTCAGCCGAGTGTCTCTCAGGTTGTGAAAAACTATTCAAATGAGAAGGTGAAAAGTGAAAGTGATTCAGAGAAACCGATTGACGGATCTCTAACCTTTGATGTTAATTGTTTGTCAACTATTGGTGAATTACCTATCATTGAGAGAGAAACAAGTGATTTCAGTGGATTCTCATTTCCCAAGAAGGTGAAAATATCATTTCCAAAGCCGACAAGAAGAGTTGAAGGGTCGACTAGTAGATCGATTCCTATTCCATCAAACAAAGATCAAAGTGGAAGTGAAAATTATCGTAAACAAAATGAACAATTGATCGCCAACATGAATGAAGAACAGATAATTGCCATGAGAGAAGAAATTTTGTCTAAATTGAAACCTGAACAAATTGAATTTCTGAGAAATCGACACAAAAATCAGAACCAAACAAACTGTAAACAAAATAACACCAAAGATGATATTGGAAACGATCAGATTGAAACAGAGGAAAATGAACCGATAACGATGAAAGTTGCCGACGCTGAACTACCGATCCCGATGACGGTGATTAAAGAGCACAATTGGTTAAACATGAACGTAGTTGAAGAGGATAAACTTGAATGGTGTCGACCTGTGAAAGAGGGTGAGATTAAATCAACCACCGAAAGTGCGAGATTTGATTTCTTTGGTAATATAATCATGGATCATGAAAGTAAATCAACCAAGGAAGGACTTCACCATCACGGCGATGAACCAGAAAAAGCGGGCTACTCTTTACCTGAAATTTTCACCTTCATCCAAAGTACTTTTGATTCTCAAAGTATTATCGGCCTTAAGATATTAGCCCGAATCATGGATAAAGCTCATAAAGGATTTTACGATCAATTCTTCAATTCAATATTAGCTCAAGAAATACTTGATAATTCAGAGATCATCTTATCAATTCGTAAATGTTTGGACGAAAGTTCTGAAAGTATAATCAGAGAGGCGATTCTTTGTCTTCACGCCTTAATTTGTAACAATCTTGTCGACGAATCTTGTTTGGACAGATTCTTCCCGGTCACTCTTCACCACAGCGCCTATATTTTCTTGACTCCGAAATTTCCCGATAAAAACATTAATTTTGATGAAATGAAAGACGATCAATTGGTTAAATTAGATGTTATCAAAGGTTTGATTCGATTTGATCTACTTTCCCGACTTCGATTTCTTTTGGATAACAATATCAAACACAAACAAGATGCCACCATAGTTACCAAAATAATGGAAATATTAATACGAATATCGAGACATTCACCCGAAGCCTGTAAATCGATCGTTAATTGTCCTTATCTGATCGAAACAATTGTGACCAATTTTGTACCGAACAAAATTGATTTCGCCAATCAGTCCATCTATGGTAATCCATTTGCAAAAGCATTGAAGTTAATTCGTCTTCTCATCTCGGACACATCGAATTGTATCAAAATAATGAATTCGCATATTGACCTTTGGGAAGCACTTCAGCTTTACTTAACATTGGATCCCGATTGTTTCCGTGAAGAGGTCACTAGTTTAAAACGAATCAACATCTTACAAATCACAATCGAGACTCTTAGGATTTGGTGTATTTTACTTTGCAATCGCGAAATCAAACCAGCCAAAGATTGTTTCAATCAAATTTATCCAGTAATCTACAAACAATTACAATATTGTTGCACATTAACATCAACTAATCATAAATTTGATTTCCAATATGCAGCTACACTAATTAAATGTTTAACTTGGGCCACTTTGGATGGTGAAAATTTCCAACGAGGTTATGGTTCCCTAGTTGAATCAATATTATTTCAATCAGTTCGTGATATAATTGACATTAATATGGTTCCACCTTTTGACTGTCTCATGATGATGACAACTTGTACTGAATTTTTGATTAAGATTAATTGTAATCCAACAACCCTGATAATCAACCTTTTGACACCTTTACTTGAAAGTGATAAAATTATGAAAATAATTGGATCAAGATTGAAAAAGTGTTCCTTCATAATCCGACCTAAATCACTTGAAAATGGAGTCAATAGAGATGCTCAATGTTTACCATCATTTGGAACAATTTATTTTGGTGGAACTGAAATACGATTTGTTGATTTAGCTCAAGATGATTCTGTTGTTTTCTTCATTGAATCTCTATTAGGAGCAGCTGAATACACCAAAAACAATCAAATCATTTCAAAAGTTATTCTTAATCAACATATTGGTGATTATATTGATTCAATTATCTCCAATGGTTTATCACAAGAGGAAAGCATTTTCACCCAAATTGAATTTACGTTAATTTATCAGATTTGCGTCTCTTCATTGAAGATTATGATCAATGAACAGCAATTGTTTTACAATTTATCCTTGATTAGTCTCTACAATTTAAAGGACAATCAAATGAAAGAAAATCTTCTCAACTTGATCATCTTCAATCCAACAATATTAGTAAAGTTAACTAAATCTACTGATGATGTTTCGATAAATTCAATTGATCAAATCAAGTCAATTTACTTTAATTACTCAAACTTTGAGTCAAATTTATGGATTTTGATCCAATTGTCAACAATTTTGGAAACAAAGAGATTCAAAGTGATGATCAAGTTAATCATATCAATGGAACATTACAATTTATTAATTTCATCATGAAGACCAATTACCAACTATTAATATCAATGATTCCTGAACAAACATTATTCTGCTTGATTGCAACAATTTATCTGATTGATGGTCGGAGATTTGCTGAAGATTCAATTTCAAATTATCTTCGTGATTGTCTAATTGTTTTAGACGCTGACAATTTAATCATCACTAATCCACAGCAAGAATTACCTCATGTATCAACAATCTCTCACTTTTATGATTTATTCATGAAACAATTTGAATCAGAATCATTTGGAGATTCAATTTTCATTAATTATCTACTGGTATTCCTTAAATCTGATTCTCATCATGATTTCAAGAAGAAATTATTTTCTGATTACTCGATTTCTCACGATTCCTAACAATTAACTCACCAAATGATCTGATCATCAAACTGGACAATTTACTTTACCCTTACCTGAATGATTTAACAATCGCTGAATTATATTTATCAGCTCTACTTTGTAATCAGATTCCAATGGCTCAAAAAAGCTTGATTTACTTAATTGCTGTTCATCATGTTCATCATATCCTATTCAATCAACAAGTTAATTCATCGTTACAATTAACCTCAAGTGAAGACAAGAAAAGACTCCAACGTTTACAATTATCGATAGCAAAATGTAACAATCAAATTTTATCAAATCATTTAACCAATTTTATGAGAAGTGATTTAATTAACCTTTGTGATTGGGCCAAGTATTGGATTGACTCCTCAACAATTAGTCTTCATCAACAACAACAATTAAAATGAGACATTTATTTTATGTTTTCTTAATTGTTTTCAAAACAAGGTTGTAAAAAATAATTTAATTTAAATTAAGATATCAGAAACAAAGAGATTAAGAAATAAGATTATTACATTGTAAAAGTTAATCACAATTAACAATCTCGGTTTGGATGAATAGGAAAAAAAATCAAATTAACTCAAAATTGGTGAAAATTGAAATTAATTGAATTGATTGAGAGAAAGAAATTAATGAAAGAGGTAAAGAATGAAGGAAGAAAATAAACAATTTAACTGTAACAATTAAAGTTAAATTGCTTCGGTGGGACCCTAAGAAATTAATCTCAATGGGTATTCAAAGATATTAAATTCAATCGCAATTAAAATTGATTGAAAGTCGATGAGGTTTTTTTTTGTTTTCAAATGATGAAGTAGATGGACAATCCAATTGATGTTAATTGTTACTCCATAAAAAAGATGATTAAATGAACGATGTCCATGTGATGTTATTATTGAAAGCTCGCAATCGGTTTAAAGGTGATTATGGTGATTAAATTTAATTGTATTTATTATCAACATTATCCAAGGCTTTCATTACTCTTTCGAGTACATCAGAAGCACCATCAATAATGGCAGCGGTGTTGATCTTAAATGAAGGGAATGATCTGTATTGATAATAAGGTTCACTGATTGTCGAAGAGAAAAAGAAAAAAAAAATTCGAATTACAATTTGAATATTTTTCGACAGAGAAAAAAGTTCTATCAGGTAACTTACCTTCGTCTTCCCTCCCTGAGTAAAAGGCCTAAACCAAGAGCGGGAACCATAAGTGCACCCAAACCGAAAAGTAAAACCATCGGTAAAACATTTCCAATCGCTCCAGGAATCATCGATGAGATTAAACTAACGATTCCGGTCGCTGATCCGGCCTGTCGGTTGGATCCATTTGGATTGGTGGCTGGTGAATTAGCCGATAGAGCGATTGTCATAATTGATGAAACAATTAAAAACATATATTCCTTACGGGCCCACATTTTGTTGACTGTTTGGAAGAAAAAAGTTTTGATTTAATTTCTTTGGAACTTTTTTTTTTTTTTTTGTCAATTTAATCCGATTTTATGAATTAGATTAATAAAAGCACAATGATGAGTATGAAAGAGAGAGAGAAATTTGTAAATCACTTTGATCACAGAGAATTAATAAGATTTAATTTACTCTACCTTGTTGTTTGATTGTTGCTGTTGGAAGAAATGAAATTTAATTGTTGTTGATGTTTTACACTGATTAAGAATGAAACTTATAAAGAGACTTGATCAACTTGGATTCTAAGTTTATATACTGCGACGGGGAGGGAGAAGATAATGAGTACGATGAGGACGGAGAAGATGAAAAAGGGGCTGATGAAGTTTATCAAGTTCCAGGTACAGTTAATAGTTTTGAGAATTTTCTTCTTCTTCTTCTTGTTCTTCTAATATTATATTATAATTCTTATTCTTAATCAACAACAACTCGTCACCAGTGTTTAAGTCAAGTAGATGGGGTCAGTAAAGTCCGATCTCGTTTAGAGAGTGGGGATGAAAGAGAAGATGATGAAGAAGGAGGAGGAGAGAAGATAAAAGGGTCGAGATTTGGGTTGGAATTGGAATCGGAGTTGGAGCTTGGGTTAGGATTGGGAGAGAGAGAGAGAGAGAGAGAGAGAGAAAAGTAACAAGGGTGAAGAGAGAAATGGGAAAAGAGAGAGGGAAACAAAATGATGAAGATGAAGATGAAGATAAGAATGATAATCAATATCAAGAATAACAAAAAATTAGTCTTTCTGCTTGCGGTCCTCAATTTTATCCAAAATTTTTGTATATTTAAAACTGTGACCTAGGATTTAGCATCATTATCTTCATCATCTTCATTTCGGGTCCCCACCCGCACGTTATAACGGTACTAACTGACTAACTAACTAACTAACTAACTTTGCTTGACGTATTTAGTTGATGATGATGATGATAAACCTGAATTGCTTGTTTCATCTTCTTCATCTTCTTCTTCTTATATTAACCTTAACCTTAAGTAATCAACAAGAAGATGATGAAGTTACCTTTTTTTATCGTTGAGACTTTTGGTTGTTGATGTTGATGATGATGGTGAAGAAGAAGAAGAAGAGGAAGAAAAAGAAACACCGTAAACCATTAACCTTCAATTATTATGATTAAAAGTCATCGGCATTTAACTTGCCACTGATCAACCTGATTCTTAATTGTGATTAAAATACGAGTCAAATCTCCCTCAGGCATATCCGTACCCAACATCATACTTGATCAATTTTCCCAAGCCAATCAAACCAAATGTTTCTAAATTGCCAATGATAACTTTTTTGTATAGATAATTATCTTTACTAATTGTTATTCATTAGATAATAGCAACCAGTCTGATTCTAAATCATCCCGATAGTTAAGGTTCAAGTTCAGATAACATGAGAGACAAATGAAGAAAAAAATTAACCAAACAATTAACGAAACAAACGCTCTATTGTTAATAATTGATTAACCAGATCACAATTTAGTGTATTGATTTGGTGTAACTTCAAAAAAAAATCAGCTAACTATTAAAAGAATCAAGATCCGTAACAATAAATTGAACAATTGAGTATCAAAAGGATTGATTTAGTTGATTGAATTTCAGATTTTTTGTTATTGGAAACAAATTGTTACCTTTTCTAATGAAACGTGATTTGTTTTGACAGGTAAACAAAACAATTTAAACCAATTAGATCAAAAATACTGACAATTTATTTATTTTTTATAAGTTAACATAATCTAAATTAGATTGTTCAGATTGCCGATTACAAGTGAAAATCTTGTTTAGATCATTATGAAGATGATAACGGTTCCTGTAATAAAAGCACAAGAAACTAAAGGTACATGTTAATGAGTACGGATATGCCTGAGGGAGATTTGACTCGTATTTTAATCACAATTAAGAATCAGGTTGATCAGTGGCAAGTTAAATGCCGATGACTTTTAATCATAATAATTGAAGGTTAATGGTTTACGGTGTTTCTTTTTCTTCCTCTTCTTCTTCTTCTTCACCATCATCATCAACATCAACAACCAAAAGTCTCAACGATAAAAAAAGGTAACTTCATCATCTTCTTGTTGATTACTTAAGGTTAAGGTTAATATAAGAAGAAGAAGATGAAGAAGATGAAACAAGCAATTCAGGTTTATCATCATCATCATCAACTAAATACGTCAAGCAAAGTTAGTTAGTTAGTTAGTTAGTCAGTTAGTACCGTTATAACGTGCGGGTGGGGACCCGAAATGAAGATGATGAAGATAATGATGCTAAATCCTAGGTCACAGTTTTAAATATACAAAAATTTTGGATAAAATTGAGGACCGCAAGCAGAAAGACTAATTTTTTGTTATTCTTGATATTGATTATCATTCTTATCTTCATCTTCATCTTCATCATTTTGTTTCCCTCTCTCTTTTCCCATTTCTCTCTTCACCCTTGTTACTCTCTCTCTCTCTCTCTCTCTCTCTCTCTCTCTGCCCCAATCCTAACCCAAGCTCCAACTCCGATTCCAATTCCAACCCAAATCTCGACCCTTTTATCTTCTCTCCTCCTCCTTCTTCATCATCTTCTCTTTCATCCCCACTCTCTAAACGAGATCGGACTTTACTGACCCCATCTACTTGACTTAAACACTGGTGACGAGTTGTTGTTGATTAAGAATAAGAATTATAATATAATATTAGAAGAACAAGAAGAAGAAGAAAATTCTCAAAACTATTAACTGTACCTGGAACTTGATAAACTTCATCAGCCCCTTTTTCATCCTCATCTTTTAGCATCTTCATCATCTACAAGCGTTAATTTGATTTCACTAAAATGTGCCAACTTTTTGTTCCTTTTTCCTTCTCATTTCTCTACTTTTCTCAACCTAATTCCTAGTTTTTCAACTGTTATCATCATCTTATTCATTTCGCTTGTTCACCGATAATAAGATAACTTTCAATCAGTCTGTCTGAATCAACTAAACGAAGAGAAAAATTGAATATTCAATTAGAGATGCATGAAAACTGTTAATTCCTGTTTAGCTCTTTGCCTTTCATCATCTTCCTTTCAGACTTCCAATTGATTCCAATTATAAAGATAACACCATTCATCCATCATGGTAATGGTAATGATAGATTAGGTCAGTAAATAAAATTGAATAATTGTGGTTTATTTTGGAAGATAATCCATCCATCTTATTTTTTTTCCTTCTTCTCATTGTCCTTTGTTTCACTTTGAGAATAAATTTATATTTAGATCCATTTTGACCAAATCCATTCGATCACTTTTTCCAACTGACCTTTAGAAATGTAATGTAGTTTCATGAATGTGAGAGAATAAGAAAAACAAACCAAAACTGTTACATTGAAAATTTAGAATAATAGAATTAGAATGGAACTTGTTTGGAAATTAGGTTTACCCATTTGAGACCTTTTGATGAGAAAGTAATCAAACAATAAAGAAAAAGTAATAACTGTTATTCCAATTTAAGAATTAAATTCAAATTCAAAGTGAAAGAGAAATTAAAAGAAGAAAAAATTTTCTTTTCTCTAAAAAGAAAACAAATGAATCATATGTTCGTTCCCATGGTTACCATAGATTTTGAGTTAACATGGAAAAGGTTTTTGTCACTGTTGGAACCACAAAATTTGACCAGTTGATCAATAAACTGTTGGAAAACGAGACAATTAAGGTAAGTGAAGATTAACTGATTAATCAAGATTGTCAATTAATCTCTTTTCTTTTTAATGGTTCGTTTAGCTATTGGAACTTCTTGGTTGCCGGAAATTGGTTATTCAAAAAGGTTTTTCTCCAGGGGAAATATTTTCTTCTTCCATTAAATCAACCGGTATTGTTGTTGAGATCTTTGATTACGCTCCGAGCATAATTAATCACATTAAAGAAGCTGATTTTGTTATCGGCCATTCAGGTGAGGTTAACTAATTTTTTCTCATCAACTCTAATGATGATGATGATGATGATAATTCTTAGGGTTGAAAAAGAGAATTGCTTTTATAATGGTTTGGTCTTTATTTTGGAATTTTTTTTTGTTCTATTCTCTTTTCCTTTTTTTTTCTTTTCTCTTTTAGGAGCTGGTACAGTTCTTGATGTTCTTAGGTGTGGTAAACCTCTTCTTGTTGTGATTAATGATTCGTTGATGGACAATCATCAAACTGAATTAGCTGATAAATTGTCGTCTCAAAATTACCTTAAAAGTTGCACAGTTTCTGATCTATTAACTGCTTTGCAATCATTCAACGTTAACAGTATCAACAAATTTCCTTCTCCTGATTTTGATAAATTTCCTACATTTTTGGATTCCCTTTTTTAGGATTACAGTCAGTTACATTCTTATTAATGGAAATTATTGAAGGTAATTGTTTTAAAGATAATTTTCCTCTTTGGATTAAACTTGTAAATAAGAAAATAACAGTTACAACTGATAATGGTAACGATTATCAAGGTATTGTCAAGACGATTGATCCGCTAACTGGAAGTATAGTTTTGTTACAATTTAATGATGAAGAGCTTTCAAAACCAAGTGATCTTATGATAATCACTGGACATGCTGTTAAAAGATTAACCCTTCAAACTGACCAACAACCACAATCGTCAACAATCAATTTGGATATAATCAAAGAGAATGAAATTGACCAGGATGAACTTAAAGGCCGAAAGATTAAGTTAATTGAATGGTTTGAGAAGAATCGTATTCCAGTTGAAGAGAATGACAATCAAGAATTGGTCGTTGCTAAATCGATAACAATTAAATCACCTTACACTAAAGATGATTGTAATTCCAGTAATGTTATGGTTGTCCGCCGAATTCAAGATCTAATGAGTAGAATGCCAACAACAACTACATGAAACAATTACCACATAATAATGATAATAATAATGATGTAAAAATATGTTTTCCAGTTTAAACACATTTAATACAATAATAAAATAAGAAAATGACACTTGACTAATTTAGAGATTTGGATCACATTATAAATAATATTTAAGGCATTTGGGTGGTTTTGTTGATGATGTTTCTTTTCTGGTTCTTTGTTTCTGGTTAACCTGTTGATTGTAATTAAACGGACGAATGCTTGAAATTATAATAACATTGATGAACAGAGATCAACAAGGTAACAACATAACAACCAGCAGCGATCCAACAATTAACAGCCTAATTAGACAGAAAAAAAGAAAGAGAGACGATCAAGATATTAGTAAGTATGATTACAATTGTGATCAAGATTTCAGATTAGAATCTTTTTGAAGGTGAATAAATATACTTACAGCTGTCTCATATTTCGTTGTGACGGCTGCCCATAGTTCATCGGCGGTCTTTAGGTGAGCTTTTTCCTCCGCTTCAATTTCAAAATCCTCAGCAAAGGCGGTGGAGTGAACGTTCAGAAGCAAACCAAGGATGGGTAACATAATCACACCCCAAACGCTGATCAGCGTACAAAAGAGGGACAACTTTGGACCACAACAAGGCATTCCAACGGTTTAATTGAAAAGCTAAAAAAATAAATGAATAAAAATTAAACTAAACAAAGTAAATAATTAAGGAAAAAAAATAAATTCAATTTAAATGACCAAAGAAATAAACAAAGGTTAAAATATAAATTTCTCAAGGCGAAGATGAAGAGCCACCTGTTGGTGTGGAAAAGAATTTGACTCCATAGTAGAAGTTAAATTCGCCAGATGGCGCTAGTTTTTGGGAGAAAAATTAATCAAATCAAATTAAATTGTTCTTTGGTCAATTAGTTTGCCAACATCTTAATTGGTGTAATTATCGACAATTAAAAGTAAGTTAACAGTTTGATTGAATAATTATACTCTTGTTGAGTTGAGATTCGGTTTGTTTTCGATCAACTGTTTAATGGAAATTTTTTCTTCGATCTCAACGTTTTAATTTAGTTTAAATCAACATTTGTGTCGAATTAATCAAATTAATTGTAACTCTACTAATCACAATTTATGGAATTTGAATTACCCCAGATATTCAATTCTATCATAGGAAGGGTGGTGAAAGTGGTTTACTTTAAATTACTTTTGAAAAAAGAGAAGAGAAAAAGTTTTCTTTTCAAAAGTCAATTCATCTTTAATCGTGGATTGTTTAATCATTGCGATTTATGATTATCTAATCAACATGAATAAATTGTTGTCTCTCTCATTATCAGGTATTAGTCGAGAAAATCTAAATTATCCAAACATCGTTCTAATCAATCGTCAAATTGGCTCAAAATCTTTGCATAGGTAATTCAAATTATAAGGTTTTCGTCGAGAAATTTGTAAACTGATAAATTGTTTGATAGAAAAAGTTAATTATATTCCAAAAACATTAATCACTTGAAAGTGAACCAATTTTCCAAAGTTAAGAATTAACTTATTCATTCAAATTAGTTGAATTCTATCCAATTACAGTTTAATTTTGTTTTCGTTTACTTTTTGACAAATTTTTCCTTCAATTGAAATCAACTGATTTAAAATTAAATTTAGAAACAGAATATTATTCACAATTAACAAATCAACAATTTCCAATCAATAGATTATTACAAATCGTAATAAACATGATACATATTAGTAAAGGTCATCTATTGGTCACTCATGATCATATTAATTTCCAAAAAGGTCATCAGGTGTCAGTCTATTGATCAATTTGAATGAATCACAATTAAGTTTTTTCAACAATTAAACGGTAAATCTAATCAACAAATAGATTTGATTAACACTTGATTATTTCAATTATAATCGTATCGTCTTCTCAAAAGTCAATGATCAGTGATTAAGACAATGTAGATACAAGTTAATCAACAGATCATTCATAACCTTGATTAGTTAATTTAGTTACTATGCAATTGAACTAAATTAACTTGTCTAAAGACAATTTCAAGGTTAAAATGTAGTTTAACTCTCAATACGCAATTAGTTAATTCTTGTTGAATGTTGAGAAGAAAAAAATCTAACACTCAAGACTCGATAATCGATTACAATTAACACCGAACACAATTAAATCTTCAACACCACGAAATGAAATGTCGACACTTTGATTGAAAGTTAATCAAATAACAACTTTAATTAGTGAATTAAATCATGTTACCTGGAGAACAATCAACAACAACAATTTTGTCTTGTTCATCATTCGTTAATCATTTTTACAGAATTCATTATTTCCTGTGGTTCTCGTCACTTTCCGGAGTTTTACCTTATTATGTTGTCTTTGTCCGAACTTACACTTCCGCTTCCGCTTCATGGATTGGAACTTTGTTCAGTCTCTTACCATTTGTCGCCTTTTTCACTAATCCCTTTTTCTGTTCCCTGGCAGATAAATCATCTAATCACCTGAAATACTTGCTAATCTTTATTGGATTAACGTGTACCGGTTATGGTTTATTATTAATCATACCAACAGTTGACAGTCCGCTTGTTTCATGGTCACTTTCAATGGTATTACTGTTGATCGCTTATCCCTCAATGGCAACGGTCACTTCCCTGACCGATTCAATTGTCATGATGATGGTTACATCATCTTCAGGGGATGTTAATCTTGATAGTAAATCGTCAAGATTGACCTTTGGTCAAGTTCGCGTATGGGGAACCATTGGTTACGGATTTTTCGGATTCATCTCTGGACCAATTAACTCAATTAACTTTGATCAATCTTATCTTCAATTGGGTTTTACATGTTCATAATTATTTGTTCCGTTGACTTTTTAATTGTTGCAATTGTTTTAATCATAATTTATAAACGGAAACAAAACTTATCATCAAATTTAAATTGTCCAGACAAGAGTGAAGGTCAACACGATGACCGGATGTTGACAATAACCAATGATAAATTCAAATCACGGAAAAATTATCAACAAGAGATTGTAACACTAGTTAATCATGATAATCAAGTGAATAATTATTGTCATGTTAATCAACTGGTACGTAATCAAATCAACAACGACAACAATTTAACCTCTCAAAAAGGAAACTCAATTTAAGACTATTTTTTATTTACTTTGACAATGATTAGTTGGTCAGTTGATAAAACTAATGACAGACCAACAGGTAAATATAATTAAGATGAACAAGAAGTGATTAAATTAATTGTGACCTTTACTTTTAATTCTGATGAATTAGTTGAGATACACGAAGCTCATTAAATTAACATTAATTAATTAAACTAACACCAAGTCAAAGGTAATTTGATTTAATTGTCAAACACAAAAGTAACCAACAATTTACAAAGTGATTACAAGTTGAGGTTTACAATTACAATTACAATTAAGTGAATGAAAAATTTATCTGTTTAGACAATTAAACATTAACCACACTAATCAATCAAAAATAAGTAAAATTTAAAAACAATTACAATTGTTAATCAAATGAATATCTAATTATTTCAACAGGTAAATGGACAATCAACTAATCATTGGAAAAGTTTTGCAAGTTTATTCATTAATCATCCAACAATCATTCAACATACAATCATATTGATTGGTCAAGGGATCCTCATGTCCTGCCACTGGTCATTTTTTTACTGGTACCTGGAAACAATTAGTGGACCGGACACAATTTTGATGGGGTTAACCTTGTTAATTGGCTGTTTCTGTGGGGAATTAACTTTCTTTTACTTTGGCAATTTAATTGTTGACCAAATTGGACCAAGCAACTCATTTAACATCAGTTTAATTGCTTTTGCAATTCAATATTTCAGTTATGCTTTTCTAATTGTTCCCGGTAATCAATATCTAGTTTGTTTCACTGAAATCCTTCAGGGTCCGACATTTGGACTATTTTATACCGCGATGACCCATATTGGTCAAGAATATGCAGATAAACAGTTGACCAGTGAAACCGATAGATTGAAATCTAATTGTCCGAAAGTGTCCCAATTATCCACCGATGATGAAAATAATAGTATTAAATTTAATGGAGGTCATCAAGATGACCAAGGTAAGATTAAAATTCATTCAACTTTACAAGGTTTTCTATCTGGATGCTTAGAGGGATTAGGATTAGGATTAGGTTCACTTGGGGCTGGACTAATTATTGACCATTATGATGTAAAAACCATGTGGATTTCTGCTGGTTCATTGTCAATCATTTTGTTAACTTTTAATTTATCATTACAATTAATTGATAAACTGTTTACTAAAAGATAAACACAGTTATCATTGATGGTCAGTTAATCTTGATGACCATTGATCATCTCATTCTGATGTTTTCATATAAAATAAAATGGACACTTGATTGTTTTGTTTACTTTTCTCATCTTGATTTTGAAATAATTTCTTCGCAAATGATTTAATCGTAAATTGGATTAATTGACTAGAGATTTGACTCAGGAGAGAGAGAGAGAGAGAGAGAGGAAGATTAAATTAAAGAAAGAGGAAGAGGAAGAGGAAGATTTTTTTTACATAGAGTTTACATTATATCATCGAATGGGGAAAAGAGGAAATTGCAAAGTGTTAATGTTAAAGTACAAAAGAAAAAAACGAAATTCAATTGATGATATTTTGATGATAGTTATTGGTGATTAGGTTGATTGTGTCTCTTAATTGTCACCAACAATTAAGATCAACTTGTTATCGCATCAAGCATAAGCCGCTCTTCCTCCGATAGGTCAAAAACGTTTCTTGTCCTTCGAACTGTATATGAACGGAGAGAGAGAGAGAGAGAGAAAAAAGATTAACAATTAACGAACATGATTAAGAGATTGAGTTATTAATAATAATTAGAATTTATGTTTTCGAGTTAATTTAATTGTAGATGAACCGGATTAAAGTTTTGTATCACAACTGTGAGCACTTATCATGTCACTTTCTTGTGATATTAGCGCCGTTGTTTGTTATTATTTGACCGAAATAACATTTTCTTCAATCTGGATTACAAGTATTTAGATTATCATAATCATGAATCATGATGAATCCTCCTTATCATGTGTAATCATGTTGATATATAACATTTGATAATTAAGGTGAAGAAAAATCAAAAATTGCTCAAGTACAACTCATCAAATTGATTTGATTATCAAAGGGGATTATATTTTGTCAGGAAATCAAATTAATCTGATCAAATATTATCTGATTGTAACGGTATATGATTAGTGGTAATTTAAATCACTGGGACACATTGTCAACATGCACTTAATTCAAGATATAGACCAAAGAAGTATTTAAATTTAAACTAATCAATGTCCTGATTATGTTTTTTTTTGCTTCTTCTCATCCAAAGTGATTGAAAAATCAACAAGTTGTCACAAATTGAGATTGTTGCAAATGATTAAAGTTAATTGCTGTTAATTTGCTTACATGATTTTCTTTCAGCAAAGCGACTTTTCCTCTTTGCCCTTTGGTCAGCTCGAAGAGGTTGAGCCGTCACATTTTTGACCAAACTTTCGAGTATCTCATCATCGGCATCGGCCATTGTACCATTTGATTTACCATTTAAAGTGTTACAATGGTTCTCATAGGTACTGTTTGACCTTTGACGGGTTCGAGCACCAGGAAGTGTACCCCATTTGGATGCTACCTTTGGGTCATTTTCCAGGTCACCATAACCATTGTCCAAAACTTTACGAAGTTTCTGATCAGCTGTTTGCTCTTTTGATTTAAAGTTATCAGTCTAAAGAATTGGGTAAAGGATAGAGAAAGAAAAAAAAAGAAAGAGAAATTATCATTAATTAATTGATTGAGACGATTAAATGATTGATTCAACAGGGAATCCATTGAATCATTTATCTTGATAATGATACAAATCCGAGTGAATGATGTAATACATGAGATTGAGAATTAAGTTAAATCAGTTGATTGTGTAAGTTAAGTAATAACATGTTGAAGATAGAGATCAATTGGTTGATGATGATGATAAGTATTGACCAATCAAACTACTCACACTCATTTACAGCTCAGCATTCATGTTATATCCCCATGATACTTGACATTCATTCATATTCAAGTTTCATGTTATTTTCTTGTTGTTTTCTTTTGCATCTCAAAAAGATGAAGAGAAAAAAAATCAACAGATATCGTGACTATGAAAGTTACGGAAAAACTGAGAGAGAAAAAGAAGATTTAAAAGAAAAAGATGATAATGAAGATGAAGATGATGAGGATGATGATGATGATGTTAAGATGTAAGAGGAGGAAAACGCATCTAATGGATATTCAAGGTTTCAGTTTACTAGATCAAAAGTAAACTAATACTAATCAGGTAAAAGAGATGGTGATGATGATAATGAGGATGATGCAAGATGATGAGGATGATAATCATTAGAAAGAGAGAGAGAAAGACGAAAGTGGAAAATATATTCGTCTGGAATTACCGGTTAACCAGAATTTTGTGATTTTTTCTTCTTCTTTTTTCAACTGACTGTTCTCTTCTTGATAATAAATGACTTTGAAACACGGGAAATTCAATGTATATGCAATAGGAATACTCATTATCCTGATCATTGAATTAAATGAGAAATTCATTTCTGCTTAATTACTTTTTTTTCACTTTAACTATTGATAAATTAAGTTAATTTGTTCAATACGAAAAGTTGAATGAATGAAAAATGTACTTTATTATTTTACGGTTGATAATTTATCCTTTCATCACAATTAACTTTTGATTCGCAATACTATTTATCCTTTATCGCGTTAGCCTTTAATTTAACATTGGTTAATCGTCTCTATTATTATCCAACAATCAGACAGTAATAAAGGTATTGTGTTGAAATCCATGAGAAAAGATTATCATGATAATGGTGTTTACGTGTGTTGTGTATCTATGGATCTCATTGAAACAACTTCAAGTCAATTTTTCAACATGATTCAACTTGATTCTAATTTTTTCTCTTCTTTTCTTTCGGTTTTTTCTTTCTAATATCTTTTTCCATCATCATCTTTATCATCTCTTCCTTATAATCATCATTATCATCATTTCTTTTAAATGAAGAAGCAAAAACTCAGGAGAAATGATTACTGGACATTTCCTCAGGCACACAAACGGTAACAAAAGCTATCAAATCAACGGGAGATTCAAGTGAAAATCCTCTTCTCCTTTTTCTAAAGTATTTCTTTTCATTCATTTTCTATATCATCATCATCATCTTCTTCTTCTTCTTCCATGGCTCATCATCTTCATCGTCTTCTTTTTCCTCTTAAATATCAAATAAATTTGCTATTTGAAAGAGCGAGAGAGTAAAAACCATGAGAAAGAAAGGAAATCAAGGCGGAGAAAATCATATTAACCAAGTTGTTCTAATCAATTCTGAAAGAGATTGAGAGAGAAATGATGATGATGATGATAATTCTTGCTTTAGGCTTTTACATGGTCAATTGGTGATAGAAATAAATTTCAAAGGAAAACTTTGGTTCAATTGGTCACTTTTTTCTTACAGCGGGAATAAGAATGTCAAATGAGCTTTTGACATGAACTTTCAATAGATAATAGATTCATAGTCATGGTAAATTTTCAATATTTACTCTGCTCATCGGTCATCATTAACATGTTATTACTCAAGAAATAAAATTTAAATATTCTCATGTTGACCATTGGTCAGTTTTTCTTTCTGATGAGAAAAAGTTGATTGTATTCTTACCTCTGTAATCATTTTACCGCGGGTTTTGTTTCGCTCCCGGTGGGAAGCTTTTTTCTCAATTTGTTCTTTCACTCTTTCTCGGGTTGTCCGATATTCCAGGGCAAATTCAGAGATAATCTTTAATACTTGGTGTGGTTTAGTGGCTTTGGCGGTTGAAGATGAGAAGCCAAGAAAAATGAGCAATTTCTTAAAACGATTACAAACCCGTCGATGGACAATCTTCAATACCGTTATTCTTTCAGCACAGTCGAGTAAAAATTCGGACATTTTCGTTCTCATCGGTGTTTTATCCTCATGCTTAGCGATCACCTTAAGATAATCCCAAGATATTTTACAATCTGATTCCAATTTCTGTATTGTTTGGGAAGTTTCATCAAAGTCAATCTTATGAGCTCTGGTCACTGCACCAAATTCACTATAAAGGTCAGTCGAGGTGGGAAATTTTTCCATGACAATGTGGCACAAATGATGTAACAGTGAATGCTTATGGACAGTGTCCTTCACCTCGGGCACTTTACAGAGATATTCAATCTGAAAGCCTTTCACTTCAGCTCCATTAAGAAAATTACCAACGGATAAAAGTGTGGCCAAGATAATTCTGATTATTGGTAAAAAGTAACAACCAAAGAAAATGATAAATTAATGATAATCAAACTGATTAACACAAAATTAGGTTAATTGTTTAGAGAAAACAAATTGATTACTGTAGCCCTTTTGTAAACGATTAACAATCAAGAATCTAGATCTATCTAATTAGAAAGTTATTAATGTGTATTTTATTTTATGTAATACAATGTTACTCTTAATTGTTATTAAGCTTTTGGTTTTGTTCATTAAATTGGCTCAATAAATCACAATGATAATGACTGTTAACAGTAGGGCAACAGCAACAATCAATTGATCAATACTAATAATCAACAAGAATAATAAACAAGAAAATAACCTTAGGGGTTAAATTGGGGTAGAGGTCGAATAATAATTATCATGATTAAATTGTTGTTTCTCTTTTTTTACTGGATATAACAATTTAGTGGAACAGAAAAGTTGATTAGGGCAACAATTAAGCTGTAAGAGGTTTTTCTATTGATTTTTCCAATAGTAATCTAAACCTGTCCTGAGAGTTTTAATTCAGTTGCACAAAGAATTAAGTTAATTGTAACTTGTTTTCTATCGCAACTTCTGTTGATAATCAATTTGTTTGTTGTGTGTTGTGTGTATTTGGTAAAGATTTTGATTGTTTAATAATAATAATAATTTTCTATGCAAAAAGATTAAGAGATTAAGATTTAAGAAGGTGTACTAACCTAAAAGTATCACTTTTCTCAATCTCTTCAATGGCTTTCTTTAAATCCATCAACTGCTCAGCAATCTCTTGCTCCATAGCATCATAATCCAGCTTAAATGCCCACAATTTAAGTCGGGCCTCAAGATCACTGATTGAGGCCAAAGTTAACAGAAAATTTTCAGCACTGCCCAAGGGGATATCAGGATTAGCCATTTGAGCTTCCGTGATTTTGGTTTTCTCATCTTCACTTGGCATCATGGTTGTTAATATTTTCTCAATTCCATCTCGGTTCATTATCGTTGAATCCATTTTCATGATTGCTGTTTTAATTGTTCTCGGTGGTGGTAATTTAGTCATTCCAATGTTAATTGCATTTGATCTTTTAGCATCTAGAACAATTAGCTCGTTCTTTTTACCTTCAGTTGTTTTCTCCTTCGAGGCCAATTCTTTTGAACGATTCTCGAAAAGATGTTCTAATGCTTGAGTATCGATTGCGACTAATTTAATATCGTCCCAAATGGTTTTCTTTTTCTTTAATCGACTCAATAACGATTTGTCTTCTTTCACTTCTTTCCAGAATAATTTCACTGTTTTCTTATTCTTATTTAAAGTTCCATTCTTTGAGTTTCCATCGGGTGTGGGTGAGGGAGTATTTTGTTGACGACCATTGACCAGTACAGAATTTAGACCTTTTTGGAAAAGTAAACAAATCGATACGAAATTTGATCAATTCGATAATCAATTGATTGTTTAGAGAATAAATAGAAGAAGAAAAAAAATCAAGGTAAACTAAACGAATCCCGGAAATTGGTTAGTTTATTTACCCTTGACTTGTGGTGATTATTTGAACAATTCAATTAGCTGACTTACCATTTTGACGTAGAAATGATGGATTGGTTAGAGGTGGAGATGGAGGTGATGGACCAGATTGATCGAAAGGTCTTGGTGAAATACCTTTAATTTGATTGTTAATCAACATCATTGAAGGTGGAGGTGGAGGAGGTGGTACACCGCCACATCCTGGATCAACGGGAGGTGGAGGAGGAGGTGGTATCGGTGATGAGCCTTCGTTATTCTGGTTAATCAATAAGAGGAAGGAAAAAAGTTTCGTTAAAAAAAGGATTCATATGAAGAAAGGGAAGAAAATAATAAAATAATTCTATCATTTAATGTCAACAATTAAGAGTTAATTGTAAGGTGAATACTTCAATCAACATCAACAGGTAAATAATGGTCATTAAGATGAAGATGATGAAGATGAGGAGGAAGAGGAAAATTAAAATGAAAAAAGTTCCATCACATTGGATGAGATGAACAATTGATTAAATTTTGTTTCTATTTAATTTTACAATTAAACTAGCCCATTGTAACCAAGGTGGGAATGTTAATTGTTAATTACCTTGTTAACTCATCTTGATTGATATGATCATTTAAATTGTTTATTTAATTTTCCCTTTTGCTCCTATTGCTTTTTCACTCTCGCAATTGAACAAAATTTGTTAATAATGATGATCATTTAAATTGATTGTGGCAAATAATTTAATAACAACAACAATGAGAACACAACAAACTTTTCAAATCAAAGTAACAATTTACAATCAATTGTATTAACCTGATCATCATCCTCATCATTATAATCAATTTTGTTTAACAATAATCGCAACTTTAAATCATCACAATTAATTTTCAATTCACTAACTATTAGATTTCTGACTTTTTTTTCCTGTTTTTTTTGCTAAATTGTTAATGATCAAATTACAGATTAAGTTAAACAATTATCTTTGAAAAACAATATCTATTAATCAAGAAACACAAAAACAAAGCCCAAAGCAATTTACAAGGTAAATTGTAATTTAACAGGTAAACTGATCTGTTTGATTGGAAGGAGATTAAATTGTTCATCTTATTATTATTAAATCCCTCATCTTAATCACAATAATAATAATAATAAATATTAAATAACCAATTGAATGAACAGCAAGAGAGTCACAATCAATAAGGGTAATCAGCTGATCAAGAGTATAATTGATTGAGAGAGAGAGAGAGAGAAATTAAAAGTTAATTGTTTCAATATTTACCTGAAAAAAGTCCATTGTATCAAAATGGGCTTGAAATATATCTTGATCATCGTCCGATTTGAGATCGGTAAAGTCAAGATCATTAATAAATAATGGACGAGATAAAAGTGCATTGGTCAAGTTATCCCAATGAAGATGATCTTGAACTGGTTTAATCCCTTGACCAGTTGAATCTTTGTTTATTCCTGATCCTTTAAGGTTAATTGTATTATTATTATTATTTAAATTATTACTATTAACATTATTATTAACATTATTATTATTGGTTGACCGTTGTCCACCCGCTGGGCTGGGTGATTTTAATATCCTTTCTTGTATATTTTTAACCCCAATTGATGAGCCGAGTATTTTTTCAACGGTAATTGGTAATCCACTTGAATTTGAAATCGGTGACCACAATTTAGGTGATGTTGGTGATTTAACTAAATCATTATTATTATTGTTGTTGATATTATTGTTATTGTTATTGTTGTTGTTGTTGTTAATTGTGTTATTATTGTTGACCAATCCATTAATTGTGTTACCATTTGATGAGGTTACGTTTAGATGATGATCTTTATTATTATCATCAATCTCTGAATTTTTACCATACATCATTGAGAGCATCCATGATTTTTTCTCGTTACTCTAATAAATTTTATCAATTAAACATGAAACAAATAAAGAAATTAGTTAATTACCATATAAATTAGTTTGCTAATTTACTCAAAATGATTAAGAAAATGTACTAATAATAATAATAATTTATTTTCTGTTGATTATCATTTACCAAATGATTTTTGTTTCATTAACAAACCAAAAACCAGATTGACTTGATAATCGTTTCATTTTGGTACTTTTTTTTATTTCTGGTTAACTAATTGCTCAAAACCGGGAAGAGGTTGATTAACATAGTGATTAACATTATTATCTAATCACAACCATTTAATTATCCAGGTAATCAAGGGAAAAAAGTATCAATTTTAAGGATGTTAATTTGGTCAATCAACTTGCACATCCAATTAAATGATAACTTTTTGATTGTCTTTTTTGTTTCAATTGAAAATTGACTAATAAAAGATTAATCCAGAAGATTAACAATCAAACCATATGATTAACAGTTACTAGTTAATTGTTGTTGTTGACTTACCGTTGTATTTAAACCAGAAACTCTGAGATTGGATCCACCATTAGTATAGTTTGGGTCAGTTCCGTTTTCCCAGGAAGTGAATTCTTTGTTTCTTTTGTTAAGTTCATCTTCAATGGTCACTCCACCACCGACTTGACCACCACCGCCAATGGAATTGGGTCTTACTTTGGTTTCAACAATTAATGGTGGAACCAACTTAATTGTCTCAATTAGAGGTGATTTCTCTTCATTACTTCCCAATGAATAGGCGGATGAAGCTCCAGAAGATGAGGTTGACCCATAGGAATCAGCTGATGAACAGGAACATATTGAGGCTCGTTGACCACGTAAATTATAATCTGATTGTGTTTTAATCATACTTGAATTACGAGCATCCCGTTCCCGTCGTCTACGTAGTCCGGGTGTAATATCGTCCGAGGTTAAACTGGTTGTGGTCACTGTTGAACCATTAGGCTGTTTTTCAATGGTTGTGGTTCCGGTTGTCGTTGAATTCATTGAACCATTGGTATTACCTGTTGATTGTTGACCGATTGTTGTAGTTGTTGATCCTCCATTGATCGTTGATAGTCCATTAACCATATGACCAGAGGAGTTTTCCTTTAATCGAGATGCTTTAAATTGTTCCGTTGTTTCAATCACTTTTCGCTGCCATGAAGGTACAACTTCCGATGTAATTTTACACGAAGTTTTCGGCGGTAAATTACCAGTTGAATGTCGTCGACTTTTCCTTCTTTCCTCTTCACTTGTACCCAAATAACCTCTCGATCTACTTCGAGGTATCAAACGACGAGCATCCAAAGGTAACACTTCACCTTCATCTTCACCATCCTCATGACGAAGTACAGCTTCGTATATTTGAAATTGTCTTAAAAGGTCATTATCGATTCCCTGCTTCGAAATATAATATTGAATGGTTCGCTCCATTCCCTGTTCCTCAAGTGAATCCACAATATCATAATAAGTATCTTGATCTGAAATACCCGCGAGTGTCTGATTGACCAGGGTCATTGCGAAAATGAGTAATTCCATGTCCGCACAATTTTTCTCAATCAAAAGATTAATTATATTGTGCCAAGGTTTAGCTCCTAATTAATCAATTAACAAACAAACATTGATAATAACGAGAGAAAACAATTAGTAAATTAGTACAATCTGCACATTTACAATTCGGACAATTGAAATGGTCAACAAAATGTATACACACACACACACACACACAGGTGAATATAAGAGGATCTAAAAAGATAATCATAAAGTCATGATAATCAAATTGAATCTAAATTAATATTATTCTAATCACAGAAAGTAATTAAATGTAAACCCAAGAATCAATCACTCCCATTAAACTTTACATATACAAAAGGTAGTCAATCTAATTACAAGTTAGATTAGTTTAAAATTGATTAATCAGATTTAATCATTAATCAGAAAATTCAACTTACCTCTTTCCGAATCAACAATATTTACAGCTTCCAAAAGGAGGCGACAATTTGAATCTTGATATTCAACAAACACCAAGAGCAATTTGAGCGCAGTTTTCACAACAAGTCGATACTAAATGGAAGAGAAATAAACAACAATTAAGGTGAGTAAATAATGAAAGAGAGAAAAAAAAAGTTCGAATCAACAAAAGAAATAGAAAAATAAACATCTTCCTGTGGAGATTATCTCATAATTTAATCCCGAACAATAATCGTTTACATGGATATACAATCATCGTAATTACGGTTACACAGACAATTTAATATTCGCTTGTTTTTTTTTCACTCATTTGTTTTTCTCTCTGCTTTTCAACCAACAATTAGTTAATTATGGGTTATATGTACACTCGATAAATGTACTACATAGAGATATATATTATATATAAACATCTTATCAACAATTAACGGTTGAATTAACACCGATGGACTGAATCAACCACCAAATAACAACAACATCACCAAAGAGATCGTGTTTATATCATATAAAACCATAGGGAATGGAACCCAAAAGGGAAACCATATTGTTGTTGTAGTATATTAGTTATCATTGAACCATGGAAAAGCTTAATTTTGATTGTAATAATTGTCTAAGGCCTTTGATCATCTTCATCTAATCAAAACGATATTTATTATCGTTGCAATTACAAGGGCAACAATTAGACTTACGATAATAAAACTGGCCTTGAATCAAAGAGCCGTGTTAACGTTCAAAGGCCTTAACTTGTTACCTGTGTTAATTTTATAACATTCAAGTGTAATATCAACACACACATTGATTGTTATCACCATCGATTAGTTAACTAACTATTATGGTTAACAATCAAAGCTCAAGGTATTTAACTTGTTTCTTTACCTAAATTAACAGTGATCATCATGATTGTTTGTATGGTTTTTTGTTGTATTGTAAACAACTGATATTTCATCAACTGATTGTGAATTGCAATTAACCTCATCACTCGCCTTGATTGTTAATTTCCTCAACTATTAATACAACGATATAAGTTCGAGACCATTTAATTACTATGATCACATTTAATTGTGACTTGATTGTTTCTTATCTATCATCTTTTTGCTTTAATCTCTTTGGGAAATCTAATAATCTCTTAGTTAATTGTTTATTATTATCTAACAGGAAAGGTCATCGGATGACCATTAGTGATTAGATATTGAGATTGTTAAGGATTAGATATTGATCTTAAATCACAAATTGTTGTGAAAAAAAACAAGATATTGATTTAGTTTCTATTGCTTAATGATCAACTAATAGTTGATGATAATGATTATATAACGAGTTAAATTGCTGGAAAATTGACAATTAATATGGTTGTTAAAGTTACAGTTAACGATTAATGATTAACAGTAAACAGCAACAACAATAATCTGAAAACAATTTAACAGCAATTAAATTATATCAACAATCAAATTTCATTGTTTTTCTGTTGGTCATTTGAAATGATTAATTTTTCTGATTGAAAACTGATTTAATAATAAAACCTTGACATATTATCCATCCCTTAATCATCATTGTTAAATTTGATTATAGTTAATAACGTTTAATCATGATTGATTTAAATCATATGGTTTCATCAGGTAAACTTCACAGTATGAATCAAGTTAAATCAATTGACACTTAAATTGTTACGCTAATAACAGGGTTCCAGTTACAGTATAATAATAATGATTAGCAACAAATCATCAACTGGATTAACTTTTTTTTTATATTTTATTATTATTGATCATCAAGGGATAAATATTAAATCACTGGGAATGATAAATATATAAAACAATCAAAATTGATCAAATTTGTATTGTACTTTGTATGGGGTTTGAAATGATTAATTTAAATTGTAAAACCTTTTTTAACTCACTGATCACATATTTGATTGTTTGAATTTGTATTATATCATTTGCTCAATCAATTCTTTGGCCAATGATTAGTTACAACAATTAAGATTATCAATAACACATCTTAATGGATTAAATTGTCAAGTCTTGATTGCTATTAACTGGATTTAGGATTAAAGGTGGGGAAAGGGAAACAATTGATTGTGTTGATTGTTTATCAACAATTTAAAGTTTATCGTTAACAATAGTTTAGTTAAAGTAACATCATCATCATCATCATCATATGGACACAACAATTAACTAATTGTTATTGTGGATTAGATTTGATTGTATGATCAATTTTTATTATTATTTAACTTTCTTGATTCCCTGTTGATTTTAATCACTCGTTCACTTGCTCTATGGGAAGTCAAACTAATCAGTTAATCAACTGATCAACTTAATTGTGACCTAAAATTGTGACTTATTTGTTTAACCTTATCATTAGTATCAACAATTAAGATGACCTGGTCAATTAGTGCAAACAATTTAAGTCTCATCATCTATCATTAACTAAACAATCAACAATTGACTTAATCATTTTATATCAATGATAATCTAGTTAATTGTGAATTAACTCAAAAAATATTCATTCCATTAATTGAGTTTTATTATAATGATCGAGATTCGTTGATTTAATCACACAATTAACGATTAATTTTTGGTGGAAAATGTTTTTCTTCAAACAATTAAGGTAAATACCCATGGATACACAATTAACTTTACCACTAATTAAACAACAAATTAATCATCTTCAGAATAATCAATCAAATTAACACTAAATGTAAACTATTAAATCAACAATTTAGTAATTACATTTTTTTGTTGGAAAAAAAAGTTTACCATTTACAATTTAAATCACAATCAGAGTCTTATTATTGATTTAATTTTCACGGTTAATGGTTGATTGTTAAAGGTCAACATTGAATACTAATGGACAATGGTCAACAATTTAGATTGATCATGATCAGTACAATAGTTAACTGGATTAAATTTGATTCTTCCTTGTTTAGTTTAATTCTGCAACTATTACATTAATAGCAATTTAGTTGATTGTCAACAAGAAAAGATAAGAAAAAAAAAGTTCAAGACTGTTAATATAATTAGATTAACAGATTATTAGTTAATCAATCAAATTAATATCAACTAATCAATAATTATTTCCCAATGGATGTGATTAATTAGTTTACTGATTAATCAACAATTTAATGGGAATCAGATTTTAAGATATTCTAGTTTTTTGTTCAACAATTTAATTTAAATTACTATTATCATCTGATTAACTGATTTAACTTATCAGTAATTTAGTAAATTGCTATTTAAGTAAAAAAAAACTAAATTGTTTGATTGATTATCTGACCATTGAATTGAATCATGATTAAGTTAAACACATCGATTAGTATTGATTACTATTTAAATTGTTGAAAATTTCAATCGCTGAATTTTTTTTGTAATTCATAATTATATTTGATTGTGTATTTAACTGTGATTATAAGTGTCAATCAGTTAATCATGATCAAGATTGAGATGATCAATTGTGTGATAATCAGTTAAATTGTTACCCTCAACGTGACATTGATCATGATGTAAACAAAATTAGTTAACTATTACAATTGAAGATTCAGGAATTACAATAACTATTTACAAAATGATTAAGATGATTAACTAAATCACACTGATTGTAATTTAAATGATGGCAAGGATGAACTTTAACAATTTAATATAATCAACAATCAATGGTTTTATCCAATTGTAACTATCAGGGTAATAGTAAGTTATTTATGGTTAAATTTAATTCACTTCTGGAAAGTTAATTGTAAAGGATTTTGACCTTAACCTGTTACCATTGCTGTTAATTAACAAGGTTTATGATTGATGAGTTGATGATGATGATTAACAAATAGAAGACAATTTATAATTAAATAGTAATAATAGTAAAATAGTAATTAGAGAGAAAGTGATTTTAACAATTAACTAATTGTTGTAACAAGAGAAGTGGTGAAAAAAAAAATCAAATCAATCAAAAGCTTTTACTTTTAGTTTATTTTTCTGGTTCTTCGAGACTATCAAAGTAAATTGTTGTGAAAATCAATTGTTAATTGTTAGAAAGCTGAAACCAACGGTAAATTTAATCATCATCACCTTTAATCAGTTGTTGATGATGATCAAGGTGATGAAGATGAAATAATAATAATAAGTTAATCGATTGAATTGTTGATTAGGATGATGATTAGTTTGAAGAAAAAAAGTTGTTTCAAGTTCATTGAATAAATTGTTTCGATTCTTGATTTCAATTAACTCCATCAAAACCATTTCCTTTATTATTATTATCATCATCATCATCCTTCATCATCAAATTTTCTGATTGTTGTTTGTTTGATTGTTAATTGAAAAGTCAATTTAAACATGTCAACAATATAATCAGTTAATCATTTGGCCGCTCAAATTGAATCAACAATTGAGAAGGAAAAAAGTTCACTCATTGCCTTTCAAACTCAATTGCATAGATAATTTTTGATGATCAGTTAATCAGCAACAGGAAGATAAAACCATCATCATCATCATCATCATCATGATAATCACCATTGTAACACAGAATTTCAATCAATCAAATCAAGTTCAAAAAGTAAATTAAATTGTTGACCAGGTATAACAATCGTCAATCAACTAATGATAATAATACAAAAGAGGAAAAGAAAATCCTAAAAAAAGTTAACCCTTAATCCGATGCAAAGTTAATCCTTTTTTAAGGTTCACTGATGATCACCACAAGTTGATTAACTTTATTAACAATACAATTTATCATAATCAAAAGTAAACAATTCTAATAAATCAACAATCAACTGATTGTAAACATTAATATTAAATTGGAAAAAGTTTAGATTCCTCTAATTGTGAGGAGAAAAATTAACTTGATAACCAATAATGATAACTAAAGTTCACAGGTAAAAGGTGAGAAATAAAATTGTATAAAGGTAAATAATAATAACAATTTAGACTCATGAGAAAGTTAAATTAACTAATCAATGGTTAAATGTAAATTAAGTAACAATTTAAGTAAAATGAAATGTATTAGTTTCCATAGGAAAGTTAAAGTGAATCCATTGAAATGAATGGAGTTAAATTAACATTTCTAATCATATTCAAAGTTACAATGAATTACCATCATTTCCAGGTATCATTTAAAAGCTTTAAATCACAATTTAATGATGATGATTCTCACCATCATCATCTTATCTTCCTGCGATCATCTTTTATCCCAAAAGCCCAATGATTATTATGGTTATTGTAAGTGACCATGTTATTGTTATTTAATAGCGCCCTTAAATTGTAATAAGATTAGTAATATCAAACAGGTAACACCCAAGATGATGATGGTCATCATCATCATCATCAACATACCTTCAGAATCATCATGATTATAATAATGTTGATGATATTATAACATAACTAGGATTAGTTTTTTCTCTCTCTCAATATTTTAAAGAGTTTGTTAGAGAAAAACGATAAAAAAAAGATGAAGATGAGGATGGAAATGATGAAAATAACTCAGGTAGACAATGAGATGATGATAAAAGAGGTGGAGATGATGAGGATCCCATAGTGAAAGATAGAGATGATAATCATGATGATGATGAGAAAGAATTATATTATCATAGGTAAAAAAAGTTTTCTTTTCTTATTTCAAATGGTCATTCTTTCAAATAATCAAGGATGTAACCTCCATTTTGATTGTGATTGATATTCAATTTTGTTCTGAAACTTGAAAATAAATCATTAAATTGTCACTTAAATTAATCAATTGTATCAATGATTAACTTGACATTGTCCAAATGTGAGGTCACATTGGGAATTTATCTTCATCATTTTTTCCCCTTCTATTCAATATAAAATTCTATCTTCATCTTCATCCTCATCATCTCTCTCTCTCTTCTCTCTTTCTTTCTTCATTTACCTCACCTCTTGGCTCACCTTTTAACCTGAAAGATGAAGATGAAGAAGCATCTTCAAGTCGCCAAGGGAAACGCCTTTTTCACACCTTACTCCTTGAGCTTTGAAAGGCCCCTTAAGGCATAAACCTTAACTTACCTACACATATACACTACTTAAGATGATCTTAATCATCATCATCATCATGCTTATCTCCAGAGTCTTTTACAATGTAATACAAAACAACAACAAAAAAATGATACACCTCATTTCCCTTTCCTCTAACACAAGGATTCTTGTAGATAATAATAATTACTAACCAGAGATAAAACCTTGTTAAACTTTACCCTCAAGGTTAATGAAGAAAAAAACAGCAATAACAATTTACTAATTGTTATCTAATACCAAACACAGGAAAAGGTAAAATTTATTTTCTAATTCGCATTGAAGAAAATTAAAAATGAAACTTACCTGAGATGAGATTAATGAGTAAAGCCATTGGATTGTCTCATTGTGTTCAATTACACCATTCATACCATCAACATATAACATTACTTGACCTAAAGCTGTTAATTGTAAATATAGACAAAAGAATCAATCAAATTAGTTAATCAATTGAAATTGAGCAACAAAAAAAGTTTGCTAATCAATAATTTACCTCTAAGAATATAATTCTGATAATTTTGATCATTTTCTGAACCAACTTTAATTAGACAAGCTAATCCATCATTTTGTACAAAAGCATGAACCAGATCTTTGTCATCCTGTAGAAAAACAAAACAACAATTAGTAAATTGCAACAATTAAAGTGAGAGAGAAATTAATTTGAGAGGAAATTGAATTTTTGTATAATCAATATCTGAGAAAAGGTTTAATTGCAATTAAACAACAATAACAATAAACTTAAGTAAGACTCTGGGTCACTAAGGGTAAAGATGAGCAACTAAAACTCTTGACCATTAAAGTTATTTGATTGTTTTGCATAATAAACACACTGTATGTTTGGCCTGCATTGATTTATATTTCAAGGTTACTGTTAACTGACCATTAATAAACAGACAAAACCTAAAAATTATTCACATCATCATTATCATCATCATGTTAATCATCATTTTTTTGTTTTCTTATACTGGTAAACAGCTAAGATGCTTTTTTTTCTGGGTTTCTGTTAATCACAGTTAATCGGGCCCTCGATTCATGCCCTAAGGGTTTAATCGTGTAACAACCATTAAATAATAATAATCAAAGTTAAATGTTGATCAAGTTGATCATCCAGCTACATTTATAATCTTCATTTTTGCTTCTTTTTTCCCATTGTTATCATCATGGTAATAATTGGATGCAAAGTTTACTGATGATTCTGAGGTTTTAGATACTATTTTTAGGGGAGAGGGGGAGGTAATGGTCAAGATGAAGATGAGAAAAAAGAATAAAAGTTTGATAGAAAAAAAGAAAACATAGAAAAGTGGATTAAGGTGAAGATGAAGGTGGAGGTGGAAGAGGAAGAGAGAGAGAGAGAGAGAGAGATCATGAGTCAAGGGAGATGGTGAAGGTGATGAGGATGAGGATGGAGATGGAGATGAGAGAGAAAAAGTGATGAGGAAGAGAAAAGTTTTGTTTTTTTCTATTTTAATTTAATTCTTAAATTAACCTGTTTTTCTAGGTTAGGCTTTTGTTAATTTCTTTGTTTAAATCATTTATTGTTAGTTGATTGTGATTAACTGTTTTTTTAACAGTCTCTCTCTCTCTCTCTCTCTCTCTCTCTGTTGAGTGTATATCATTTTAAAACTTGTAAATCAAATTAAATTGGTTAAGGGGTAATTAGTTGATTCTCTTGTAGTTGTGTTTGTTGTTATTTCAGGTTAACACTAATTCTGAGAATAAAAAATTTAGCTAATTAAGGGATTTTGCAATTAACATCATCATCTAATTGACCAACATTGTATTGCGTTTAATCAAGAAATCAAGCAAACGGCAATTGTTGATTGTTGCAAATTCACAAATTCAACGGATTAAATTGTTTACTCTTATTATTATGGTTTTAATTGTTACACTTACCTGGAAAATTTGTTTCAATGTAAATAAAGCTCGTCTTAAATTACTTCCCGATGAATTGAGCAACGTTTCTACAATTAGTTGATTGTTAAGGGTGACCCATTGGTAGGGTAAATTGGAAAGGGAGAAAATTAAGAAAAAAAAAGTAAATTAGATTAAATCATATAATTGAAACAATTTGCATAATACAATCAAATCTTAATCATCTTGCAGGAGAAGATGCAAAAAAAAATTAGATCAACTAAATCAAACTTGTAACTATCACCAATCAACACAATTAAATTACAATTGTCCAGCATGTTTATAATCAAATTGATTGCCTAAAGGAGCAAATTTTAAACAAATTAAATCTAATCATCATAGGTGATCAATACACAATTAGATGAGCAAGAAAAAGCAATTTAATCAAGATGATCAACTGATCATCTAAATAATCATAATCATTATTATTATCTAATTTTAATATCAACGATCATGATGGTGATTAAAAAAGTTGATCACTCAACCTTTAACCTTTATCACAATATCAATATTTAGAGAGTCAATTGCAATTAGCTTACGGGCAATTAGTTAATTAGAAAAAAAAAGTTGCAACTTGAGGTCAAGAAATATAAACACAGAATCCAATTGGACAACGAAACAAAAGTTTATTAGGTAAACCGATTTAGAAATTGGATTTATATTCAAATGGATTACAATTTATATATTTTTCATGGTTACAGGTAATATCTTGTTTACCTGTTGCACCTCTAATATTATGATTAAAAGGTAATATAATAAAAGGTATTATAATTATTACATGTTAACGCTTTGAATTGTTGTAAATAGCCTGAGGGACATTCCGATTGTTGAAAAGTTGATGTTACCTTTCAACACAAAACAACAACAACACATATCATCAGATGAATGAGTTTTTGCCTGATGATGGAAAACAAATGAAATCATCATTTAAAATGATGAGAAATAGAAAAAAAAATAAAAAGATTAACACGGAATCACTTTAGTTGGTCAATTGTTCCTCTCTCTCTGTGTCTTGACCACTAATCAAATCCATGATTAACTATCGATTGTTTTAATTTCCTTTTGTATCATCATTTAGTTTTCTCTCTCTCTCTCTCTCTCTCTCTCTCTCTCTCTCTCTCTCTATTATCATCATCTCATTGGTTTAAGATGAGGATAAAATGAACAACGATTACAAGTGAATTAACATCGTGATTAAAGTCTTAATCGTGATTTATTCCCATTTATTATTATCATTATTTTCATTATTACTTTATTATCATCAAGTTAATTGATCCCAAAATTATTATGATTGTTACTGGTGGTGGCTTGTATTAGGTGCCTGACGATGATGATGATTTCCTCCTTCTCTCAGCATCATCATCATCATCATCATCACCCTCTTAGACTCTCACACAATTTAAACTACACATGGATGAGTTGGAAATGATTTTTGTCTGAATCAACAATTTTAAACACAATCATAATTATTACCAACATCATAATGATGATAAATATTTCCGTATATTATCACAATTGACCATCACAATTAACTAACTAACTAACACCGGATGATGATGATGATGTTAAAGATAATGATGGAGAGTGATTAGTACACACAAAGAGATTAATATCATTTGGATAAAATCTCAAAATAGTAAAGAAAAAAAAAATGAGGAAGAAAAATATGAACGAAAATTTTGATAACATTATCAATTTCAATATTCTCAATGATGATTATCATTATCACAGTCAGTTGATCATCATAATCACCATAATCAACATTACAATCAAAATGCAAATGAATTGATGATGATGATGATTAATATTCAGATAAAAAAAGGGAAAAGAAACTTTTTCCTCTGGTCAAGACGTTTATTATTCAAATCATCATCATCATCAACTGACCGGCGGCCTAATGATGATGATTATCATTGAAAATATGATAACTGTTGATAGAATTACAATTTCAGCCTGAAATTGGCACCAGTTCATTGGCTACTATTAAATGATTTAACCCCATCTAATGATGGACAGTTGATGATCTGTTGATTCAGTTGATTAAGTTACGTGTGAATTGTTAAGTTAAACGCACGAACCCAATCAACGTTGTTTTATTTTTCTAATATCATCATCGTTGATTGTTGTGGCTATTTGATCGTGTGTCTGATTGTATTTACAATCAAAGTACTAAAAAAATGAATTGTTTTCATCATCATCACACTTAAATTATCATCTTAATCATTATTTGTTATTTTCATTTCTTTCCTGTTTCAAAACTTTCAATTGACCTCACACATCAACACAATCAGCATCCTCATCACTTTATTTAAACCATCATCACATCATCAATGAAGATGATGGTTAGTTAATTGTTGCCAAGGAAAAAAAAATAGTTTTAATCATCCAGCGAAAACACAATCAACCAATTTCTAATTGTTGACAATCAGACAAAAAAAAATTACCAATTAAACAGTAAATTTGTCACCAAACAATCAACTGTCTCAATGATTGTAAACAGCTGATTGATGAATGATATTTTTTTTGTTTAATCTACATAATGATTAATGAGGGATATTAATTGTTGTGAGGGCAAAGGTTAGGATCATCTCTAGGATATTGGATTATCCTTGAAATGATCAACTGCAAAAATTGATGATCCATCATCAGTATCATGTTATTAATTGTTCAATAATCAGAATCATTGTTTTCTTATATCATTGTCAAGATTAATCTTCACAGTTATCATCCATTTTCAAGGGATCGCCCTTACGGAAAAAAAGTTCAGCTCATCATCATGTGAATATACAAAGACAGCATGAGACTCATGAAGGTCAACTGATGATGATGGTCAAGATGAAGATGACTTCTTGTGAGGTTCAGTGTTGTTTTCTAGCCTCATATTCAACAATTGTAATCATCTTAATCTTAATCATCGTTTTTGCAAATCCCAAGTCTCTTGATGATTAAGGTTTTTTTTTTCTTGTTCCAAGTAATCAGAAAACAACAAGAAACAAAAAGTTTGAAATTAAGTCACGATTAGTTTTGATTGTTAAACGTTGTAAATCACAATTAACGGCAACAATTAACAATAAAAAAAACGACCAATGGTCAAAGAAAAGAAAAGCAAAAAGTAAGATAACATTTCCGGAAATAGTTTTACAACAATTAGTTGATTACATTTGATTAACTTTACCTGGAATCAATTGTAATCAGTTGAAATTTTAACTGTAACATGTCAACGTTTAATCATATTGTTACACAATCAACTTGATGATCAACATTTTTGTTAATTGTTACAATTTCCATCTATTGTTTTATCAACAAATAAACTGACAATCAATCAGATTAAAAGTTTATTTGTTGTTGTCTCTCAATTTTCAAGTTAATTGTTGAGCTCCTGATGATTAATATGATAATATTGTGATCAGATTATTGATTTGATCACAAGAACAACAATTAAGTTTCGTTAATGGTTAACAGTTTATCTTATAAATAAATCGAAACGATAATCGTTGTAACGAAAAATGAAAAGTTCTAAAGTTCTAACCGCGTGTTCGTTACCGTTTTTCCTTTCAATAGATTTGATATTTTGATTGTTCATCTGGTCCACTCACGATTAACCTGATCAACTTTTGATTATCACAATTAAATCCACCCTCAAATCACAAACAACAAGAGTTTTCAACTTAACTATGATCGCATCTTAATACTTGACACAATTCCCAACAATTTAACAGTAAATTACTTTGTCCAATTGTTGAAAAAATTAATAATCATCTTTGAGACTTTAATGATTAAAATTTTACAATCAAAACTAATCAATGTTAATCTAAAATGATTTAATGAAATAAGCAAAAAAAAACAACCTCAGACACATAAAGAAAATCAAATGAAAATTGATTGAGAATTGATTGTTTCAATTTAGACAATTAAAAGAGAAATAGGAAAAATGAACCAATACCAGGATTTGTGAGTGAATTAAATTAACAACAATCAAATTAAATTGTTGTCATTTGCAAATATACAAAATGGTTAAAAGTTTTTGTTTCAAATACAATTATTATTATGTATTCAGTTAAAGGTTTTAACCTAAATTAAGAGACGATTAACTTTGCAAAAAAAAGGTGAATCTCATTGATTAACTAACTAGGAAGTTAACTTAGTGACCGATTAAACTAAACTGAATGTTAATATATGAATGAAAAAATAGTAATGATATTAGTTTTTTTTTCTGATTCCAAATTCAGGGAATCCGGGATTTCAAGGGAAATCATATTCAAGGAGAACTCAATTTATGCATGATAAATTGTTGAGGCTTGGCTCTCAATCTTTGCAACTGTTTTTCATATCATCATCATCTTACCTGTTCATCTTTACTCATATTTCATCAACCACCCCCTTGGAAACCAGAATCTTTGTTTACCTTTTTTGTTCCAATAAAATGCCTGAGGCAATTTTCTTCAAGACCAACGCCCAAGAAAAAATTGTTCAATAATCAATAGATTGTTCAACGATTTGATCATTTAATAAATCACTTGATGGTTTATTAGATTGATTAACTAATTTGCTCATGAGATTGGTTATCATTTGATTAATTTCCAATATCATCATTTGTTTATCCATTTTTTTTTATTTTTCATGTTTTAATTATTGTTAATTATTATCAAATATCTAAATTGTCATTCAGTGTGTAGTTTTTTGATTGTAAACTAAATCAATTTGAAATGATTGTGCTACGATTTTATTATGTTTACTATTGAGTGAAATTGATACAAATCAAATTTATTGATCAATTAAACTTCAATTGCATCATCGTTATTGTGATTTAGCATTTGAGTTATGCAATAATCAACAATTGATTTAGTAATTGTTGCCATCAGATTGTGCATTTAATCAATGATTAAATCAATATTTGATTTGCAACATTTTTTCAGGGTTAATCTTGATTCTGATTATCAACAATTTAAAGTTAGTTAGGTCAACATATTTAATCAATATCATGTTTCATGTTTAAATCATTTGGGTTTCAAATAACAAACTTTTGATCATACAAGTAGATAATGATTAGTTAATTGTTAAGTAAATTGTGTTCATCAACGACACAACCATTGATTAGATTAGTTAACCAAAGTTTAGGTTAATTGACAATTAACAGAAGAAGTAAAAAAATTAATAATAACTTTTGGCTCAACAACAACAACGGTAACAATTAAATTCAATTGCTGTTGGCCTAAAATACTAGTTTAACTAAATCAAATTATGATTTTGATGGTTAAATAATTAAATTGTTGATCAAAATTTTGTTAATCAAATTGCGTGTTAATCATATCACACAACGGTTTAAGATGAGTTAATTTAGTTAGTGATTTAAATTGTTGGAAAACAATGGAATCTAATTTTAAACAGTTACACTTATCATCAGTTAACACAATTAAAAGTAAAGGTTAATTGTTGATTAAGAAAAATAGATTTCCCTCTGAATTTTTGTTTCTCTTGATTTGATTAACCTAAATTTAGAAAATCTTACCGATTAATCAGTTAATTTAGTTGTTGTTCAATCTTTTAATTGTTGTTCAGTAAACAAAAAAGGTTTGATTTTTTTGTTCACTGCTCTTGATTTAGTTATATTGTTTTTCCTGATTATTGATTCATTTGCAACCTGAGGCAATCATTTCATTTTTGATTGAAACAATCAATAATTAATTACCATCATATCTGATTAACGATGATTTAAATCAATACTTGATTAATCAAAATTTAATTTTTTTCGTTGTTCATCTCTATCGTCAAAGTAATCAAGAGAGGACACAAACAATAATCAAGTTAATTATCATCATTTAAAAGCCTTAAGGTAACAAAAATTGATGATTCTGACTCTCATTATAAATACTTGTAACAATTTAAATTTGTAACAATTAACTAGGTTAACATTGATTGACAATCAAGGGGAAAATCACAAAATTGATCAACAATATTAAACATTTAAGTTGACAAAGATAATTAGATACAATATAATAATCAAGAGAGTTAATTGTTAATTGAGTTAATCAACTTTTTCATTTAGAATAAAAAAATTCTGGTTTTCCAACCCAACCCAATATATTATAAGCAAAGACTCACAACCAGAAAACTAGAATTGAAATGAAACCAGAAACAAAAGTATGGAAACAAATTAAACCAGAAAATTAATTACAAATCAATGATCATAAATACTAAACTAATTAACTGATTACAATTCTAATCACTTTCACTTTAATCAATTCAGCAAAAGTAATAATATATAAGTTAACATTGGAAAGAAAACAAATTGAGAAAAAGTTTTTTTCTCGAAAAACTTTTCTTTCAACTTTCTAATACTACACAAGGAATAATAAAATAAACTATTAACTAATCATTATGATTAACTAATAGTGATCATAATGATTAGTATAACAATTTAAATTTAAAAAGCATTAAAAGTTCATGATTTGAATTAACTATTAATAAATAACCATAAAAATATCAATAAAGTATCAAAGGTTAATAATAGTCAAGAGTAAACAGTGAAATCTATTGATCGTCAACAATTAACGTTGATTATTATGATTATCACCATCATCGTTAAACAATTTTTTTGTTATTAATGAAAGTGATTTAAATAATAATCATCTTGATAATGATACTGATTTTGTTTGCGAGATGAAAAAAATTGGTTGATTGTTAATGATTATAATATATATATATGAAAATAATCAACTGATTATAAACCTTAATCATTTGAAAATCAAGCTCTCTAAAAGATATCATTGATTATGAAGGTTACCAATTGGTTTAATATTAAATTGTATTGGCCTACTAATTGTTTGATAAATACTAATATTATGTTCAGTATATTTAAAACTGAATTAGGTTAATGGTGATTAAGACTAATTTTGGACAATTGTAATTTTCAGAGGTTAATTTAAATTGTTAATTGTCAATAGCACTTACCGATAATTGAGTGGACTCGAACCGATAATCGGATCCTAAGGATAATTGCATTCTTGCGACTGGTTTAATTGTTGTTAAAGAAAAGAGGAGAAATGTTAATATAATTAAGGTAACTATGTTAATTGTTAACAATTTAAGTTACTTACTTGTCTTTGAAACCTTCAAAGTCCTCTGATTGTTCACTAATTGTTAATTCTGGATCAAGGTAAGGTCCATAACAATCAGCTTCGTTGACGGTATCACTGTTTCCTTGGTGTTTGTACAATTGTAATGAACAATCATCGAGCTAAATTGTTTACAATTAAGGGTGAAAAATAAGTAACAATTAGTGATAATCAATAAGTGTATTGTGTCATCATTTTCAATTGTTGATTGTAAATATCTTTGTCAATTTGATTGTCATTGAATAACTAATTTGATTATGGGACAATTTTGTTTAATTGTCATCCGGAAGTTTGGTCAAGGTCAATCTAATTCAAAACCAATCAAACACAATTAGTTAATTGTGATCCATTGATGGTGATGGTGATTAGTATAATGATCATCACCATCACCATCATCATCATCATCATCATCATTGTAATTAAAATTTACAATCTAAACTTTTCAACTTGTTTAAATTGATTTGATTGACTTGATTTGATTTGCTTCTGGGAAAGTTAATCCAGTTCCGGTTAAAATTAAATTGTATATCCTTGATTGTCGAGACTTGATTGTTGAATTAGTAAGAGCAGTTAAAAAAAAGTGATTGTAATTTAATCATCTTAAATACTGATATTATTATGATTAACTAATAATAATAAATACAAATAAGTCATCAGGTAATTTAATCAATTGGAAAATAAAAATTACATTTACAATCAGATGAAGATGAAATTAAAAACTCAATCAGCCATCACAATTAACTTAGATTTAAATATAAATCAATGAGGTGAAAATTTCTACAATCAGTTGAAAATTAATCAACAACAATTAACATTGAACAATATGAATTAAATAGTAAAATAAAGTTCAACTCACACACACCCAACAGAAATTAAATGAATTAATGAATTAACTTTCAATCGATCAGTAAATTGTTATCATTGTAGCAATTATAATAATGATAATATTTAATCATTTGTCCTTCAACTAACAGTTTAACTATGATTAGTTTTGATTGGTGATAATCAAGAAAAAAACTTTTCATCTTAATCAAACTTGAAAATCTTATTTTCGTATATACAAAAAATTGAACAAGTGATAAATTAACCAACAATCAATTTTAATAGTAACAATTAACAAGAAAAGAGAGAGAGACTTAGACACACCTTTACGGTAAAAGGATAAATAATATTAATACAATTGAGAAGAGAAATTAACTAATAACAACAATTAAAGATTCGAGAACAGGTGAGTTGGAGTAATATGGTAAAGTCCTAAACTCGAGAAGCTACAAATGTGAATTGTATGTCAGAAATAATCAGTTAATCATCAAAATTAATCATTCACCTTGAAATGTTGAGATAAATTATCGTTTAATTGTTTATCGTTAATGTACAGAAAAAAACTTCGAAGCTCAAAAGTTACGATAAACAAATCGACGATTCTTTAAGGTTAGATCACTTTTCTGATCTCAACAATTTAAACTTTTTTGTTCCTTTTTGCTAATCCATCTGTTTAATCATCGTACAATCATTTAATCAATGATGATAATTAACTAATTGTAATCATTTTCAATTTTCCTTCTTATTAATAATCAATCAATTATAAAAATCTATTGTAATGTTGCTTTGAAATCAAATTTAGTTTGTCTTTTTGTCATCTTGATTGTTGGTCAGTTAATTGTTGTTGCTATTTGGTGAAAAAAAAACCAAATTAATCAACTAAATTAACTTGAGGCTATTCATAGTTTGTTGATTCATCAAATTGTCTTGTGGGTTAGATTGTCATGTTGATTGTTAAATTTAATTGTCATCTTTTTTTGATGATGATGATGCTCTTGATTGTTAACTTTTTTTTTGAATTATAATTTGTCAACCATTTCAATTTACTATTCATTGTTAACTGTTGGACACTTTGATGGTGTCATGTTAATTGTGATTATTTTAATTAACTTGATGATGATTTAGTGACCATCAGACCTTTAATTTTAATTGTAATTGTTGTGATTAAAGTTGATGATTAAGAAAATTTTTTTGGAGGAAAAAAGTTTTCATATAAAAACTAAACTAATTCAAGTTTGTTAACATTTTTTTTTTCTTGGTATCATTTAAATTGTTGGACTAAAATTATGATTAAGGAAGATGATTTAAATTGTTTACTTAATTCAGATAGACATCACGGTTGTTTGTTGCTGTTAATAATTTGTTAATTGTTTAATTTGGTCAGTGTCTTAAAACTGACCACTCCAAACACTCCGGGTTTTGCTGTACCGTTGTTTTCATTGTTAACTGGAGCAATTGTTTAAATTAATTGTGACAATTTAATGCCACATCTTAACCATGCATTCATTGAAAATCATTTAATCATAATCATCAAAAGTTAATCACAATTAACAATAAATAATAAAGAAAAAAGTTTTTTTTTAAAACAACAACAACAACAAAAAAACCAACACAATAAACTTTGTATTTTCATCATGGTAACAATTTAATATATTGAACAGTTTAATTGTTTCAATCGTGACTTATCAACAATCAACAATTAAGGATTTGTGGTACAGAAAACAACAAATCAAAGTAATCATAAAAACTAATGAGTTAACAATTAAATTATCATTATTATAATTATCATATTATTAATATACAGAAATCACAATTATCAAAATGACATAATCAATATTGATTATCTCATTGATTGTTACAATTAACCATGTTAATCGTATACACTAACAATTAATCAATATTAGGATTAACTAGCAATAATTTAGGCCATTATAATTGTTTTTAATTTTCACACCTTAGTTAGTTAATTGTTGGTAATCAAGATGAATCAAGTTTTTCAATGTTACGTCAGTAATCAACTAATCATAACAATTTAAAACTTTTCAATCAAATCAACATCACATCACAAACCACAAGAAATTAACAATTTGCTTTTTGTTTATATCTCTCATCTATTATTAAATTGTAAATAATAAACACAATCAAATCTAATCACAATTAACCAAAAAAAGTGATATAAGCTCATAAACCTTCAATTGAATCAAATTTAACAGTAAAGTTGATTAAGTTAATTGTTCAAGCCCAGAAAGAAATTGTTTACTTTTTTTTTGAAAATAATAAATTCCAATTGTAACTCTATGAAAAACCTTAATTGTTACAATCAACGGAATATATTAATATATAAGTTTTAATGGTTAAGCTAATCAAAAAATGGTCTCGCCCGAAAATTAAGAAAAACTTTAATAGTTAATCAACAATTAAAAGAGTTGGAAAAGTTGATCAATACAATTGAGCAAATAATCAAAAAGATGTGACAATTAAATTTAATAATAAAATTAGTCTAATGTTAATCCACCTTAATCAAATTGCAATCATCATCAATAATCAAGATCAATGTAAACAATTAATGGTAAGCAAAAAGTTAATTGTTATATTTTAAGAAAGTGAAAACAATTAAGGAAACAATTGACCCTAATAATATATCAACAGCAACAAAAAACTGACCTGGAAACCAAAAAATTAGTGATCAACTTTTAAATTGTTGTTGTTGTGGTCAAGCAATTTAATTGACATAATCATGATTTTCAATCAACGACAGAAAAAAGTAAAAAAAAATTCATTGATAATAAATTATTATCAGCATGATAACTAAAAGGTAAATAAAGATTCAACAATTTGGAGGAAAAAAAAAATTTTCTAAGATTCATATCTTATCCTCATCATTTCCACTTCCGGTCAACACTAGAGGTCAAAGAATAACAAAAAAAAACTCAGAGGGAGGTGATGATGACTCATCTACATAAAGCATCCTCATCCTAAAACAAAATGCATCATCTATGATATTGAAAGTTTGATTTATCAGGAAAACAAAAATAACAAGATAAACAATCAAAACTAATTATGATTAACTAAATGGTTTCCTGTAGTTAATTGTAATCAACTAATGTTTTGGTTATTTTAATCAATTTTCATTGACCATTGGATATAAATATTATTGGCAACTGTTTGTGAAATTAAATATTACAATTTATTGCTTAATTGTTACGGTTAAATTGTTTGATTGGTTGGAAAAATACAATTAGTAAATTGCTTGTGTTGTATAACAACAATTAGTAATCAGTATTTTTTTTTTCATATAAAAGTCCTAAGTAATCAAAATTAAACGGAAATTGCCTCAAGAGGGGCTTTTAATTGCTCCGGTTGATTAGTGATTTAAATTGATGATTAAAGTTAAGGGTAATATGATTAGTTAAATGTTGCAATTAAGTAAGTTGATTAACTTAAAAGTATTAAAAAAAATTTTCGCAATTTTTTTTCTCAACAAATTCAACTCGCAACTGACCAATTAAAACAAGTGCATTGATGCTCAAGATGAAGATGAAGATGAAGATGATGAGTAAAGTAACGGTTTAAATTGATGATTAAATTGAATATGAAAAAACTGTTTCCTCAAGAGTGTGAATTGTTTCCTCATCATCATCATCTTAATCTTAATCATCTTCATCATCAAGCCCACCCGTGAGAGAGATTCAAAGTCTCACCATGTGATATATACAAAATTTCATCATGAATTAATAACTTGAATATATCACCACAAAATTAACCATATAAATTGATATTAGCATCATAAGGATGAAGATAAAGATGATAGCAAGTTCATAATCAGCTGAATATAACTGTCAGGGTGGTTTCAAAATCAAATCATAATAACAATCACCAACAGCAGGAGAAAGTACTTAGAGTATATTTAACCTTAGCAACGAATCTCAATCTGAATCAAACATTTCATCATGTTCCTCTTAATGAATAAGTCTATTGATTAATAGTCAAGATAATTGTATTAGAAAAGTGAGAGAGAGAGAGAGAGAGAGAGAGAGATGAGAAAAAATTGAATTATCATCATGCATCATGGAAATTGACTCAGAACTTTTTGTTTTTCATCTTACTCTTTATCAACCATGTAAAAAATGCACATGAAATTATATTTATAATAATTCAAATTCAAAGACTAATAAAATGATTCCCTGATGAGACAATATCATTATTGTTTTACTACCTTAATTTTCATCAATGTTATCATGACAATCAGAATCAGAATCAGATGATGATGGTGATAATATCATCATGACAAATATCATGGGGATTTTAAAGACAAACTTTGTCTTTTTTTTGAAATATTAACAAAAAAAGTTTTTCCAACCAAATATCCGGCATTATTTTATTATATATTCATTAACAATTTGATTATTATCATGTTTTCATTATCTTAAGAGAGAGAGAGGAAAATATCATGATAATAATTAACATCAATTGATGATAATGTCAAGAGATGTTAATTAGATTCATTGACAAGGAACAAACAAACAAAAAAATAACATGAAACAACGCCCGAAATGAAGATGAGAGAGAAAAGTTGTAATTCTAAATTGGAATCGTAATTATCGTATTAATTATATTCTTTACCTGTTATGTTAATCAATGACAATCAAGACAAAGAGTGTAAAAAATTAAGGTGAACACAACAAAATAAAGGATTCACAAGTTGAGGCTTAGACTAAGTTTAGATTGGATAAGTTAATTGCTGGTCTTTTAACTTGATTGTTGTGGTTAATTGTTGGACAATTATTGATAATAATATGTTACTTACTCTGTGAGGTGCTTGAAGTAATCGATGTACTCCCGCAATTTGATTAATTAACGGTATATTTACATTGAATGAATAGAGAGGAGGTCGAGGTGGTTCAGGGAAATTAGTTGATGCTCGGAATGGGTCAATATCGTTCAGGTACTGAACTCGACAGGTTAAGGTTTGAGTCATACGATCACTTTTATCGTTGAACATAATGATTGGCATGCATTCAGATTAACAACACGTACGATTTAATGATGATTATGATTAAAATTTAATCCAATTCACTTTTAAACTATTAATGATTAACTGATTGTTAAACATACACAGATAGTATTATTATTAATATCCAGCAACAATTGGGTTAACATTGTTTTTCAATTTGTATATATATAAAAAAAATTTGTTTCGTTAATTGTAATCCTTTAAATTAATTCGGGTTTTAATTATATTATTCACAATTCACTTTAAGTTGCTTTGATGATGATTAGGATGATTACAACCTATTGGTGATTAAGAAAAAGAAATGATAAAAACACTAGATGATTAACTAATTGTTGAGATTAGACTAATACAAAGTGGTTGTTAATAGGTAAAGGTAAGTACGTTGTTGTTAATTGTTTTGATTTATTGTCAGTGGGAAAAAATTACAAAGGAGAAGAGAGAAGAGAGAGAGAGAGAGAGAGAGAGAGAGTGGGAGAAGGGGAGGAGGAAGATGAGGGTGGGAAGATAAGGATGATTATTATCATGTTAATGACGATTGATAAAATTTACTAACTCATTGTCATTGGTGATTGCCGGTCAAGCTTGATGACTCGGCTCAACTCAATGTCCATAAGGACAGCACAAGATAATCACAACAATTAACTCTCATTGTGATTAGTTTATTGATGATGAAAAGATGAAGATAAATAGTATATCCCGTTCCGGTGAAAATTCCTTTGATTTTTTTTTTCTTCTCTTTTTTTATCTTCTTCTTAACTTCTAATGTTTTTCTTGTTATAAAACAACAAGAACAGGTTAAGGTTACAAGAGAGTAAGAAGTTGCTCTTAAGACACTTTACTCCAAAGATGATGAAGATGATGACGAAAAAAAAAGATGATTTTTCACAAAGAGAAAGAGAGAAGATGAATTTTCACAATTTTTCTTCTCTTCTTTTTAGTATTTCTAGTATTTGATCCGAAGAAAATTGAAAGAAACGTTCAAAGAGAGAGAAATGACCAATGTCCATTCAAAATTGATGAGAAATCACAAGAAAACTTTTTCAATGCGAACAACAAAAAATGATAAATATTAGAAAGAAAGAGAGAGAGAGATGATAACACTTTTGAGAGAAAAGAAAGAGAACAGAGAGAAGAAGAAAGTAAAGTAAGGTAAAAATGGTATTTGAGAAACACGAGTTTGATGTTAGTGTGTATTGGTTACCTTTTTGTTTGTGTACAGGTAACAAAGTAACAGCAACAGACTCAAAGTTGCTTTCTTACCTTTACTACAACACTGACAGGTTTGACCCTTCAAAACAAGTACCAAGAATTTTGGAAGATAAGAAAGGGAGGAGAGAGAGAGAGAGAGAGGTTGAAGGGGAGGAGGATAAAGGGAGTGAGAGAGAAAGAAAGAGAGAGAATATCTAACCGGACTGGTCAAAGAAAGAGAATGAGTGAGTAAGTGAGAGAGATAGAGAGAGAGAGAGATGATGATGAAAATGATGAACAAGAAACTCGTTTGAAGATACGGCCACTAGGTAACAGGTATGAGAATTTGAAATGATGAATATCAAAAGTAAGATAAAAAGAAAGGTAAAAAAGGGGAGGAAAAACTTTGGTATTAGTTAGATGGAGCTTATACTCACAGAGAGATGATGAGGGGTTAAAGGTGGAAGAGAGAGAGGGAGAGAGAGAGAGAGAGTATGATAAAGATGAAGATGAATGAGAGAGAGAGAGAGGAAGACGAAGATACTTGGATGATAAAGAGAGTGTGAGTGAGCCAGAGGAAAGACAGAGAGAAAGAGTCTTGATTGAAACCTTTTCAAGAGGATGGTGATGATAAGAGAGACAGAGACAGACAATGATGATAATGATGATGATGATGATGATGTTAACTTGATGATAAATCTAATAATTGGATGTATTCAATTGTAATTTGATTAAATTTTTTTTCTTCCAAATTGTATCAACGAAACCTTTTTAACCCTCATCATCATTATCATCATCTGGTCAATATCATTGAAGATGCTTAATTATTTGCTAATTGTTGATCAAATTTGAGGAAATTGATTGTTTCTTTCAAGTTTCCATTCTAATCGTTGATCAGAATTTTTTTCATCTTTTTTTTACTTTCTTTTCTCTCTCTTATTCATCTTTCTCATCATCATCATGATGATTACAAGGTAAATTGTTGATTAACTTCATTTCCGTTAATCTACCAATTCAAGTGCAACAATTTATCTTGATTACTTTAATTTTCCTCAAAATTCCCAACATTTTTTGCAATCAGAATGTTTAATAAGCACAATTAGTTTTGTAAATAAAGTAAATTGTAATTAACAAGATGATCTGAAAATTGATTGTGATCAATTAGCAAACACAATTTGTTTCAATTTAAAAGCGTTGATTTTGTTTATTTTTCAATAAAAATTTGAAACTTTTCTCATAATATTATTGACATGATTAACTGATTTGATTAACGTTGATTAGTTGGCAAATAATCATCCACCATCAAGATGATTATCATTTATAGTAAATTAATGTATTAAATTGTTTACATTGTCAATGTTCAAAAATAACAACAATTAACATCGTACAATTAAGTTAAATATTTGACAAACGAAAACAGAAATGGTTACAGTTAATTGTGATAATTGAAAATCAAATTATTGTGAAAACAAATAATTTAATCAATTTCCCATCTAATTGTTTACAATTAACAATAAGAATCTAATTGATTAATTGAGTGCAAGTGATTTAAATCTAATTAGATTATAAGAAGATTCAATTTCCATTGGTAATCATGTGAGTCGATTTTCTGGTTAATTAGAAAGTTAATTAAAACCATTGATTGTGATTAATTGTCAAGGAGTTAAGATGTAGGTTAATTGTTAAAGAGAGGATGATGAAGATGATGAGGATGATCGGTGGGTGGAGGAAGATGACGAAGAAAAAAATTCGAAAGAAACTTTATTCTTTTCTCCATAGGATAATAAGGCAGATGTCGAATTTTTTTCTTCTTATAAAGTAAGAGAAAAAGAAAGAGACAAAGATGATAAAGATGATAAAGATGATGATGATGATGATGATGCAGATGATGATGATAAAAGATGCAGATGATCAGGTAAACAAGATGATTTGTTTATGGGAATCAAAAGTAACCATATTTACCTGTTCTCGAGGGTCAGAGACATTTGATTATATTTTTACACTTTAATTTTAATTTGACAATTTATTTGATTGTAACTTTCAATCAATAATCAAATTTGATTGTGATTGAAATCACTTTCTCTTAACAATAATAATGTAATAATAATGAACAATTATCATTAAGTATTCATGGAATCAAATCTCATGCTAATAATAAACTGACAATCAATTTGTTTTGATAATTTTGTTGATATGAAAAAATAAAATAAAATAAAATCATTATTTCTGATAATCAACAATAACAATCAAGGTAATATTATTAACTATATGTATGCTATTTTTTGTATATAACTAATTTAATCATCAACAAATTTCAATTGAACAATTTGATTATTGTGTCCTGATGTTGATCATGATTAAACATTGTAACTAATTCAGTTCCAAGTTGGCTTAATCTCTCACAATTTGTTGCCAATTTTGTTGATCATTTGTTACTATTGATTTGATTGTGTTATTCACAATCAACCAAGCAAAATATAAATTCACTATTTGCTTCACCAATTAATTAAGAAGCTTCATCAGGTAAAATTGTTGATCATTCCTTAAATTCAGAGTAACTATCAGAAAAAAAGAAGAAAAAATCAAAGCTACGGTCTCTTTACTTTCTCTTTCTTTTCATCATCCTCATCATCTTCATCATCTTCATCATCACCATTGAATTTACCTTGATTCTAATCAACAGAATCATTGGAACGTAAAAAAAACTCAAAGACTTCAATCTAACATCAATACAATTCATCATAGATTTAAACTCCTTTTCATCATCACAACTATCATCCTACTCTTATCCCTTATCATCTTCATCATGATCATCTTTGAAAAAAAAACTCTCTCTTTCTATAATAAATGATCATCATCATCTCTCCATCTACCTGAGTCTAGTATCATCATCTTTTCACAGGTAACACACAACATCAAATCTAAATGATGTTAAAAAAAGGTTAGTCGGTAATAATAAGAGAGTATGAGATAATCATATCATCATTACAATCGTAATCAAATCAATTCATGAATACAATTAAGACACTAATTGTCATGGTGATGTTAATTATCATCATAATCAGTCACCCATAGACCCAAAAAAATTACACTTTAACCAGAACTGAATGAAAAAAATCAAAATCAAAACCAATGGAAGAACAAAATTGGATCTCTGTCAATGTGATAACAAGAATACAATTAAATTGATAACTTGCATGATGATCAACAAATAATTTACAATCAAAAGATAGCAATTAATTTGATCCAGAATAGAAACTATTTCATCATCATCTTAATAATTATCATCCTTTTCTCTTATATAATGATAACTTTCTCATCCTCATCCTCTTGACCCTCTCTCTCTCTCTCTCTTTTCCCTTTAGCTTTTTGTCCCAATTGTAAAGGTAAGAAATTAAATGTTCAAGGAAACTTAAAATCTCCCAATGATGATAATGACGATAATGATGATGAAGATAAAGATGATGTAAAAAGGGAGGATGATGATGAAAAGGTAACCCTGAAAACGAAATAACCTTTTCACAGTCTAAAGGTTTTACCTGAATGTTCACAAAAATAAGTTAATAGAAGAGAAGAAAAAAACTTTTTTTTTTCTTCTAAAGTTTTATCAACCGTTGAGCTTAAGCCAAAGGGATGAAGATGAAGATGCGGTGGAGAGTTTGTGGGTGGGGATGAGGATGAAGATGATGAAGAAGATGAAGCCAGACAAAACCATATAACCACATAACCGTGTAACCCACCAATCTTCATTTTCGAATTTACTTTTTTCTCTTCTCTTCTCTTTCTTTTTTTTGTCTTCTTCTCATTTTCTCTTCAACCAGAGTGAAAGTTTGACTGACCCAATATCGTATTGTTCATAATTCATATACCCTGAAATGCGTGAAGGCAAAATCAACTTGGTTTACTCTTAATTGTAATCAATTTGAGAGAAACATTTTGATTGTCAAAGAAAATTAAATTGTTACTGTTCACCTATGTAGTGAAAGTTTAATTGTTCATTTGATTGTTGATCGCAAATCCGGAAATTAATTCATTCTAATTTATTCATATTCAACAATTTACAATGTAAAGGTTTCAATTAAATCCTTTTATCAGTCAATTACAATTTGATTGTTGTTGATTACAATTATTGTAACATCAATTGTTACAATTGTTTTTTATTCACCCAATAATCATGATTTATATATTGAATGCTATTAATCAATTGTAACTTTTTGATTGCTTACAATCAACAAATCATTGTTAATTGTTGTTGTTGTTGTTATTGATTTGGAATCAAAGTTAAATGTTATCATGAAAAAAACCAGGAATCAGAATTAAGATTCATGGTAATCATGTAATTTGAATAATCTATTAATTTGGTGTTAATTGTGTTGTTAATTGTTTATTGGCTTTTGTTGTTAGTAGTCCAGTTGATTAGTTAATTGTTAATTAGCATAAATTTGTTGTTAAAAAGAGATGCCAACAATTAACCTAAATTTTATTACCAAAGTTTTATCATTGGTTTTCAACATTTTCTTATATTATAATAAATTGTTACAATAATTTAAATTAAAAGTTGATTAATTGAAGTGGTAACTAAATTAATTGTGATTCAGTTGAGGGTTAAATCAAATGTTGCCCTAAATTTTGTTGATCATTAAATTTGGTTACAACATTGGAATACAGAGTTATAACAATTAACCCTTTTTCGAGATGTTTGTTTCCAACAATTAAGACTCGTTGATTGTTATTAAATTATTAGTAACATTTATATGTAACTATGTGGCCTCACCTGTAGTTGAGTTGATTGTTTCACCAAAAAAAAGTGATTAAATTATCAAGTTAATTATAATTATCATCAAGATGATTAACATCACATTGATGAGAGATTTAATTTAATCAAGATCAGGTCAATATATTTGTGATTATTATGATTAAGGCCTTTTAACGTGAGTGGAAATTTTAATTTAATTAACATGCCGATCAGTTGATAAAATGTTGATTGTAGTTAGTTAATTGTTATCAAATATAGTCATTAACTATTAATAATTCAATCTAATTGTTTAATTTTGATAATCAACATGATCCTTTCAAAATATTGTTAATTCCATTGGTTAATCTTGTTGCTTTTACTTTATCACAATTAACGTTGTGAAACTAATCAATTGGCTCTTCCGGTAACAATTAACATTTTCAAGGTTAATCTAAATCATCACCATTTCCTTTTCCACCAAATTTTAATTGCAGTTAATTTTTAATTTAGTTTCAATTTCACTTTTTTTTTGCTGCAAAAAAATTAGTCAACCAGTAAATCTGATAAATTGTCACCAATTAAACGTTTGATTAGATTGATAATCAAGGTAAATTATCAATTTAGTTTAGTCACCTTGTCCAGTAATTTGTTAATGATGAACAATTAGTTTTTAATTGTCAGTGATTTGAAAAACAAAAATACAAATGAGGAAATTATTGTCACGATAACAATCAAGCAATTAAAGTTAATTGTCAACCATTTGATGTTCAATTTTTCAAGTTTATTAATCTAAACTAAATTAATAAAATAAAAACATTAACATTAATTGTTTTTCACTTTGATTGTTAATCATTTCAACTAATTGCATTCTTTAATATTAGCAGTTTAACATTATCATTCTTGTTTAATCAATGACAATTAAGTAATATTTAAGGTAACAAATAACAACAATTAAACATTGAAAGACAAGTTAAATTGCTGATGATGGTGAATGTAAACAAATGATAACCTTGAACAATTAACAGTAACAATTAACACCAAACAACAACAATAACATTGTCTGAGTCTAAATGTCAACTAATTGTATTTACCTGAACTGAGTAAACCAAGAAACAAAAAGTTGAAAGTAAATAATTAACTTAATTATTATCACAAATCATGATGATAATCAACAGTAAGCACATTAACTAATAACTGATGACATCAATAAACACCTTAATCAATGGTAATAATATAAAATTAATCACCTTTCAATCAAGTAAATCAATTGAATCCACTTAAAATTGTATAACTATAAACATACACAATGTGAACAACAATCAAGTTAAAAGTCAACTTCAAGGTAAATCAATTAGATTAGATTAGTTAATCAACAAATTACTCTTCATTAGGAAAAGCTCAATCAAACTGAATTAAGTTAATAACCAGTAATCAGTTAAATTAAGGCGAAAAAGAAGAAAAAAAAATGTTCAAAGTAAATATTTCATCAGAATTTAAAACCAATCCTGAAAATTTTTCTTCTCCATCACAACTTAATTTATCTTAATCATCTTCATCTTCATCATAAACAAATGAACAGGAAATCATCAATTCAAAGGTAAAGGTGTGGTCATTTAGTAATCATGGTTATCCTGACCAAGTCACCAGAATCCAGAATCCAGAATCCAGACAATCAAGGTAAAAATGATGATAATCATCAACATGAAATCGTAACTAAAAATTTAAGTTAATTGGTTAATAAGTAATCAATTGATCAATAAACTGTCAACAATTAGTTATGTGTGTATTCAAATTAGTCTGTCAATAAATAAAAATTGTGATACACATTAAAAACAGCAAATGTTGTTGATTTAGTTACGGTGATCATTTGTATTTAAGGCCTAAGGGGATAACTGAATCAATCTAAATAATTGTTGACCATCAACATGATAATCATCATCATCATCACCATCATGATGAAATTATTGAAAGTTGATTATTTAACATGCAAAACGAAAAAGTGAAATCATTAATTGCAATCCTTTCGAGTGTAATCATTTAATTGTCTATCCCAATGACGTTAATTGTTGACACGAAAACGAATCCAGATCCTTTTTCAACTAGATTAAGAATTAAATATATTGATATATATAAATAAATTGTTAGAATTAAATTAAATGATTAGAATGATGATATTACCTTGAACAATTAACTTCCTGGTAACAACAATTTATCCGTAATTTTCTTGCTTCTCCTTTGATTAAATTGTTGTTGTTTAAATCGTGATTACATTTGATTTTTTCAAACAGAATCAAATGTAATCATTAAGTATTAATATAATAATCACCAAAAAAAACGTATTAATGATTAACTTTAGTTAAATTATTGTATATCTAAGAGTAATTGATCAACTGGTTGTACTTTTTTTTTCGTGTTAAGTATAACATTAATCTGAACAGAATCTTTAAATTATCAAAGCTTAAATTAAGTTAATTACTATAGGTAGACATCATATCCACTAAGGTGTACACTAAAATATAATTATTGTGATAACGTGATTTATAATTGTTATTAAATATATTATATCAGATGATTGAAGTTTTCTCTATCAAATCAAAGCACTGAATTATTATCTAATTGTTGTTGAAAGTATGATGATATGTTAATCAATACGATTTTACTTGACAAAAGAAACTCTTTTGATTATCAAGGAAATATAGTAATTAACACTATCCTTTACATAACATTAATAGTGAGTTAATGTGTTAGTTTGGATTGATTGTTTTCTTTTGCCACAATTAACAGGTAACAACAACAACAACAACAATCATGAGAAAGTTGTTGATTTAAGGTGATGAACATTTCAAATTGGTTGATACATTATTGCAATTGTAATCACAATATTGTTTTTAAACCATCAACATGATGATGATCATCAGTTTTTCACGATCAACAGCAATTATATATAAGAAATGGAAGAGGGAAAATGAAGGAACCAAAAAGGATTTTTGTTGTTGTTTATACACCAGGAAATTAGATTTACACCAATTAAAACCAATTCTGCTTATTTTTCTTCAATAATCTGGTTAATCCAATAAAATGTATGTTCTCAAGAAAATAGATAAATAAACCAAATCTCTAAACCGTTTTTCTCATGGTAAACACAATAAGTGAACGTAATTACAATTCAATGTAATAATTACATTTACACCTTTTCAATGGGCGTTTTCACAGCTTCTGTCTAAATAACAATACAAGAAAAGAGAGAAGAATAAACATCAAACAAAAAAAAAGAACAACAATAATTAAAGAACATTAATTAATATGTAAATTGTAAACAATTAACATCTACATTCACTTAAGATTATGGTTAAGCCTTAATCCTTTTTTTCCTATAAACAAAAAAAACAAAAATGTCTCCTTTGTTTTCATTTATGTTACTTACATTTTCAATTCATTAAAACACAAAATAAACACTTGAAACTAATCAAGTGAAATAATTTATTAATCTAATGATTATTATATGTATTGGAATCACTGTAATAACATTAAAGAATAATAATTAAAAACAATTAACCAAACAAAAAGTAATTACGTAAAGAGAGAGAGAGAGAAAGTAATTAACACTTGATTCTTATGAAAGAGAAATAATTTTATGCTTTTTATGCTTTTTCTTTTAGCGGGAAACCTTAGAAAAGACAAAATCTGGTCAATCAGCTGAGGAGAAGAGAAAAAAAAATTATTGGGTTAACATTGATTTCCCTTTGAAATTAGAATTAAGGTTAATTGTTTTTCTTTTTTTTTCTTTTGATTCTTCACCCAACAATTTAATTGATCAATTATCGATCAACCTAATCAAATATTCATTCGTTAATTATTCGGTGATTCATTTTTGTTTTGTTTTCTTTTTCTTCTTTTGTTTGATTTCATCTTCTTCATATGTAACAATCATCAAAATTTTCGCTTCTCTATTAATTCAATTGCTTCTGATTATTTATTCCTTGGTGGTTAAAATCAATTAATTATTCTAAAGGTAAGTTGTACCTTCATGTTGTCCCTTGATTACTAGTAGTAATCAGTGGAAATCAATTCAATTGATTGTGATTAATTGTGATTGTTGTTAAGGCTTTTCTATAATCCTTTTTGTTTATTGGTTTGTCACATTCATCATGTATGTAATTTGTTTTACTCTCATTAATACAATAGTAATTATCGTTAATCATTAATATAATATGAATATATTTATACTATGTATTAATAATTGTTTTCTTTTTCTTTATTAATAGTTAATGGATAACCAGTTTGATCGGTTAATTGACATGAATTTGTTTGTTTTTCATTTTCAAGGGCAACACATCAGTTAACTCTCTCCACCATTTTCGTATACATTGAGGATCATAACATCATCTCCATCTTGTTTACCATCACCAACCAGAATCAACAAGCATCATAACATTTAAAATTTAATGTCACCAAGAAGATGGAACAACTGAACAAATTAGCTAATTTAATGATGACTATTAACATCATTGAATTGATTAAGAAAATATGAAGAGAAAGTGATTTAAAGGTTGTTGACATTATATTACAATTACCTTTTGATTATTATCTTTACCATTATCATCATTGGAACTTGAATTTTTTTCTTCTTCTTTCTCAATAACTGATCATAATGATATATGTTCACAACTTGATTTAGGTGATACTTGATTATATTAATCATAATCATTATCATTCTCATTCTAATGACTTGTTGATTTGTTTACATTTCATTTTTCTTCCTTCTATATATGTACAGTTATCATTCAATTTGATTTTCTTTTTCTGCTTAAAGGTTCTGATTATTGTCATTGAACACTCATCATTATAATGATCATGTTAATTTTCATGTAATCAGTTTCTATCTTTTATTAACCCATCATGTAAATCAATTTTATAATCATCATCAGCATCAAGACACTATTAGTTTATTGTATATGAACAATATGCTGATAATGATGATGATGATTACTACTTATTAATATAATCATCTTTCATTGATGATTAGGTTGATATCATTTCGTGTCGTCGTTTTTTTATTTGTTGATATTATTCAATTGACTTTTTTTTTATTTCTCTTATATTATTTGAATAACAATTAACTTAATCATAGTCAACTAATATATTCATCTTCTATTAATATAATTTACATTTACAACAAGAAAATAATACAAGGAAGATTAAGAAATAGATGATGAAAAGAAATAGCATCCTGATGATGATGATGATCATCATCATCGTCAGGATTATCAGGAAGTTGTTAAGGATAAAGATGACAAAAGGATGATGACAATTTGTATTATGATATTTGAATATATCACAATTATCCTTGGCTAATTCCAGAATCAATTGAATCAAATTTGAACGAATCTAATCCCAAGGTGATTCAATCAAATTTGATTCTTTCCATCTTGAAATTGATCAATTAAATTGTAATTATTGTTGTTCAACTAATCCTTAGATTAATTAGATTAACACTAATCTGGGTCGAAGATGAAAAAAGAGAAAGTAACAAAGAAGATAAATTTTAATGATGAAAGATTAAACTGATAATAGATATAATTGAAAATAGATTTTAAATGTTAGATTGATTATCAGAATTATGAAAAGAAATTGAGATTAATCGTTAATCAACAATTTCCATCTTAATCCATATACACACTTTTACTTATCTGTAAACAATTAAATTCTTTGTGAGAATTAACAATCAACAATCTAATATAATATTTTCTCAATTAGATTTTGATCAAAGTTCCAAAAATATTTTCACAAAGACAATCAACCAAACCAATTTAATCAACAATTCTAATCATGATGTTAATCTTAATCTTCATAATCAGTGGAAATTATAACAACAACAATCAGTTGAACTTTGTTACAGTTTTTGTTAATTCTTTCAACGATTAATATGATTTCCTTATTATTTAAAAGTGATAACAATAATCAACTAATTGTAAGAGTGATGATGATGATTATCTGGATGATTAAAAGTTGGGAGGATGAGATTAATAATGTTACTGGATTAAGATTAGGTTCTTAATGGTAAATGATGATCAGTATTAGATTATGTTAGTTAAGGTGTTAAAATTTAACTATTAATCATGTTAATCAAGAGGAAGGGTTTTTAATCACAACAAATCAGCAAAAAATAATTACCATATAATCAATTTGCTAATCATAATTGTTGTTTCATTTTTGTTTATAGCATCACAATCCTAATCATTTTCATCATCTAACAATACAACAATTAAGGTGATGCTACTTTTAAATTGACTTACAATCAGTAACAATTAAGGAAAACACAAGATTGGAAAAGTTTCTTACACAATTGAGATCTAGATTTTGATTGTTATTCAAATCAAATTAATTTACCCTGAAGAGTGAAAAATTTACCTGAAATAATTGAGGTAAAATCAATTTCCAAATGAAATTGTTCAGTATTGATTATCTCAAGGTGATTAATCAAAACTAAATTGTCTCCAAACAATTAGTGATCATGATTACAACAATTGATTTCATCTTGTTTATCATTTTGTGTGTTATATAAACGTGAACAATTAAACACAATTTGTGATAAACACAATCAAATGAAGATGATGATTGTTAACAATTAGCCTAAATATCAAAGAAAATATCTCTCTTTCTCTCTCTCTCTCCCTTTGATGGTTAATTGTTTGGCATCACAATTAAAGTTAAATTTGTTATTATGTAGTATTTCATGTGTCAATAGTAACACAACAATCAGGTAAGAAAAACAAATTGTTCATGATTGTGTTTACATGATTAATTCAGTTCGAGAAATTATTGAAGGTGAAGTTTGTTAATAATGTTAAATTACTTAGAGGGTTTTTCATCATCATAATCATTATTACAAAGTGATGATGATAAGGATGAGGATGATAGGTGATGATGATAATTTAGCCCCAATTAATGTAACTGTTACCTGGGCCATGGGGTCAACATTGAGCTTCAATGATGATAATTTCAGGTTTTCATTTCATGATTTGATTATCATGATGATGATGAGCATCAGCATCATCATTGTATTTAAAAGGGTTGATGATGATCAGTGATCACCAATAATCAGTGACCTTGCCCTTAATCATCGTGTTGATTGTTGTTGTTTATTTAACTATCAATTATACAATCAACATTTGGAACACAATTTTTAACAACAATTTGTTGTTGATCGGGTTAACAATTTAATAATAATAATGGCAAACCCCAGTTGATTGTTACTTGATTGTTGCTGTTTGTTATATGATGGTGATGTTTCCCTGATTGTTTAAATCATAATTATCATTAATATGATTATGATTTGGTGAGAGAAAAATCAAATTAAAATGAAATCATGTTCATTTAACTCTTACTGTATTTTATTAGTTAATTAACTAATTATTGACACGAAATTATTTTGTCAGATCATCTTTATGATTCAGATAAAATTAAGTTGATTGTTTGAGAAACGGAGCAATCAACCAGGTAAAAGTTTACTTATGATAACAATTTGTTAATTGTTCTGATTATGATAATTTACAATCAATAACTTTTCTTATTACCCAATTTGCTTGTCAGTTTCCCTTGATTTAACTTTTTTTTTGCTACTCAAATTAATTGTGATTAACCTTTAACTCTAATTAATCAACATGATTTATCTGAATCTAAATTAATTGGTGACAATCAACTCAAGAATTGTATTGTAAATATTAATAAACATTCACACAAAATTAACAACATTTAATTGTAATAATACAATTGTGATTTAATGTTGACTGTGAATTGATTGTTGATTACAATTAACCTGCAATCAAATTGCCAAAATTTTTGATGTGAAAATATTACTGATTGTAATTACAATTAAAATTACCACTTGCGATCTTGATTGTTGACTTAATTTGATTGTCAGTAACAATTTTCTGATGGTTACATTATATTTTCAGGTAAAAAAAAAACTTTCCAATGTTCAGTCAACCCTTTAGGAAAAAAAATTTATATCAAACATTTCCCATTGTTACTTAACTCACTGACCAATGGTCATTACATCGTCATATCATCATCATCATCATCCTGGTCATCCCATCTTCATGGTCAGTTTTTTTTTCTTCCTAATATTTTTCATTTCACAGAATCAAATATATATCAAAGTAACATGAAATTATCATCAACTCTGAATGAATGAATTGAATTGTAGGCTTTGCATGAGACTCAGTTTTTGATGTCCATCATATTTCAACAACAGTCCACTCATAAATGTCATCATCCGGAAGATAATTATCATCATCTACCTTTCATCATAATCATAACCATACCTGCCAATTAGTATTATCAACTTTCCATGAAAAAATTTCCGGTTTCCTAGCAACCGATGCTTAAGATTGAGAAGAGAAAAAAAATTCTGCAAATGAAGAAAAAAAATTTTGATTCTTCATTTTTTCCTATTCTATTAAAATCTCATTGATTCTGATTCTGAGATTATCATGAACACCCAAAGGATTCATCTTGGGATTATCTCTTCCCATTGTTGATGACAGTCAATCTCTAATCACAATCAACTTTTCATTAACTATCAATGAACTTTGTAAACCTCGAAGGTCAAATGGTGAAAAAAACTGATTCTTTTGAATTGACCAACAACAATCAACGTTTGATGCTCATTGATTATATAACTTGATTGTTAAGTCAATAATCATACTAATTGTATCAAAGTCATTAAATTGCTACTGATGAAAAAAAATGTAAATAAAAAAAAGTCAAATAAAGTTAATTCACTTCTTAATTGTTATCATAACAATAACGGTATCCAAAGTCAATGGACTTGAATTGATGATAATTTAACTCGCTTTAATCATTATCTATCATGATTAAGGAAATTGAAAGTGGACTCAAAGGATTGATAATTGATTGTAATTCATAATGATACAGTAAATTAATTCAAGAAATCGTTAAGAAAGTATAACAATTAATGTGGAAACAATTAGTCAACAATTGACGACAATTAACAAAAAGCAACAATAATCATATAAGATTTTAAAAGTTTCAAATGATTTATTGAAATCACCAAACTTAATTGTTACCATTAAATTTTTTTCCTTCTGTCTTTTTAACTAAATGATTTATCCAACAATTATAATTATAAATAGTCCTGAAATTATTTGAATACAATTTAAACCACAAGCAATTAAGTAACGTAAAGATGATTAACTGAATGAAATGATGAAATTTTGATCTACTTTTCATTACAATAAAATGTGAAAGTAAATTAATCTAATTGATATTAAAGTTGATATATTTAGCCAACTAATCCGTTGTGATTAAGTTGATTGTGGCCTAACAGGATCAACCAAATAGCTCATATCATCATGATTATCATCATAATCATCGTCATAATTATTACAAAACGATGATGATGATAATCATCATCATCATCATCATCATCAGTCACTTTTACTTGATGAATGAAAGTCAAATGTTTTTTTGTGGCTAATTGTTTACAACTAAAAGTTTCATTTTAATCCAGTTAAATATGAAAATTAGGTTAAATTGTTATACCTGCTGATTGAATATAAATTAATGAACAACATATAAATTGTTATTATCATCAAATCAAAGTTAATATTGTTAAATTGTTGATTAGTTGAATAACATTTCTCTCAATAACAATGTTATTTACAATCAACAATTAACAAGGTGTTAAAAAGTGGCCAATTCAATGATGAACGTAATTTGATTTACTTTTAAATTGTTAGAATAACAATTAGCAATCATTTCATGATGGAAATTAATTTCTCTCATTATCCATTATGTAGAAATGATCTTAATATTAATCTTAAAAGATAAATTTATCATTATTCTTAAATTAAATATTATATCATTTTCCTTTGTTCCTAAAGGAAGTTAGATTCATTTACCTGATAGGTAACAAGCCCTGAGGCGTTTAAATTGTTACCTTTTCCATGATCGATACAAAATGATATAAGAATGATTCAAGACAGAGGTAAATGATGATGAGGATGAAAAT